CAACTGGCCCAAAAATCAGTTTTTGCAAATATCTGTCAAAATATGTAATTATTTACAAATTTTTTCTTGGAATAAAAAATGAAGCTTAGGTCATTATCTATACAAAAAATGTCTTGACCTTTTTTTCGTAAGGTCCTGGGAAACGTTTAAAATGGCTCTGATGGGTCAAAGAACGGCGTTTCCGCCAATATTGGCCGAAAATTGACATGTAGATGATTTTCATGATCGCCAAATGGAAAAAAATGGAAAAAATACCACTGGAAAGGTAAACCTTTAAGCTTTCCATTTATGTAAAATAGAAACCAATTCCACTATTCATAATTACGCGATTTTTTTTTGTTTACGACACTTTCTGGAAATCCCCTCAAAACAAACGGAATAAGCCACTCACGAATATTTGTTTTTTTTATTGTTAAAATGTGATTAAACAAATATTTCAAACTTTCTGAGTTGCTTAAAGAGACTCTAAGAACTAAGAACAACTCTTAAAAAAACCTTGACAAATAAGCTATTAGGTATTAGTGAAAATATGAAAAAGTTTGTAAAAATCTGAGAATTTTTGGGTTAAGGAATGTTTGCCCGGTTTTTCTATTATTATAAAATATGACAAAATTCAAACAAGTTCCAAAATGTGATTGCTGTTGATTCTACCTTTTAAATGAACTTTGAATCATCAAGAAATATTAAATTTTAACCGAGTTATTGAACAATTTGTCCTATCAATCAATGATACGCTTATCAAAATCTATCTTCGGAGCGTTAAGACTTGGAGAGAAAATTCAGGGATTTTCGATGCGGAATATCGCGAAAGCAACTAATTCTACGTACAAAATGGTAAGGACCTTTTTCGTAGGTAATTAGGTTAGGTAAAGCTTCATTTTTTATTCCAAGAAAATTTTTGTAAATTGCATATTTTGGCAGATGTTTGCGAAAAACTGATTTTTGGGCCACATGGGGCCATTTTTTCAGCCAAAGCCAAGCACGGTGTTACAATTTTTTTCCGTAAAACTACTTCTCAAAAGGTACACAATACGCCTGAAAAGTCCCTGTCGACTAATTAGGCCGTGGTTTCAACCTTCATTTACTGGACTATACATAATTAAATAATAAATAAGGATTAAACTATTTCTTTTTTATTTTAAGGCAGGTGTTTAACCTCTCATCTTTGCGTGAGTGGTAAGTTGTTAGCTTATGCCACGCTTTACCTACTCTAGATTATATACAGAGCGTTTAATTTTATTTATTTATTTATAACTGTATACACAAGGTGATCGTAAATCAGTTTATTAAACAAACTAAAATGTAAATATTACCTACATCTTAACTTAGGTTCATTCACTTTAGATAGTTTAGATAATTCTTTTGATAATAAGTACTTTCCCACTGAAGAAAATATAAATTAATAATAATAGCTCCCGTATATAGCGTTTAACGCCTTGGGAGTAGCAAGGTACAGCTTGCCATACTAGAGCCGTTCGGTATACAAGGAAGGTAATGTGGCTAGCACTACGCTTCAACCGCCTATTATTACCTCAGGATTGTGAATCCCAAGAACTCATTTAAGGCTGAGTCGACCTAGGTACCCAAACTATTTTTATTTTAATAAAAATAGTCGGCTGATGAAATGCCGGGTGTGGAAATCGAACCCACTATCTTCAGATTGGTAGACGAGAGCCTGGACCTCTACGCCACCGGGTACCTTATTAGAAAATATAATTTAAAATCGAAAATATTTATACACAATGTTTTGACAGATATCCAGAAGAAGAAAACCGTGATATGATATTATCATAATCTTGTATATAGGCACTTTTTTCTATATGAATAACAGTAAATGAATTTTGGACTTTCCTGTCTTAGATTTTTTATTCACTTAGTACCATACTTATATCACGGCACATAAAACAATCGGCACGCCAACTCTACTCAGATTCCATTGTTTAAAATTTCTATAAAATTTGACCTTGTCGGCGCCATTATCGTTTCCTAGTCAGGGCCGGATTAAAACGTATTAAAAAATTTCTCAGAAAATACGACAGGGTCGTATTAAAAAAATACTGTAATTGACTGAAACTGAATTTTATTTACAATACTTTTGTCCAAACAAATGAATCGTTAACCGCGCATACTTCTCGAAAAGTAAAAATGAAAAAATCAATTAAATATTTCACTGTAGAGAATAGACAATTAAAATTAAAAAACATGCAACTAACAAAAACATGCCAGGAGTTACAAACAAGAATTAAAAAAATACCAATAAAATATTTATTGAACAATATAAAGAGGCTACGTACAAATTATGCCCATCAATGGGCGTAGCAAATGTTATTAATATTCAAATTTCACAAATTAATAAATCACAACCAAACCTAATAGGATCTCTAGGAAACAGAAAGAAACTTTTATTGAACAACAAAAATAAAACTACTAAAACAGATTATATTACATAATAATAATAATAGCTCCCGTATATAGCGTTTGACGCCTTGGGAGTAGCAAGGTACAGCTTGCCATACTAGAGCCGTTCGGTATACAAAGGAAGGTAATGTGGCTAGCACTACGCTTCAACCGCCTATTATTACCTCAGGATTGTGAATCCCAAGTGCTCATTTAAGGCTGAGTCGACCTAGGTACCCAAACCATTTTTATTTTAATAAAAATTGTCGGCTGATGAAATGCCGGGTGTGGGATTCGAACCCACTACCTTGAGATTGGTAGACGAGAGCCTGTACCTCTACGCTACCGGGCACCTATTGGCAACTATATTACATAAGAAACGAAAATAAAACTAGAAAAACTAAATATATCACATAATAAACAAAAATAAAACAACAAAAACAAAATATATCACTCAAGAAAAAAATCAAAATAAATTAAGCCGCACGCTACTGACTCGAATCTGCCGTAACTGTGTGTTGTCGATGAAAAAACTACGACACTGGTTACTTTCTGTTGATGGAAACCCAAATGGCGGCGTGCGCGAGGATATGCGCGTAGCGTTCCCGCCAAAGCGAGTTAGCCTGCCGTGTGATTTATATGTCGTGCTTATATTATGTATTTCAATAACAAATTCATCACTGTCTTATAAAAATTTTAGTGTATACTTGTATACTTACGGACAGTGATGCATCTGTCTAAATTATTGTTCATAATAAATAATCTGATCCGACTTTGTTTTATTTATTTATACAGGATGAGTCTTAAATAAGTGCAAATATTTTCAGGGCTGGTAGATCTCGACAAAAGAAACGTATTTTCTCTTTACCGTTTTTCAAGTAGGTCCAAAATAACAGTCATTTTACTTTGAAAATTAAAAAGGTGATTTTTTTCTTAAATTCTGGGAACCCCTGGATCTTTTCTGGGGTTTCTTTCTTGTAAATTTAATCTACTACCTATGTTGCCATATTATCAAGAAATCATGTTTTTTAAAAATTTACGAAAAATCCTCATTGAAAACACGTGTTTCTGGGGTCGAAATAATATAATACCCCTAAATTAACTGCCACTTGCGGTTAAACCAGAACTGTCAAAAATCAAAAAGTGGCAAAAAAGTTATGAAACACATTCAAATTTGTATCTAATTTATAACGTTTAATGAAACAGTTGCATGAAAACCCTTATATTTATGTACCATACGATCGAAAAAAGTCAAGAGATGGCTTGGAAATGAAGTTTGCTGTCATTCTATATGTAAAATTATATGGGGAAGGAATGTTATCGATCGCGCGTCATTTCCAAGCCAACTGAATGTCGTTTTTTTGTTCATACAGTATACTCGTATAGTTGGATAATATCATAGCTTCATTTTCATGCATTCATCATTATCCGACGATACACGATATTAATATTATTGGTTGAATTTAAAAACTTCGATTGGTTAGAAAATTATGCAGTTTTATATATACGGATATACGATTTGCTTGTGATTGGTGTTATTTATCATATTTTCATTTCCATAACGATTTCGCTGTTTTACTTGTATTGTAAGAGTTAGCAACGTTTTCGAGAGAAAATTTTAAGAAAGTTGGTACTTTAATATATCTTTTGCTATGCTCTCCTGAATAGAGTGACCGTCTGGCTACCGGTAGACGTTGGCGTTCACTACTGCGCATCATATCTGTATTCAACATCTGTTCATTACTGCGCATCACAAATTCCCCTTGTATTTGAGGAACTAAGGAGGCTAGGACAAACCTGTGTGTAGCATATTTAGTTTCATAAAAAAGTAGCAAGGTAATGTGAAAATCGCATCATTGTATCTCTATTCATAAACGAGAAGTCCAATAAAACACACGAAAATGGGATACCCTGTAAAAATGTGATGCGCAGTAGTCTACCGGTAGCCAGACGGCCCGCACTTTGGCCAGGAAAGCTTCGCAAAAGATATATTAAAGAACCAGCTTTCTTAAAATTCTCGTTTTCCCTACGTTGCTAGCTCTTGTACTATTATATTTTTATTAAGGTTAGATTAAACTTGTCAAAAAAGTGTCAAAACGTCTGTTATCATACGATCTTTCTCCGTTGACGGGCTGGAGTAAAAAATTTACGTATGAAAATGGCGGTGAAGGCGCTATGACCAATCAGAGTGCCGATGCCGCGCCGCGCCGTCAGACCATCGTATCAATGGGTAATGGACACATGAAAATCAAGCTTAATACATCGATATAGTTTTTAATCATTTTATTATGTTATCTTTTCTGACTGCCTCAGAAAAATAAGTAAACCTAGATAATTTTTTTTGCTTTATAATATTATGTAAATAAATAAAAGGAAAAAATCAATCTAATCATACATCTTCTCTCTGACAATCTTGGTTTTATCACCTCACTTGAATATAATAATTATATCGCAATCGATTACAAATCCATTTTATTTATATTTATGTTAGTGCTGTAATATGATTACCTATTACCCTGAGTAAGAAACAATACAGAAATAAATTAGACGCTCTGTAAATTGAACCAACGGACTGATTTGACTCTTCCCTTTTTGTTTTGTAGGTGTGGCAGCCTAAAGATGTCGCACCACAGCGATGATAACATGCTTATCGCGACCAGCGATTCCTTCTGGGAGCCGGGGAATTACAAGAAGACCACCAAGAGGATAGAAGACGGTTATAAGCTGTGCGCGGATCTCATGACCCTGGCCAATGAGAGGGCGGAGATAGAAAAGAATTATGCCAAAGCTCTGAAAGCATGGTGAGCATATACTATTTGTTATGTTTATCTGTGTGTTATTGTTAATGCTTTGAAATTGAAAATAAATTAAATTTTGACAAATATTCGGATATTTTACGGTTAAAAGATATTGTAGATAGTAGATTATAGGAGGACATACTACATATCTCATCATACAGTCTCATGGCTTTGACAAAAGCCGGCATTTGAGACGGGTTTACAGAGGTTAGTTCTCCATCTCCAATATCAGTCATACCAAAGTTTATGGGCACGAATGGTTGTCGTTTCAGCGCACTGTGGGAAAAATGGGGAAACACCATTTTCCCTACAGAATCTGCATTTGCCGTTGTTTCTTAGCTTCAATCTACTGAGGTATTCATTGAGGAGACAATGTTCTGTTAAAAACCCCGTGACAATCCGAAGGTTATTCTTAAGGAGGGCGCGCACTATGTGAATGGGTATCGGCTCGAGCGAGCGGCACGTAATTTTCAGTTTACCTTGAAATAAATGTAAGCCCGCGCACCGCATTAGATCGGTGCGCTTCGAGCTATCGGCGCCATTCGAGCTATCGGCGCCATTCGAGCTATCGGCGCCATCAGGCGGAATCAGAGAATGCATTGGAGGGGGACGAATAGTCTACGCCGAACGACTGTTTTTAGTGGAGCGGTTTTACATTAAACATTTCCGATGAATTATTAATCGAAAGTGTACGAGACCACATCATACTTAATATACGGTTTTTTATAAAAAATTCTTACAAGCACGTAACCCATATTGTTTAATACACTTATTCAATAACTGAATTAGAAAACCTTCCGATTAAACCCATTTATTTATCATCTCGTTTTGAGTATCTCACATTATTATGGAAATCTAATTTAAATATCGTCAAAAAACTTATCATATTATTTAATTTTTGGTTTGTTTTGACGTTAGTAATAGCCTTTTTCGGGTTCTTGTTATTACCGATTCTGAACCGCGCTAGAGCTCTGCAGCGCATGCGCAAATGAAATAATGTCTTCATATTTTCTTCTGCGCATACCTATCACAGTTCTAGGACGGTTCAGAATCGGCAATAACAAGAACCCGAAAAAAGCTAATAACAGCTGATAAATAATGTTACTATGTTGACCGCTCCATACAAGGTACAAATAGAGAAAATAATATTTATGTTTAAATAAAATATTTGTACATATATCTACCGTATGATAAAAAACGGCGTCCAGTTGGATGGGAAATGACGATTGATGACATTTGACAAGAAATGACACTGACCTTCATTTCATGGCCATCGCTGATGCCGTTTCTTTTCGATCATACGGTTCTATAAAATAAGAACTATATATTTTTTCTTTTTTTAATTTTCTTTGACTTTTTTATTATATTTTAAGGTTTTAAAATCTTGGTTTTAAGTCAGTAGTGAATAAAACGAAACTTTTGTTTACATTTTGTTTAATTATTGACGTTTCGACCAATTTTAATTCGGTCTTCTTCAGAATCTATAATATACAATACAATTTTATCACTAACAATGTGTTTAATATATAATTTTTTCTTACCACAAACGTAGAAAATTATTTATACGTATATTATAGATTCTGAAGAAGACCGAATTAAAATTGGTCGAAACGTCAATCATTAAACAAAATGTAAACACAAGTTTCGTTTTATTTACTACTGACTTAAAACAAAGATTTTAAAAACTTACAATAAAAGCTATATATAAATGTTTGTAATGACACTTATTTAGATTAAAAAACTAAAAATAGAAGTTTTATTTGACTATTTTTCATATCTAGCTTTGTTTTTAAAGAACAAATTAAACCCTTTTGAATGATACCAAATTTGTTAAAATCGGTTAAGCTAAGAGTCATGTAGTATATTTTATCCCCATCTTCCACTCTATTTCACTAATTTTATGTGGTTTGTTAAGATCTAAATATATTAATGTGTGTTTGGTTAAGATCTAAATAATATTAATTTCCATCACAAAGCATAAAATATAAAAAGTTGCATAATTGACTTTGAAATAGTAATAATACTTTATAATTTTTTGAAATGCCGAATGAATTTGACTAAATTTGAATAAACTTCTCCTTGTTTATGCTCAAATTTATGCTGGTGACGTACTCTCGACCGTCGATCGTGCGGCTCCAGTGCGTGGCTACAATCGACTTTCCGACCGGTCGCGGTCGTGCCGCTCGCTCTCGCCGATACCCCTTCAGTGCGCGCGGAGCTTTAATTAAATCAAGGAAAATCTTTGATTTTTTTATTATTAGTATTAGACCGTTGGAGGATTCCTATTCCAGGTTACAAATAGTTCCTCTCTATAAGTTGTAAGCATCTTTCGATAGCATGTTAAAAGATATACTTATACAGGGTTCTTCACCACATACGACACGGAGTATTGTAGCTAAACGATTAGATTGCAAATGACAAATGGGCTAGTAATATTATCGTTTTTAGCACCTATACATTTTATGCATTTGTTGCTTTAAAGACAATTTAAAATGTCAATATTCCATCGGTGTATTGATAAATGTGGTCTAAATTATAAGAAAATGCATTTTCTACGAAAACTTGAGGGGATAGGTAAAAAATGGTATAATACAATTTGATAGACAATTAAATTGTGCATCTGATTTTCCAAAAATATACAGTGTGTTCCATTTAAACACGCTATTGCTATTTAAAGCTAGAAATTATTTAAAATAAATTTTTAGACACTCTGTATAAGGTAGTATTATGTTTATTATTGCAACACAATAACTAATCAATAAATAAACTTTAGTAAATATTTAGTATTAAAAACTTTGAAACCCTGCGAGAAATGAAGCCTTAAAATTTATATTGCAATTTCACTAAATTGAAAATATTTCAAAAACGGTAAGATTTAAGTGTGATAAACCTTAATCAAATCCACCTTTATTTTAATCGTAGAAACTAAAAATGTAATAATATACAGGGTGTTCTATTTAAGAAAATACAACTTTGATGTTTTTTATTTATTTGGGACACTGTATCTTATAAAAATATTTTGTAGCTCTAATAGTCTTTCAACGAACCCAAAACTTAGAATTTGTAAAATTTAATCGTTTAGCTACAATACTCCGTGTCGTATGTGGTGAACAACCTTGTATATGATATTAATATATTGTATTCATTCAAAAAAGTAATACTTTAAGGTAACGTCCCCTTTTTGTTGTTATGATTAATTTGGATCACAGCTTATTTATAACCAGCCTACCGACTTTCTATTAGGGTGTGTTTATGTTTGAGCTGCGATAAACGATAAAAGCAGTGATAAAAGCGATATACAAGAGTTGCGCAAAATTCACTTCTATAATGTGCCGTTCATAGTGGAGCTGTGATACTAACAACGATCTCTGCTTTGCAAGTAGACGTTGAGACCAAATGAGTGATTCTGAAGAGGAATTATTTTTAGCTTCAAATGCTGTTAAATATTATATTGTTAAACATGCAGATAAAAAACGCAAATTCTGTGCACACCCAATAGACACCAGAAGATAAAAGTTTGGAGAATTTCACAATTTCAATCTATTATGATGGTTTTTATTTGTTGGGTCCGACAAGGCAGGTCTAATAAATATTTTACTTATTAAACTGTCGGTATTCATGTCGATCACCCTTGATATAAAAGCAAAGAAAATAGCCAAAACAATTAGCGCTGCTCTTATCGCTGCTCAATTGCCAAGCGTGTCTCGACGCGTTGCTCCAAATATAAACACCTACATATAAATTAATATAATAATATTATTTGCTTCGCTACTATCGCTGCTCTTATCGTTTATCGCCGCTCCAACATAAACGCACCCTTATTTGCATAGAAATTCGCGTAACTACCGAGTATTCGCTCGATTGAAGCTTCGTTTAATAAAACGATAGGTCCTGTTTTTGTGTACAAGAATAGGAGCAGTAGTCAGACGAATACTTAAATAACCAGCTTGTTACTGAACAAGCTGTGTCTGAGTTCTGAGTTGAGCCTATTTTGTTTATGTGAATTTCTAACTAAATTATTTCTCTATTACCATGTGTTTGATTTTAAAAGAACTATTACAGTAACCAAGCGAGAATGTGTTAATTATATTATCTGATAAGTGAATTGATAAAACTATTTACTATTGTCAATAGAGAGTCTATGTTGTTACGTGACGCCAAAGGACAAAGCTTAACAACCTTTCCAAACAACTTGTTAAACACAGGTAAAAGACCTTGTATCTGTCATATGAATTCACAGTAAATTGTATTTTCTGTCATTTTTTGAATGTCGTCCTGTCGAAATCTTCCCTGAATCACTCGATAGACTATAATTTTCCATTTTTCCATTTATTTCTTCCATTTTTTTTAAAATTAAACAAGAGCTCCTATTTATTTGAATATAAGTGGCTGCTGAAGATTTTTTTCTATAATTTGATAACAATAAATCAATTTTGATAATAATCATAGAGTTAAATGTAAATTTTTAATGCAGGTAGGGAGTGAACTCATTTGATTTGACATTACGTCAGAATTATGGAATCTGTTGAATCTCTATCAAGTCAGAATTCAGAATATTGAAATTTACTGGTTTATTGGTTATATGGCAATATAGCAAATATTTTTTTCTCACGTTTTACGTAGACTTGTCCAATAACATTTTGGCATCATTGCTATGAAAATGTAGTAGAAATGATATAATATACCTATAAAGATAATAACTTATCAGTTGATAATGTATCTGATGAACTGCAGTGATTCAATAATTAGATTGTTAACGAAAAAATGGAAATTAATAATAAAATAATGTATAGATATAAAAATATTTTTGGAAGTGTTTTTAAAAATGTACACAAAAGCATATTCTTTTCAGTATGTCATACATGTGCATATATAATACAGTATACCATACACTGTGCTGAAATTATACAATTTTAAACAATTAAAAGTCTGCAAATTTAAGAAAAATGGAAAACTAAACTCTAAGTTTATTTTAATATTATAACATAAATATATTTATTTTTGGTAGATTTTTTTTTTATTATTAATAAGGCTTCGACATCCAAGGTCATTTCGCCTATTATAGAGACATTACTTCAACAGTAAGTGTAAAATAATAACAAAAACAAATTATATAGGTATAAATGTATAAATAAACATCTTAATATAAATATAACAAACAGGTAAGAGTATAGGGTACAGCACAATTTTTTAAGTATAACACGAACACTTAATATATACAAATATAAAAACGCACAAGTAAATAAATAAATAAATAATCAAATAATCTAATAAATAATATATAGGTATAAATGTATAAATAAACATCTTAATATAAATATTAAAACAAACAGGTAAGAGTATAGGGTACAGCACAATTTAATAAATAAATAAATAAATAGAACAAACAGACAAACAAATAATCAAACAAATAAATAATTTGCATAGATACATAAATATCTAGATTTTCAAATTTCGTTAAACAGATTTACAGCTTTTAAGAAGTTTAAACAATTAGCAATTGACTGTTTATCTTTTAAGTTTTCTCCGTATGGTCTCACGAGATTAAACAGGTGTCTTTGGGGTTCATACCTTGGGCAATCACAAACAATGTGTTTGACTGTCAGTCTGACCTGACAATCCGCACACAGAGGTGCATCTTCCCCAGTAAGTACGTGTTTGTGCGTCAGTGCGGTATGACCAATGCGAAGTCTGTGAGTCTTGGTTAAACTGGTTCGATCTAATTCAACACGTAGATATTTACCATAAGCCAGTGGCTTTATCCTATATAAATTCTTGTTTAGATTTTGCCACCTTCGTTCAGAATAATAGATTTTAGATAAGCTTAGTAATCGGAAGGTTTAACCATTGTAACATCTACTACATCTTTTGAACTGGCTTCCTGGGCAGCATTATCCACTTTTTCGTTACCAGCTATTCCTACATGGCTTGGAACCCACAATAATGTGAGTTTATAACCTCTCCTTGTTAGATCATGAATCAATATTTGGATATTTTGTGTCATAGGACCTTTAGTAAATATATCTAAGAGACTTTCTAAGATGATCTTTGAGTCACAAACAATTAGACATTTAGAGGGACTATTCGATAAGGTAAGGAAAAGCAGAGCCTGCCAAAGTGCATATTGCTCTGCATAATAAATTGTGGAGATATTACTTAAGGTCCAAGAAAAAGTCTTGTTCTCGGTAGCGAAAGCTCACCCGACGCCATCATTAGTTTTGGATCCATCCGTGTAGATGACGAAATCTACATTCTCTCGATTCTTAATATCGAGGAGCTCTGCTGCCAGTGTGTATTTGAGATTTCACCTTTTTTAAATTGCGCCAATTCGAAATTTACTACAGGCGGAGGACACTTCCAAGGAGGAATTTCACTTGACTCAAGGCGTAATAATTGAGGTGGGTCTACTTCTCTAATTCTCAGATACTCCCTATACCTTCCAAAAGCTGATCTACTGAAGGGGTATTTTTGGTAGAAGTTTAAAATTAACGTAAATTATTCATTTTTTTTATTTGGTTTCCAATGTTTAGTAACTTTTTCCAACCTTTCCAAACCAAACCAAATATAATAATGTGAATAAACTTTTTTTACTTTTGATTAATTTTTTACGGCAAAGAGATTGAAAAGATTATATTTCAGTTGCAGTGTAGGTATTTTATTTACACTTAATAATTAAACGTCATTTCAATTGTGTCTTGCTATCTATAACCTTAATAATACTAACCAAATACAACTTAGATTCTAACTAAAAATTGGTAATAAATTGTGAGTAGAATTTTATAAATATATCTACATGTAATATGCTTTGTTTCATAGTTTATTAGTAAAGTATGAATATATTTAGCTGAATTTTTATTGTAAAATGATAGCAGTGTTATATTTATTACATTTTTAAAGGAACCGAGATTCAGTAACGCCTTTGTGAAGAATATTACCTACTCAATGTCCACTGAATTGGTACCGGCCGGTCGACTTAACTCAGAGCTATCGACAATTTTCACTTTACATAGAAATAAATGTAACCCCGCGGAAAGGACGAAAAATAACTTCGGACACTCCCTTTTCCGGGCACATTTGTCTGACACGAATTATTTTTTGACTGGGATAGTCGTTTATAAAAAAAACTGCGTCAAATACGACTGGAGAACGACAATTATGATAATTTTGGCATGGTCAAGCCCTAGACGTCATTACTTGGCCCATCTCTTTATTATTTTTTAATGGCGCTTACTGCCAGTTGGCCTGAAGACGGTTGTAATTTATTTTTATATTGAGTAAAAATTATTTTTAAATGATGCAGTTTAAAATTCGAGAAAACATATTTTTTTAGAAATGGGTTTGTGCTTTGGGTTTGTGTGTCTGGCAACGTCCTATCCTTTTTAATCTTTTTATAACAAGTCTATACTAACTAGTGTTAATTTTTGACAAGTTTTATGTCAATGTTTAGTAAATGATAACCTAACCATAAACATTAAAATATAACTGAAAATCATAAATACTTGTGTATGAGCAATACTAATGTGTAATTATTAGCCGACCATACCAACAGGTATGGTAGGCTATTAAGATCGACAAAAAAAAAGTTTTTTTAATTTCACTCAAAATTAGTTATTTGGGTCGTAAATGACTTAAATACAAAATATTTTCATGGTGTCCGTCTGTCCGTCTGTCTGTAACACGATATCTCAAAAACCGCTAAACCGATTTTAACCAAATTTGGCACAAAAAAACTGTGGCACCCAAGAATCTGGCAATTAGTTTTTGGTGGGGGTGGGAGTTTGTTAAGGGGTTAAAAATTTTAAAAAATCGTAACTCCAAAATTACAGTAGCTAGCGAAACGCGGTTTTCAATTTTAGATTAGTAATAATATTTTGCAACAAAATTTGTAATAACATCAAAATCAGTCAAAGTCAGTTTTTGAGATTAAAAAAATTGGAAAAATTCCTTTACTTTGAAACTAAAAGAACTGCCTACCAACAATTTTTATTTTTAGTATGGGCGGCTATACGTGCCTCCCGACGCCAATTTTTTTTTAATTTTGCATCTAATTGTTCAATGTTTGATTTTAAATTATGAAATTATTATTAATAGACTAATTGCATGTGCCTTGTTAGTAATAAGCTTTATTTAATTTTCTTCAATTTTGGCTACTTACTATAATATGTATTAGACTTATGTATTTTATGCATTTTTATATAGTTATATTAATAAAATACAGGGTGGTCCGAACTGTATTTCGGAAACTTCGGCAGCAGGTTCTGCAGATAAAAATAAGTAAAAAAATTTGTATAAATGTATGTCCTAAAACGCTAGATACAGGTTGTAGAACTTTCATTTTTGTTTCGATTGTTTTCAAATAATTTCTGAAGTAACGTCAATATTTGGATGAAAAGTCTGGGAGTTTTCTTTACGTAAAAAATGTTTCTTGGTAAAAATCGCTACAAGCAACCGTTCTTAGGATATTTAAAATGGAAATAGTCAATACATGTCATTATTGACAAAAAATAAACATGATGAGTAGATAGTTATTTGACTGAAATAATAAATTTGGGAGCTTTTTATTTTTTTAAATTAATCATAAACCTTTCTTCGAAAAAATGATGATAAAATAGTTTATGTTGAACTTTTGGCACAAAAACATTTCAAATTTATGATTTTAGTCTAATAACAGTTAAGGCAACATGTTTATTTTATGTCGATGATGACAGGTTAATTTCGATTCTAAATATCTCGAGGACCATTACTCGTAGCGATTTTTACGTGACTTTAAAGTAAGAGACTTTTTTTTACGTAAAAAACGTCGTAAATGTATATTTATTTACTCGGTAGTTTTATACAGGTACGGACGAAAAGTTATTACTTTTCAAACCAGTTAAAATATGTAGGTGGCGCCCTCACCAAGTAGAAGTCATATTGACATCAAAATCAAATTTCTGATGTCAAAAAACTCCCCGACAGTAATTTTCATCCAAATATTGACGTTACTTCAGAAATTATTTGGAAAAACTCGAAATAAAAATGATACTTCAGCACCCTATATCTTCGGAACTAAGCATTTTAGGACATACATTTATACGAACTTTTTTACTTATTTTTATCTGCAGAATGTAATGCCGAGGTTTCCGGGATACAGTTTGGACCACCCTGTATATTAATTGGCTGATTTGAGATTGTGCTGTTTATCGATTCTTTTTGGTGTACATTTATATTGATTTTAATTAGATTATCATTATTTTATGGAATAATATATACTGTATTGCATACATTATCGTTATCAATAGTGTGTCAACCGGCTGATGCCCGAAAATAAAAAATTGTTTATATGTTTTTGCTGCGATATAAATTATCGATCGGCCGGGCAGCGGGCGATGAGTATTTGTGTAGATAAGTTAGTTAGTATGTATTTGACGTTGTTTGGAATATTATTGTTTGTTAATAAATGTATTGTTATTGCTTATTTCGTGAGTGTATAATTTATTATTGTGAACCTGGACTAGCACAAATTGGCGACGAGGTAAATACTTAACAACAAATAATCACCTAGTAAATATATAGGTAAATAGTGCCTATTTAAAATAAAATGCACAAGTAAAAGCATAAAGTATTAAGAGTGCTGTAATTTTAGATATAAAGAGACCTAATACTACCAAATAAGGGAGTGGATTAAATTCTACTAAAATAGGAGTGGATTAAATTCTACTAAACAGGAGTGGATTCAATTCTACTACAAGAGTGGATTAAATTCTACTAAAGGAGTGGATTAAATTCTACTAGAGGAGTGGATTAGATTCTACTAAAGGAGTGGATTAAATTCTACTGAAGGAAAGCTGATTATTGAGACTAATAAGCACTGTAAGTGAAACAAAGTAATTTACAATAGTTAGTTGGTTCATAACGCTTTAATGTCATAAAAAAATGGCAATTTCATAAGCTATTATTCCTAAAAAAAATAGCTAGGGGTTAAAGCAATTTATTACATTATAAAAATATGATATATTTGGTTAACTATAATATTCTTTGATTTGGTGCATAAAGCTTTCAATATTATTTAAAAAAAAAAATATATGTATTTATACACATCTGGTTTTAATTTTACATTATGAAGTTTTAGTAATCTGGCGAATTTGTTTCCGGAGGAAATCTAATGCATGGTCATGGTCGCACTTTCATATTATGATGATCAATGTTTCTTGGGTTGTTAGGGGGAACTGTTGTCGCGTTTTGAGAATACCCGTGCGTCATCAATACACAAAAAAAAAAAAAAAAAAAATGAATAGGATGATTATATGTTATTGAAAATACTACAATAGAATAAATTTTATTCCTAGATATCCTCGGAAAAAAAAAGTGCAATGGATCAGTCGTCTATTAAACATTTCGCTTGTGAGTCTATAGACAAAGCTCTAATAGCTCTTGAATGGAGAAAATGGATTCGTTCAGTAAAGTTATATTTAGATGCAGAAGAAATTACAGATGTTGTAAAAAGGAAAAATAAATTATTACATCTTGGAGGTCCGCAATTGCAGGAAATTGCCTTTGGCTTGCCAGGCGCGGTTACGGAATATGACCCCACTATTAAAAATGATGTATTTAAAGCATTGGTAGATAGACTTAATGACCATTTTTCGCCTCAACAAAACCCTTGCTTTGAGAGACACGTATTTCGCAACATGAAACCCGCGGATGGAGAAAATTTAAATAGATTCCTTATAAGATGTAGAACACAGGCCGATAAATGTTATTTTGGCAACAGTGAACAAGAAGCTCGAGAAATCAGCATTAAAGACAAGTTAATTGATATGTGGGCACCGATAGATTTAAAACAGAAACTTCTGGAAAAGGAATCATCATTAAATGATATTATAGAACAATGTCAAATATATGAACAGACACGAAACCAAAGTGCCATCATGCACAAGAAAGACATTTTGTAACAAACTCCACTAGCGAGGCTCAAGTTAATCGAATTGAAGATTCACGGAAACGCAAACACTGGGAAATTACAAAAAGTCATGAGTGCACACGCTGCGGTGGAATCCACAGCTTAGATAAGAAAAATTGCCCTGCCATTAATACTACATGTCATCAATGTGGTCGTTTAGGACATTTTGCTAGAAGATGTAGGACAGAAAAACTTAAACGTACATTCGGTCAAAACACTAGCCGCCACCCCAATCCGCCGAAGACAAGAAGAATTAATTGCATCAACGAATCCAATGACGAAAGTCTCCCTTCTACTAGTGGTATCGGCAACTATGAATGTTTCGAAGTTACGAGTTCAAACCCTACTTGGATTGGACAGCAGCAATGGAATAATCTCGGTGATAATTGGAGGTGTCAGCATTGATATCTTAATTGATTCCGGAGCCTCGTGCAACATTATAAATGGACGTGATTGGGAAAAACTACTCGGAAATGGAGCTGCAATACTTGACATCCAAGAAGATGTAACTAATTCGATAAAAGCGTATGCTGCAAATACTCCGCTTTTTGTAAAATGCCAATTCAAAGCCCCAATACGCGTGGGCAATAGTCGTGAGCGTATTGAAACATTTGTGGTGGTAGAATCCGGTACAACCTCACTGCTGGGAAGACGCACATCGATAACCTTAGGAGTTTTAAAGTTGGGACTAGACTCCAATATTAATCATATTGAAAAAATTGAGCCTTTTCCGAAAGTTGCTAATATTAAAATAAAACTCACCATCAATCCAAATATAAAGCCAATACAACAACCAGTGCGTAGAATTCCAATTGCCGTTGAAGAAAAAGTGGAACAGAAGCTGAATGAAGCACTTGCCAGAGATATCATAGCCCGTACAAGGACCAAGCCCTTGGATTTCTCCCATGGTCATAGTCTTTAAACCAGATGATGATATTCGTATTTGCATCGACATGAGGAGAGCCAATGAAGCTATACTTAGAGAGAATTTTCCTCTTCCCACTTTTGAGAGCTTCATGACTAAACTGAGTGGGGCCACTTACTTTTCGCGCTTGGATCTAGCTAGTGCATATCATCAACTAGAATTGGAAGAAGACAGTCGATCAATTACTACTTTTATAACACATAAAGGATTATTTAGGTACAAACGGCTAATGTTTGGCATAAATTCCGCTCCAGAAATATTTCAGCGTATATTTCAAGGTATTTTGGCTCCTTGTCAGAATTATCTCAACTACCTCGATGACATAGTTGTTTATGGAGAAACTGAAGCTGATCATGACCGATATTTGAATAACTTACTGACGGTACTACAAAATTATAACATCTTGTTAAACGAAAAAAAGTGCCACTATAAGGTTAAACAATTGGAATTTTTAGGACATATTCTAACATCTTCCGGAATATTACCGGACCCAAAGAAGATTAAAGTTATTCGTGACTTTCGTGCACCGTTAAATAAAGGAGAAGTAAGGAGTTTTCTTGGCATGGTTACATACTTGGGAAAATTTATACCTAATCTGGGAACCCTGACCGAACCACTAAGACTATTAATAAGAAATGAAACAAAATTCAATTGGGGACAAATAGAACAAGAAAGTTTTCAAAAATTAAAAATGAATTGGTGAATTTGCCGACTCTGTCCTTTTTGATATGAAATTACGCACGCAATTGATTGCCGACGCCAGCCCAGTGGCCCTGGGCGCTGTGCTGCTACAGATTGATGGTGACGATCAACCACATGTAATCTCATTTGCAAGTAAAAAGCCTCACCGCTGTTGAACGGAGATACTCTCAAACTGAAAAGGAGAGTCTGGCATTGGTTTGGTCTGTCGAAAGATTTTATTACTACCTCGCTGGAATACAATTTGAGTTGATCACAGATCACAAACCACTTGAAGCGATTTTTAAACCAACTTCAAGACCACCCGCAAGGATTGAGAGATGGTTACTTAGACTCCAAGCTTTTAAATTTACTGTAAAATATAAATGTGGAAAATCAAACATCGCGGACCCCTTGTCGAGGTTATGCAAAATAGAATCGGATCCAACTTTTGATGAGCCGAACGAATGTCAGATTCAAACTATTATAACAGAAAGTATACCCAAAGCGTTATCAATATCCCAGGTAATTATGAACAGCAAAGTTGACCCAGACATCCCAGAAGTTATCGAGAAATTGGCAGGCAATTCATGGAACGTAAATGACAAAAGCGCGTACTACCCCTTTCGAATGGAACTCACTTCCATGGGACCACTACTACTAAGAGGAAATAAAATTGTAATCCCGAGAAATCTGCGAATTCAAGTGTTGAGGCTAGCACATGAGGGCCACCCCGGAGAATCGGTGATGAAGCGAAGATTACGTTCAAAAGTCTGGTGGCCACAGATAGACAAGGAGGCGGAAAAACACGTTAAAAGCTGTCGCGAATGCCTACTTGTATCACAACCGAGCAGACCTTCACCAATGGTAAGACAAATGCTTCCTTCAGGGCCATGGCAATACTTGGCAATGGATTATATGTCGGGAGAGCCAAATCAAGATCACCTACTGGTAATAATCGATTATTATTCCCGTTATGTAGAACCAATTTTTACAAAATCAACCACATCGTCAACGGTCATTAGAGCACTTGAAACGACCTTCTGTCGATTTGGTCTACCAAAAACTATTAAAGTAGACAACGCTACTAATTTCAATAGTGAAGAATTCAAAAAATTCTGCGAAATAAATGGCATTGAGATAGTGAATTCTCCTCCTTATTGGCCGCAGGCAAATGGGGAAGTGGAAAATATAAATAAATCACTAAAGAAACGGCTACAAATCAGTTACCTGAACAATGAGCGCGACTATCAACGGCAGATTATGGACTATATTACGATGTATAATGTTACACCTCATGGAACAACAGGAAAGTCCCCGTCAGAACTTTTATTTAACAGAAGAATAAAGGACAAAATTCCATGCCTAGAAGATATAAATATAGAAACGTTGGACGAAGAAGTTTATGACCAAGACCTAGTTCAAAAAAGATAAAGGAAAAAGAAGGGAAGATAGCAAAAGAAGAGCAAATGAAAAAGGAAATTAAACCAGGAGACAAAGTCGTGGTAAAGAATATTTTCTTTCCACATAAACTGACAGCGAACTTTAGTAACATAGAATATAATGTCCTACATCGAAATGGGAATGAGCTAACCCTATTCGGAGATGGAAAGACGATCAAGCGAAATGTTGCCCACGTAAAAAGGATACCGGACACCTCACCTACCGTAGATCTACCCGAAGCTCCTCCGGACCCCTCAACATCGAGTTCAACACTTCCATCAACCCAACCGACTTCAGAAGATACGACCACATCAGAGCCGCCCCCGGCTGGAGGCCAACACGAAGAAGAGGACTCGAACGCACCCCGTGTGACTCCACTTGTTCTGGTGAAAAAAGGAGGGATGTGGCAACCGGCTGATGCCCGAAAATAAAAAATTGTTTATATGTTTTTGCTGCGATATAAATTATCGATCGGCCGGGCAGCGGGCGATGAGTATTTGTGTAGATAAGTTAGTTAGTATGTATTTGACGTTGTTTGGAATATTATTGTTTGTTAATAAATGTATTGTTATTGCTTATTTCGTGAGTGTATAATTTATTATTGTGAACCTGGACTAGCACAAATAGGTACCCATTACTCGCCAATATTTATTTTTTATTTAGAAGTAATTTCACAAATCTATATTTCCACTTTACAATTTCCTTTGTTCAGAGAATTTGCGATTTTGAAAAAAAAAATACTGGAAAAATAAAAATTTTTGGTGTTGGTTTGGTTAAGTTTAGGTTTTTAGATTATATTCTGATATTTCAACACTGAACTTGCCTGAAAAGTTTGTTTATGTTAATAAGAATAATAAAATAAGAATTGTTTGTCTGTAATGCAAAACAATACTATCATTGTTTTGTCAATTTTAAACAAGAGGTGAATCATCAGAGGTGTTCATTTGCAAGTTAATTCCAACAACAGAAATGGTAATTTTTAGTCTGATGTAATAGATAATTTTAGTCATACGAAAGTGATCATACTTATGCATCATATTAAAATCATTACAGTAAGTGTTTAAAAGGATTTAAAATAGTTAGAATGAAGACATTGAAAGGTTTATTACCTTATGGTGTAAAAAAAAGAATAAAATATGTAAAAAAGTCTTAAATCATAAGAATGATGACATTGAAAGGTTTATTTTTATTACCTAATGGTGTAAAAAAGAATAGAAAAGTAAGAAAGTCTTAAATTATTTATAACGCAAGAACGGTTGGATTGATTTAAATGAGGCATCAAGTTGCAACACATTATCCATTTAAAAAAAAAGGCATAATGACAATAGTGGGCCCTAAAATCTACATAAACATACATCGTGATTGTAGAAAACCCTCTCTTTTAATTTCCTGAATGCTCTTGAGGCGCTGCTAATTCTGTGCTGAATTTCAGAGTCGATATTGGTCGTTTCCGCTATCAAACATCCGAGGTAATTGAATTTCACTACATATTCCAGTAGTTCAACTCACTGAAATACTGAAATATTTAACACTAAAATAATATAAGTTCAAAAACAATATTTTTTTGGATTTATAAACTTTGTATAGAATTATTTAAAAATAATAAATAAGAAATAAACACAGAAAATCGCAACGGGTTCACAATAATTCCAATTTGTTAAAAGGAAAGTGAAACAAAACAAAGTTGTTTAATATTGGATTACCATGACGTCTCTTCCGTCTTGAATATATGAATTGGTATGAATTAAAAAGTATTTTAATTACTCCTTACTATTTTATATTTATGCATAAAACAGAAATAGGATTGTTAAAACACGTTTTCTTCTACCAAAACAAATTTATTCGGTACCCAACCGGAACAAACGAAGTAATTTTTTTCTATATTGACAGTCTATTCGCATAACTGAAATTGTCTTGTAGAATCTGTGTCAGTGGCACTACGAAAGTATAATTTTTCGTCGAAATAAGCTGTTTAGAACCAGATATTATCGAATAGCTCGGCGCTGCCTCTTGTGACCTTTTGTGCTTTAATAATTATAATTTGAGGAAAGTGTCTCTCAAAACACGCCTCATTTAATCTGAAAAACTCTCCAGTTTTGTCGCCTCGCCCATTTTAATTATATACTAATTGTAGAGTTCCTTTTTTGTATTTTAGGCATGAGTCATCACTGTCACTTTTAAATATTTTTTTACCAGAAACCGTTATTTTAAAGGAAATTAACGTAGGTTAATAAATGTAGGGACATATATTTAAAATATCGTTAATATTTTACAGTTTAGCAGTTGTTTAAAAATTGTTTTTATATTTTGTGTATTGGTAGCGTTTAGTGTGTTCATTCACGAAATATGTAATTTTAACAGACAACATTCAAAAATTAGAGAAAAAAGAACGTTTGAATCAAAATAATAGACGAGTGCACTTCGAAAGGTTTGAAACATAGCTATCTAGTGACTAGTGATGGGCATTACGATTCTTTTTAGTGAATCGAATCACACGATTCAATTTCTCATATTGAATCAACTCCTACGATTCGGTCATTTGAACGAGCCACATGCACAATTCACGTTTCATAAAAACAATGATCGTAACTGGCACTACCGGCGATAATTTGGTAGGACAATTACTTAAGGGACCAGAAAAAGAAGTATTCAGTTCTTTCATTTGTTTTTTAACACTTTATGACACTGGCGTAATTGGATTGATTATTTTACCAATACTATTAAATTACCAGTCCAATTTATATATATAGTATTTATTAAAGAGATAGACCCATATTGTAATTCCGATTTAATAATCATAATAAATAGTATATAATACCGCATGATCAAAAAAAAATAGCGTCCAGTTGGCTTGAAAATGAACATCGATGTCATTCCCCATATAATTTTACATATCAAATGACAGCGATCTTCATTTTATAACCATCGCTGACGCCATTTTTTTATCACATTGAACAGAGGCCAACAATATTTATTTGGAGTTGAATGAAAACACGATTTCGTCTTTTAGTCCGACATTTAATAGTCGGTAATATTATTTTAACAAAAATATTAACTTGAAAATTAAATATCCTACAGATACCCCCGTACTAAGCCCAGTTTAAATAAGTTTTTTTCTTGTAAATAACTTTATTATTATTTGCATTTTATGCCCATGATGTTTGTTTAGGCCTTTTGTTCAAGTCTAAATATTGGTGCTTTTAGGTATGCCTATATCACCGCCGCCGGCGCCGTAGAAACGAACGGTCACATTGTGATCCGATTCAATTATCACAATTCTTTTTTATGGCTCATCGTTCAAATCTTACGGATCCGTGCTGGCCACGATTCAATTGAACGAACCGTATTGTAAGCAATGAATCAATTCTCACGATTCTTTGAACGCACGATCGTATTGTGATCCGATTCAATTCTCATGATTCTTTTTTACGACTCATCCTTCAAATCTTATGAATCCGTGCTAGCCACGGTTCAATTGAACACACCGTATTGTAAGCAATGAATTAATTTTCACAACTCTTTGAACGCACGATCGCATTGTGATCTGATTCAATTCTCATGAGTCTTTTTTACGGCTCATCCTTCAAATCTTATGGATCCGTGCTAGCCATGGTTCAATTGAACACACCGTATTGTAAGCAATGAATTAATTTTCACGACTTTTTGAATGCACGATCGCATTGTGATCCGATTCAATTTTCACGATTCTTTTTTACGGCTCCTCGTTCAAATGTTATGGATCCGTGCTGACCACGATTTAATTGAACGAACCGTATTGTAAGCAACGAATCAATTCTCACGATTCTTTGAACGCACGATCGTATTGTGATCCGATTCAATTCTCATGATTCTTTTTTACGACTCATCCTTCAAATCTTATGGATCCGTGCTAGCCACGGTTCAATTGAACACACCGTATTGTAAGCAATGAATTAATTTTCACGACTCTTTGAAAGCACGATCGCATTGTGATCCAATTTAATTTTCACGATTCTTTTTTATGGCTCCTCGTTCAAATGTTATGGATCCGTGCTGACCACGATTCAATTGAACGAACCGTATTGTAAGCAATGAATAAATTCTCACGAGTCTTTGAACGCACGATCGTATTATGATCCGATTCAATTCCCATGATTCTTTTTTACGGCTCATCCTTCAAATCTTATGGATCCGTGCTAGCCACGGTTCAATTGAACACACCGTATTGTAAGCAATGAATTAATTTTCACGACTCTTTGAACGCACGATCGCATTGTGATCCGATTTAATTTTCACGATTCTTTTTTACGGCTCCTCGTTCAAATGTTATGGATCCGTGCTGGCCATTCAATCGAACGAACCGGATTGTAAGCAATGAATAGAATCTCACGATTCGTTTTTAACTCGTTTAAATGAACGACTCGTTCAATCTTTGTCCACGTCTACTAGTGACCATTGACAAAGTAATTATGTCACAGTATATGACTCTACCAGCGGCGCGGCGTAGCGTGGCGTCAATACAAAGGGATGTAATAAGTAAATGTAATTAACATTTTGCCAACACATTAAAGTGCCTTTTTTTTTTTAAATAAAGTCCATAATGTGTAAAATTAACATATTATAGAAAGATTAAAAAAGGATAGGTGATAATTTGATAGATGATAATTTTCGCGAGGTCAATCTCTAGACGTCATTTACTAAAAATTGACATAAAACTGTCAAAAATTAACACTAGTTATAGGAAGATTAAAAGAGGATAGAACGTTTCCATACACACAAATTTATTTCCAGAAAATAGTTTTTCCCTAATTTTAAACTACACTACAAATCACATTTCCATTTGCTATTTTTCCTGATCTACTTCGTGTTATTTGGAGACACCATCATTAAGTTTATTCTTTTAAATATCTGTAGTGTGTATTCTGATATGCGACACCCTATATACTATGTATTTGTAAATAAGATCCATCATTTCATTTCAGGTCGAAGAAATGGAACGACATAATCGAAAAGGGCCCCGAATACGGCACGACGGAAGCGGCGTGGAAGGGCGTGCTGGGCGAGGCCGAGCGACGCTGCGATCTCCATTCCAAAGTCCGCGATTGCGTGGTCAACGACGTCATGAACAAGATCAAACAATGGCAAAAGGACACCTATCACAAGGCAAGTAATATCCTTTGATGTCGAGGACGAGCCGATAGGCTTGTCACATGAGTCAGGATATGTCAGTTTTCGTTTACACAAGCGTGCTCTGGGACAATATATGGGGGCGAATAGTTTGATGCTCCTTTAGAATTCCAAATATAATACGTATACACTATACAGTCTTACAATTAAATAGTACAGGGTGTCCCATTAAGAATAGCTCTCGGCTATATCTCAGAAAGTATTAGCCATAGGGCTTACAGAAAAAAAATATTTATAACTAAAGGGGCTATGAGAAATCGCTGTAAATTATTTTCAAGTTTATAAAACGGCCGCTAGAGGGCGTAACTGCTATGGAAAATAAGAAAGTAGAATTTTTACAGAATTTTGCCTAGATACTGAGTACTATAAATAATAGTTTCATAATCTTCACTATAAATTTTGTATTTATTTGTTAGAACCGTTTTTCCCTATCTGCTAAAATAAAGTAGTGAGGGAAGGTTATATCTGTTTTTCTTTAAATATTAATAACTCCGGACTGGATGGTCAGAATCCAACAAACTAAGGCTCGTTTAAAAAAGCGTTCCTTACTCTACATTATACCATAAAAATAATAATAATAAGCTTTTGAATGTAGACGTTAGGGGGCGGTGCCTTTTTTTTTGACAATGAACAAACATTGCGCGTTTTTTTCAAAAAAATTAAATACGATAGTATATGTAATTTTACATGGATAGTAAAGAGTAATTAAAACTTAAAAAGTCACCGAAAATCGCATCTTGATATCTTCTTTCAAACCGAAGATATTAGCAAAATTATAATAGTTGCACTAAAAACTAGGATAAACGTAGTAACACGTTATAGCAGGGGTGTGCATATAATGCAGGAGAAAAGGCAATAAAAAAAATTGTTTTATATAGTCTGTGAAACGAATAACTTTGAATTTGACAGTTCCCGCGGGCTTTTCTAGTGTTAATTTTATTAGGTTAGCAACTTGCGGCCATGCTGACGCAATGCCGTCTCTAATAGAACAGCCTCGGAGCGAGATTTATGACGTCACGTTAACATAATTATTCCTTATATTTGACTATGGCTGAAATCGTACTCCGTAGTCAATGTAGATAGTTTTAGTGTTAAGAATAATAATTTTAAAAAATATGTGATCATATTTTGACAAGTGTATATTAGTTTATTAATTGCAGTAAACATTATGTGGTGTGTGGTGTGAATATTTTATATGCAATTTTTTGGATTATATTCCACACTATTTTTTTTATATGACACAACATTGATTAAGGCTATAATGTTAGCCGAAACGTTTTTTTTAACCAAAAAAATAATGAAAAACCAAATGAAAACTTAATCAGCGTTTTTCCCGAACCTAAATCCCAAGAAAATCAAAAATTTTAGAATAATTTTACATTATAAAATGACAGCGATCTTTATTTCATAGCTATCGCTGACGCATTTTTTTCTATGATATTGTATTATTTGCAAATATAATTTTTCGAACATTGATACTTGCAAAATATATGTACATATAAATTTTGTGAATGCTTCTTGTTAAATTAGATCGATTTTCAAACCCCAAAATTTAAAATATATTTTACATTTTACCCATTATCTTATGTACCTATTCATTATTTGTATATTGTAAAACATTTGCTGCATTTGTATGGTTCATAGTTTATTTGCCAAAGTATTTATTACTATAAATAGGTATATATATTATATTTATTAACTGTATATTATGTATATTTCATGTAAACTATATCATTTTTAAAATACAAACCAAAAATACGAGGAATAATTATGTTTTCCATGTATGGAATAATTATGTTCTACAACATATTTATTAATCCATATCTAATTAGCGTGACGTCATAAATCTCGCTCCCGGGCTGTTCTATTAGAGACGGCATTGGTCTGATATTTAGAAATGTCAAAAGCTGATGACATTTTACTTTTGACAATTATGCCATTTCGTGTTGATTTTTGCAAGAAGAGGAAGAACTGTCACTTGTTTTATTATTTTCCTTTTCTATTTCACGAAAGTAAAAAGAGTTACCTATCTGATTCGTTCGAGGCACTTAATTTAAAAAATACTTAAAGAATATCAGTAACTTTTTTGACAGAGGGATTTTATATTTGCCATGTTGGTAAAAAATAACGGTCAAAATTCAAAGTTATTCATTTTATAGACTATATCATTACTTTGCCAATTTGTCATACCCTGCTTTGATTTGTACTGCACGCCATTGCCTTATAGACAGAGCTTTATTCCAATTTCTTGGAAGTGGCTTTTTTAGTACACAAAAAATCATTATAGACATTTATTTATAGAAGCCGTTGTTCTCAATATTAAACAGCTATTATAAATATTGAAATTCTTTTTCTTGTAAATAAATGATTTCAAGGTTTCGTTAAAAATAGGGAAATGGGATCCAAAATGGTATATTTTACACTTGTTAAAACAGAGGAAGGAAAAATGCTTTCGATTGTGGCATTATTTAGTAAAAATGAAATATTCCCATGGATTATTCAATCGAAATAAGTTTATTTTAGTTTCACACAGAAATGTTGCAAAAAATAGCAGAACAATATACAAATGGAGGTATTAGTCTATTGTAGTACCACTGCATTAGATAACGATACAGAAACGATACGGTATTTTTTCGTAGATCAAATTTTAAATGAGTTTATTTGTCATATTTTTAATGACGGTATATAGTTGTCAAATGTAGATTGGTTGTTGGTTAAGCAGTGTTTTCGTGCATCCGTCGTAGGTTGTTCCGCCACACCAATCATATTTAAGTACTGTCATTTTTCAAATAAATCAATAAAATCACATAAAATCAACGATTGATGACTCATTTTGGATGTATGTACGTAATGCCAAAGATGAACTTATAAAAAAAATACTTTTTTCTAATTTTGATATTTAAAATGATTTGTTTATTTTCGACCTTTCTATCAATACACATATATGTTTTTTTTTATTTTGTATAGAAATCAATTTATAAAATGTCATATATTAGATTTTGAACTAGATAATAATTATTTATCGAATACAGCATTGTAACACGTACATACATTTTCACTTGCATTTGTATTTTGTTTATACTTTACGCAAACTTTTACTTTCTTAAAAGGTATTGGAACAGCACCAAATGAATAGTAATAGGCTTAGTTTACGTGAGAAGATCTTTAAAAAGGTTTTTTAGCTAATAGCACATTCTTTGAGAAAGAATTACGTTATTAATCTAAATTTCGATCGTGCTGAATGAAGAATGAATTTAAACCATTCAAAATAACGAAAAACGCGTATCGAATGATTAAATTTTTATGTAATTTCTATTCTACGAAGTCATTTGGCAATGATCAAGGTTACAGCAAGTTATAGCGTGAAAATTGTAATATAGAAATAATTAAAAATTGTTAATTAAATCAAGTAAATATTAATTATGTAAATTTTTGGACAAATTTTATTTTAGGATATAAAAATTCATTCTACAGGGTGAGTGATTGTAATTGAATGTACAATGCCTTTAGTTTTATTAACAAAACAAAATCGACAGAAAGAAGTTTTAAAGTTTGTTATGTGATACATTGCATCTCTCTAATGTATAAATATAAAAATAGTACCGTATGATCGAAAAAAAAACGGCGTGAGCGATGGCTATGAAATGAAGGTCGCTGTCATTTTATATGTAAAATTATATGGGGAATGTCATCGATCGATATTTCTAAGCCAACTAGACGCCGTTTCAATCATACGGTATATGAGTCCTTCCTACCACAGATTAGGTATCCTATAAGTATACAGATAAAAATCTTGTCCCTAATTCGTGGGACGAAAATTGTTTTTTATGACGATGTGCAAACGAGTAAAATTTCCTGTGCGCAAAAATAAACTCGCGTAAAATAACAATAAACAGCGTAATAGAGAGATATCGCTAAACCGAATAGCGTGCATAGACGTTAATAAGGCCAGGTGTTATTTCCTTTACGTGAGGTGGTATTAACTCTCTTCATTTATAGTTATCGGATCGGAAAGAATTATGTTCGCGTCGCGTCCGCTATTTAAACTTAACCTAACTTTGCAATTGTTTTGTTTACTAGGTATTTTAAAACTAAAGGGCTAAAGTGCTTATTTCCAGTGCTTTATTGTTCAACGTCTGTCAGTGGGTTTAGGGCAACAAGCAACAAATTCTCTTAGAAGGGCTAAGTCGTCATCTGCTGTAAACCTAAGCCTCTTTATAGGTTTGTTAATATTGGAAGAGCTTCAATCCATATTTTGGGCCATATTTATTTAATTAAAACTAATCCCAGCTACTTAAATATCATTACCTAACCTCGCCGGCCTGGCCCCGGTTGTAAATACCCGCACATACCCATTTAAGCAATTTTTAAACGTTATTTAGAAATAGCGCTTGGTGTAATTGATCCGCAAATTACATCAGGCGGTAACGTTATTAGCGGGTGTTGCTTTGAAAATTGACTCGCGCATATTGTAACCATGCGATAAGGTACGCGTAAATACTGCATGACACTATTCGGTTTTCCGATACCTCTCTAATAACTGTGCCGGTCAGGCGCCTGTGCACAATTTTAGAGGCCATAAGTGGGCGTGCTATGTGCGCAAACTAGTAACCTAACTAGTGCCCGATTCCGAAAATTGGAACCACGAAAATCAATAAAGAAAAAACAAAGTCATAATCTGTATAATCTGTGTTCCTACTCCTACTCATTTGATTATATTTGAATATCTATTAATATTTCACAAGGACTTTGCTCGTCTATCACTGTTAAGAAGTTTGACATTGGCGTAGCAAATAAGTTTTTATTGGATCATACGGTATTTGTACTGTGATGTTTTAATTTAGGTCAGTTTTATATTATCTAAATTTAGTTATGAAATTTTACTGTATACTCAAATTACGTAGATTAATCAATCGAAATGAGAACTTCTTTAATAGAATACTTGCTCGCTACTCTAATGTAATTTTGTAACAAAATTTAACAGTCGTTGATAGTTCTATTACAACTTACAATTCATATAGGGGAATGACACTATTTATTATGTGATTCCATTCAAGTGTTTTTCATCAATTTTTATTAAGTCCAAGTGTTCAGTTCGTTATATTTTATTAAGTGATTAAGTTTACGTTTATTTTACTATCGTGACCCGCAAGTAGGGATGAAACTCATTTAAAAAGCATTTAGGTGCCGCCCCCTTACAAGTACGAGTCATATTGACATCGAAATAAAATTGTCAAAAAATACCCAGAATTATTTGAAAAAGACAGAAATAAAAATGAAATTTCTACTCCCTGTATCTCTGAAACGAAGCAATTTAGGACGTACGTACATTTATATGAACTTTTTTACTTATTTTTATCTGCAGATTGCGCCGCCGGAGTTTCGCGAGTACAATTCGGACCACCCTGTAGATTAAACAGTGAATGAATGAATTTTTTTCTCAATAAAAAGGGGCCGTTCTCTGCCGGAAACATTGCGACCTGTGTGGCCTATTGCGTTTGTCCCCTTTCTGTATTTGCACCCATTCTCCTATCCCTGTGCCCTGCACTAACTTATGCAGGTCCTTGATAGGATGGGAGCATAGTTCCTCCGGTTCTAGCCTCCCAGTTAGAAAGTGTCGCTTGCTGTCCAAAGTCTCGCAGTAACATAAAATATTATGTGCTCCGCTGTTTCAGGATCTTTATTTCAGAGTCTGCAGCAAAGACTTCCTTGATACAGGTTGAGCTTGTTTAGGTAACTCTTGACAGCCATGATCCTGTCAAGAGGCCTGTTGTAATCCGCACTTTATTCCTGCTAAACCTTAGCAGTTCTTTTGCGGTTTTGGAGCTAGGCCTTTGGATAAAGGCCTTGCTGTGCCTGTGCCCCTGTCTGTGAATGCTTAATCTGTCTTATAAATCAAAATATTCTACTAGCGGAGCTTTAAAGGGGCATTTACCAGAGAACACTTTTTTCTTATTGGTGTAAATTTCAAAGCCATTACATTACCATAGACGATGTCGAATGCCGAAACAAAAAAGTCTCTCGTGACTTCTACTATATCAAATCATTTCTGTTATAGTCTATGATGCAAATCAAGGAGAAAAAAGATATGGACGATGCATTCAAGAAGGCCCAAAAGCCCTGGGCTAAACTGTTGCAAAAAGTGGAGAAAGCCAAGTCGGACTATCACACAGCCTGCAAAACGGAGAAGTCTGCCGCGAATCAAGAGAGAAACGCTGCCGGCGATACGTCATTTTCAGCGGACCAAGTAAGTAAACGTCTTTTATTTTATATATGTATATACCGGGTGCGTCTCAAAAGTGGCTCACCTCTAATAACTTTTATTTTTTCAGTTAAAAAATCGAAATTTCGTATGTTAGTATATGACATAAATTAGGATTGTGTTATTATTTCTGTTGCACCGGAAATGGCTAGAACTTTTGATTCTTTGATATTCAATAGAAAATATATCATATCATATGTCAATTTTTGACATTTTCGAATATGGTTTGTTTGAGATGTGTGGTACCAAATTATTCGGAAAAAATACTTTTTCCAAATATGCTAATGATCCACCTTCGTTCCATTTGAAAAAATTGAGATATGATTAAAAATAAGATTTGGCCATCTTTTAACCGTCCAGGACAAGACACTAAAACATTAGACGATCAAATCTATTTTCCAAGGCTCCTTGATTAAAAATTAATGTTTTTAACACAGCCAAAATTACAACATTCCCTTAACATTTAAAATACGATTTTGTTTTAAGCGAAAATGTCAGAAGTTGACATACAATATGCCAATCTATTCAGAGTGTCATTTGCTATCGAATAAAGTAAAAAAATACCGAGGGTGCCATTTAAAAATCAAAAGTTGTAGTTATTTCCGGTGAAACAGGAAGTGGCCGAAAAGAATTGAGTACGTAATTCAATCCTAATTTATGTAATATACTAACACACCAAATCGAGATTTGGTATGTTAGTAAAACGAGTTTTTTTATCTGGAAAAATAAAAAAGTTATAGGGGTGAGCCACGTTTGGGATGCACGTATTAAACGAGATACACCATTGGCGTAACTAGGACTTTCTTATGAATGTTACTATTCTTACAGTTTTTTTACACTCCAGAAGAGGAACGACGCAGCTGTTGTAATGCGAAAAAACTTTTTGTTTTTGAAATGATAAATGAACGTAATACCTTAAAATAAAGTGCATTTATTTTGGAAATACATACATAAGGTCTGTTCAACGACAAAATCCTTGACAGTGATAGATCTGTCTTACAAAGAAATAAGTTGGTACAGTTTGAATGCAAAGTAGAAAATTTTTAATATTTGTGGAGTCAAATGATTACTTCAAAATATGAAAAAAGTATATAATATAAAAAAATATATTTTAGGGTGTGTGTTAATGATGCGTGTTAAACAAAACAACCCATAAAAAAGTTAGGTAAAAAAGAACTATTTTTTACTTTCAAACTTCAAGAAACTTCCAGCATTTATTATTAAATTTATCAAATAATTTATATGCAAATTAAAAATGTATTAATATTGCACAGGAATATATAAAACGAAACATAATATTTTATTGATAAACATTTCAATAATATCCATAGTCAACTTAAAAAATATGAGAAACTTTTTTTAGCGGAATAAATGGATTGGCATGGGCGCCATCTGCCTTTTTTCTGTCGTGGTCTGTCGAAATCCACCATAATTCGTGAAACAGAGATCAGGTTTCCATCGTTCATTCCACTTAATTGTAGGTTATTATTACATTTAGGTTTTTAGGTTTTTTTTCTTTATTTTAAAATTTAGTTTTTTGCCTTCTCTTGTAAAATGAACCATTTAACAGTTGCGTTATTTCTTTACCGGAATGGCTATATTTTAGAAAATTAAAAACATTAAAATCACTAATTTCAGTACAGAATCCTGGTTATTGCCAGTGGTTTTCACTGAGAATTAGTAAAAATGCACTAATTATTTTTATTTCTACTTTTCTCCTATAGAAGTCACAAATGGTGAGTTTAATCGCCTGCTCATACTTGTTTTTTTGCTTGTTTGCATTTAACAAAACACACATATGAGTAATATAAGTACCTGATCAAATGATATCAGCCTCCTTTATGCTGTGTACCTCTAAAATTGATTCTGTAAAATCCATTATCACACTAAATCTCATAAAATGGAATGAACGAACACTTACAAAATCATTATGTGCAGGGTGTTCACATATCATTTAGCCAATAGCTATCTCCGTAAATATTGGTCTTCAAAAACCTTTAAATTATGAACTTTTTTTTGAAGTGACACTTCTTTACGCGCCATGGGAGTAAAAATTCAAGGCCGTGACTCGAAGAGCTTTTCATGATATTTTGACGTTTCGTGCGCTACGAAACCACATCATCAATTAATCAATTAAAAAAAACGTCTAAATCTGTTTAAATGAAACTTTGAAATGATCGGCACCAAGGTTAACTTGACCTTGTACGACACGTGTCAGTGACAGTTAGTTTTGACATAAGAAACGTCAAAAGTTGATGTCGTCCGATCGTGACCAAATTTGGTGGGTAGGCTATGTGAGCCACAGTGCACACGATCCCACCCTGCAAAGTTGGATACGACGCGACGTTTCGTATACATCTTGATCAGGGTTTGACTAATGATTGGATATTGAAGAAAAATGTGGATCGAAGTGGGGCATAATTGGGGATGGGCTACAGGATGACGCCCTCGAAGTTTCGAACCGATCCTTCTAAATGGACGAAATCATCAGTTTTTTTTTAATTATGGGACGATTGAAACTAAACTCAACACGTGGATAGAAGTATCCGAATGGAGTGGACTCAGAGGGGCAGACAAAGTATGAAGGGGTTTCACTTCAAATATGCGCACGTAGTGCACACAATTTTTTTATTCCTAAAAGCACTAAAGAAAATTCCAACAAAATCATATTTTTGAACTTACTCAACTGAAAAATCAGATATGGTAGAACATTCTGTTTAAAAATATACAACTTCTATTAAAATTCGACGGTTGTTATGGTGTTTTGTTTGAAAAATAGAATATGGAGATTTTTGACAAAATTCTAAAACATTAATATTTTTTTTAAGTAATATTATACTGAGATAGTTATTGTGATATAAAACCCCATGCATAACAATAAGTTTGAATTTCATTATTAATACCTAATTTGCTAATTTAATTTTCTCATTGCATTTTATTTAAAATATTAATAGTTTTTTTTTAATTCTGATATCTGTAATTAGAATTAGAGAGAAATGTGTTATGCTAACTGATTTCATATATACTTGTCAAACAATAATTGATATCTTAGTTTGAACAAATGTTTTTATTTGAAATCTAGGTAAAGAAAATGCAAGACAGAGTACAAAAATCGAAGGAAGAAGTTCAGAAATGCAAAGAAAAATACCAAGTGGCTTTACAGGAGATCAATCAATACAATCCGAAATACATGGAAGATATGACTGTAGTATTCGACAAGTGCCAAGAAATGGAAGCGCAGCGGTTAAATTTTATCAAAGCGACGCTGTTCGACATTCATAAGTACCTCAACATATCTCAAGATCCTCTGTAAGTACTGTTTTAGTTCAAAATTTTCTATATAGGCTTGGTGCACACATTTCAGTCGATTTTTAAAATTTCGACAACAGCGCTCGGTACGGAGAATGCACTAAGCCTATACATACTCTGTATTTTTGTTTTATTTATTTGATATTTATTGATATCTTAGGCTCAATCAGATCTATGAAGAACTCTATCACACGATCAACAACGCCGATTACGAAAAGGATTTGAAATGGTGGTCGAATAATCACGGCGTGAACATGGCCATGAACTGGCCCCAGTTTGAGGTTAGTGAGCTTACTGAGGTATCGGCATGCTTGATTTGTGTGCCATGTGCCATATATTAGCGAATTGTTTGTTGTTTAGTTGACCCTGAAACTATATTTGTTTTAAGTAGACCATCAAGACATTTAAAAATGATAATAACAACATTTGAGTAAAAACTTTTAAGAGGGTTCAGAGAATTTTTTAGTATACCGATTTGGTAATTTTAGAAGTGTGGTCTAGATTTTAACGTGCAAGACAGTGATGTAGGCAACTTAATGGAAAATCAAATTTATTAAAAAGAGATAAAAGTTGGGTTGATACACTTCTTCTATGTGATATTGCCGGATTTTGCATCAAAAGTTCAAACCGCACAAGTAAATGGAAAATGTTGCATTTAGGATTGGAATCTTATTTTTCACAATTAGGTTACTCATTTTATTACAGATGGAATAGATTATAATATTTAGCTGCTGTGCTATATTATCTTCATTTCAGTAGTATATATGAAAGTTCTTAAAATAGTTTTTTTTCTACACAAATTTTCCTACAAACGTAAAAACCGGCAACACTGTATGCGCTTTTGATTTTGTCTCTCTCACTATCCACAACCGGTAATTTATATTATTCTCTGTCTTACACGTTAAAATCCAGATCACACTTCTAAAATGACCAAATCGATATAAAATCTATATGTGTTTTAAAAATGTTTTAGAATACTACTTTGAAACAGAGCTGATGAATTGATAACACTGAAATGTTTGACACAGAAAACTTAATTAATTACTTTAATTAACCTCACTTTTCCATACCCTGTGTCGCGTGGTCATCGTAGCAACATTCGAGTGAATATATCCAAGAAATAACTAATATATGTAACACTATTTTTTGTCCACGTTAGTATGTTTTTATGGCTAAAATCTAAATGTATTTCTTAAAAATGAAGTATACTCAAAAGAAATACAGACTTTATTATGTCGGAGCCTAAATCAGGCGGTCGATAATCGAATGTCACTGATATGTTTTCAACAAAAATGTAACGAATGTTTTTCTTAATTTTCTCTAAAACGGTATGGAAATTTGGAGTATAAACGGGATTATCCATTTTAGAACAAGTAAAAGTTTTTATAAAAAATGCATTTTTTCCCAAAATGTCTATAATAAAAAAGTTTTTCCACTTGTAGACGATCCCGGGACATACTGTATATATTTTCATAATATACTTAAATATGTTTCTAGACCGTTTTAGAGTTCTGAAAACTTCACGGTTAATCACCCTATATTATTTTTATACCATGAATGAACAATATATTGGCATGATTTTTCCCTATTTATTTTGTTTTCATTGTGTGTGTTTTTTTCTTGAATTGCATGTGTACAGGATTACACGGAAGAATTCAGGGACATCCACAAGGGCAAGTCCAAGGATTCGTCAACAACAGGAATTACGCTGATCAACCAGAGACCGGTCGGCGAAGATTTGCATGTAGGCTTTACTTTTTATTTTATTTTGTTTATTAACCGACGTTTGATACATGAATAACGATATAACCGAGTTTTTTTGTTTTGGATTTGCTAGGAATATTCCAACACCAAAACCAGCAGCAAAGGAAAATTACCAGCCAGCAAGCCTAACAATGCATCTGCACCGGTGACGCAGGCGCAAGAAGTTAAGGTGCAACCTAAGCCGGTAGAGAGTCCTTCAAACAGAGCGTCAACGATAACGTAAGTGAAATTTTTCAAAATTTTTACATTTTTTGAAGGGAAACTTCTTTATGCGCGATGGGAGTAAAAATTCAAGGCCGTGACACACAAGTTAGCGTAGAAATACATAGTGACGCGTAATGACCCGACGTGAATTTGTGAGCAGTCCGCGTGTTTATAAAAAATGTTGATGTTTTAATACAAATTTTGTGAAAGTTAATCAGATTGTTTATTAATTTTTGATTTACTACTTTTTTAACATTTCAAACTACACTTTTCCAAACATGTCCTTCAAATCCTTCAATTTAATAGCCGTTAGTAAAAAGTTTCACTTCAAATATGCGCACATCAGTGGCGGATACAGAGAGGGGGCCATGGGGCCCGGGCCTCCCCTAAAACCTGTAAGTTGGGTTATATATTAGCCTTTTGGGTTAAAATTTACACCCTAAAAGGCATATTTTACATTATTTTTGATTTGGGCCCCCCCTAAAATAAATTTCTGTATCCGCCCCTGGCGCACATAGTGCACACATAATTTTTAATTCACTGATCACTGATCTGAAAGTAAATAAATATTTTTAATAAGAAAAAAAATGTTAAAGTTTTTCTGTCACTTCTTCGCTGTGTATGTCGCTGGAGATCTGGACATGGAGTTGAGGGTTAATTCTAAGTTCTAAGTAATGTCCTTAAACGTTCAAATTACAACATAAGAAACCTAAATAACTTAAATATTAGTTTTTTGTTTGGAAACAACATACAATGTGTCAATTTTAAAACTTCCCACCCTTACTATCTTTCTTGCAGTTAAAAATATGAAAAATCGGAAAGCCAAGTCAATTTTATTTTTCTAAGTAATGTCCTTAAACGTTCAAATTACAACATAAGAAACCTAAATAACTTAAATATTAGTTTTTTGTTTGGAAACAACATACAATGTGTCAATTTTAAAACTTCCCACCCTTACTATCTTTCTTGCAGTTAAAAATATGAAAAATCGGAAAGCCAAGTCAATTTTATTTGTAAGGGGGATACTTTAAATGGATATTATAGCCTTTTTCTTTTAAGTCCCTAGGAGGGGTAGATGTCCCTAGAGGGGTAGATGTTTTATAATCTTAAATGGCAATGGGAGTGTGTCAAGTGGCACATCGTTCTATAGAGCGTTTAATTCTCTTTTCAGTGGTATCGTTGTTGCTTTTTGTCCAGAGGTTTACGAATAATCGCGTTTCAAAGTTGCAGAAACAATAAAACATGCCTGCTACATTGAGATTTAGGTTTTCAGGCTAGTGTGTTTACAAAAAAAGTATTGCAATGGATCTCCTTGTAATACAAATGATTAGAAGATTACGTGGCAACATGGACGTAGCCATTACATTTTTCTGGGGGGTCAAAATACTAATAAACAGAAAATATCATAAACATTAACGTTTCTTTTCTCAAATTCGAATGAGTGACAACCTCTAATCAGTTTTACGGGAGGATTTGTTAATATTCCAGCAGGACGGGGGGTGCTCCACCTCATTATTTTCTTTCGGTCCGATAGTGGTTAAACGGGAGATTTCCGGGTACATGGATTGGCCAAAGGGGACCAATTGAATGGCCTCCAAGATCACTGGATTTAACACCTTTAGACTTCTTTCTTTGGGGACATCTTAAATCCATTGTTTATAAAACTCAACCTACTGATATTGATGATTTTAAAGGGAAATTACAGCAGAATGCCGGTCAATTCCCGGTGAAGTTTTCCGAAACGTTAGGAAGGAGTTTGAAAACAGACTTTATTATTACAGGAAAATGGACAACATTTTGAACAACTTATAAGATAGGGTGTAAGCGGTGTAACTTAATCTTCTATTCATTTGTATTACAAGGAGATCCATTGCAATAATTTTTGTGTAAACACTAGCTTGAAAACCAAAATCTCAATGCAGGTATGTTTAATTGTTTCTGAAATTTTGAAACGTGATTATTCGGAAACCTATGGACAAAAAGCAACAAAGTAGGATACCACTGAAAAGAGAATTAAACGCCCTTTAAAACGATGTGCCACTTGACCCCCATTCCTATTTAAGATTGTAAGGGTGACATCTACCCCTCCCAGGGGGTTGAAAGAAAAAGGTTAAAAATATTCATTCAAAGTGTCCCCCTTACAAATAAAATTGACGTGCTTTTCCGATTTTCCATATTGTTAACTGCAAGAAAGATATTAAAGGTGGGAAGTTTTAGAATTGACACACTGTATATGTACAACATTTAGGAAGGATTTTAAATCATATTTTTGTTAATAGGAACGGTTCTACTGCTAAAGCAAACGAGTCCAATCCGTTTGAAGAAGAAGATTGGGAAAACGATGCGTTAGTTGATAACGGAGAGCCGGGAGTTCCTGTCAAAGCCTTGTACGACTATGAAGGAGCAGAGAGCGACGAACTTAGTTTTAAAACAGGTAAAAATACTATTTCCCTTCGTAATTTTGATAAACTTATTTAATATGATACGAAAACATTGAGACAGTAGTTAAATGTTGCTACAATAACTGTTTTTAATGGTTTATCTCAACTCAAACGAAATAAATTAATCTCTAAGGGCTCAAACGCACTGACGACCAGGTCGCCGCTACCTGTAATATCATTAAATCAAATGATACAACGCGCACTAACGACCACGACCAAGCCTGGCCGTTGGCTGGTCGCTGCCATGGTTATTAAAAGGTAAGGTTGTCTCGTAACTTTTGGACCAATAGGAGCGCCGTTTTTGCACACGTGCACATAGCATCACTCTGACGTAGATAGAACGTATAAAATCATAGATAAAAGGAATAAAAAATATAATGCAACCGACAAAGAGAGATAAATGGACAATACAATAAAGAAAACACACGTCAAACAACTGAAAACTATTGACGCCATACACTATAAACAATAAAGTACACAATGAATATCGATTCGGAAATGCACTGTCGGAGTGTGGGCAGTTTTTATCCCTTTATCTATGAGCGGTATCATTCCTATGACGTAGTAGATGACGTTTTCGATAATGACGGATCGAGTTACGAGACAAACTTATCTTTTAATAACCTTGGGTCGCTGCGACCAGTAGACTGCACTAAATATTATTATTTTCTGCCGCTTGTTGCCGCTTTTCTTCCAAATTAATAATTTTCAGATGAAATCGCTCAAATTCAACGCAAAATTTTCTATAAGATGTAGTGTTTTAGTGTAGTTGTTGCACACGTGCAGAAAATCCAAAGAAATAGTATACAAACTGGATCAAAGGAAAACTTAAATTTAGTTCCTTTTTTATCAAGATTCGATTCTAGTAAAAATTCAAAACATTTTTATATGACATACTCTATTTATGGTTGGTATGATACCTGTTATTATACCTTCGAGTTTCGATGGTAAAATATAAAAAAGCATATATAAGTTTCTTTTTGATCTGCCCTGTATAATCTTTTATTTCTTCCTCTACAATGTGTGAACTAACTATTATATACTAATTACCTTACTGTAATTACTATTAATATTTTAAATGCATTATTTATATAATATTAGAACATTGAATAAGCTCATGAATAGGAACTTCGCTTTTTAGTTAACTCGGATATTTTAACATTTCCGAAAACAGTATTTTCAAATTGGTAAAATGTAAAAAATCGTTAGATCTGACAACCTTGCTGAAACTGGTCGTTCATCTGGACGCACCTATATGTACGCAATATATCGACGTGGTCGCAGCGAGCTGGCCGTCAGTGCGTTTCAGCCCTAAGAACGAACAAAATTTGAAAAAAATTACATTTATTATATACCTATGTTTTTTTTTCGAAATAGGTGATGTATTTGAAAAGTTAGAGGATGAAGATGAACAGGGTTGGTGTAAAGGTAGAAAAGACGGAAGGGTAGGGTTGTATCCAGCAAATTATGTGGAATCAGTTGGACAATAGAATGATACGTTGTTTTCCAGGCGACTGTTAAAGAAAGAAAATAAACACTTATTAAGATTTCTTATTTTCTCTAATTTTGAAAATACATTGTTGAATTTGTAATTTTTGGTTTATGTATAGGTCAAAATTTTATTGTCAAATAAAAAACGTCATATCGTTCTTCTAAAGCAAACGATTGATATTTTAAATGTAAGAAATTTGAAATTTATTATATGTTTTGTTATTTATACTATTAATTTATATGGACAGGAAATTGTTTTTTTGACAATTTGAATTTGCTTTAACTATTAAATGCATTTGTTAGATTTATCAATTTTTTTTGTTTTGCGAAATTCATTATTAAATAATGGTAGCTTTAGACTAAAATATATGATTATTATTAAAGTATATAGATATAATATTGTTTTGTACAAAATGTAAAGTTTAATTTATAAACGTTCAGTACCATATAGGCAATACATAAGACTACAGTAAGATTAATACAAAGAAGTAAATTGATAGATATATATAAAACAATCGGTACATATTTACATGGCCTCTACTATGGTGGATTGGTGTGTGATAAGTGTTTTCTTTATTTACATGGCAGAAATGTAGTGGAGTACTAAATCATATAAATTAACATGGATGTTCTGATATACAGTGTCCTATGGATGATCCGTTTATTAAAAGTTTTTTCGGACAATTAATTTTTGTCAACATTATAGAGATAAATTGCTAAGATTTGGGCATTTCAGTATTTGACAAGACATTAGAATATGTTGCCAACAAAAATGCACCTATTTTAATGAATCCTTATTAATTTATATGAAATTAAAGTATGTAGAATAAATATAATGTTTTAAAAGAAACAGAGAACCAAACAAAAATAAGTTGTATACGGAAATAAGTTACTTGTATTGTTATAGGAATTGCTCAAATTAAATTGCAACTTTTAAATGGTTTTAATAAATTATTCACCTTGATACACTTCTCTGTTTCCTTTTGTAACTTATTTTTGAAAAGTTTATAGATAACGAGACTATACGCTATATATTAAGATATTCGGAAGTCAATATTTATTGAAGTAATGGAAAACTACTAATCCAGTTACTTTATTTGTTATTGTTGTTGTTTAGTAATGTAGCTAGGAAACCTTTGTCTCACTTGAGACACTGTCGTTAAAAAATAGAGATATTTAACTGGATTGGTACACTATAGTTATTCCATTAGTGAAAGTGTACATATATATTAATAAAAAATAAATATATTTTAGACATGCGTTATTTAACCCCCACCCCCCACCTTAATGCAGATGAAAAAGTTGGCTTGCAAGTCACATTTGATGCCATAGAGAGCTATATATTAGTAATTGATTATCTATTATCACAGATTAGGTATTCTATAAGTATACAGATAAAAATTTTGTCCCTAATTCGTGGTACGAAAATTGTTTTTTATGACGATGAGCAAACGACAAAGGAGTAAATTTTCTTGTGCGCAAAAATAACACCCGTTTAAGCATCGTAATAACTGGGCTGGTCAGGCGCTGTGCACAATTTTAGAGGCCATAAGTAGGCGTGCTTGTGCGCAAACTAACCTAGTGCGCGACTCCGAAAATTGGAACCAGAAAAACAATGCTGACGATAAGTTTATAATCTGTGCTATTATCAATTTACTTAAAAAAAAACGGCGTTATGGCGGCCTTAGAAATGACAAAAAATTATTAAAAAATCATAAATTCGGAACTGCCAAATTAGTGAGTAATCCGCATTACTGAAATATTTTTGTAATGTATTTTTTCGTATTTACATTTATAATAATTAGAACATTTATTAAATTAAAAATCGCCAAATACATTAAATCTTACGGATAAAATAATATCCAAAAAAAGAAAAAAATATATTTCGAAGCTTATATTTTATTTAATTAAACTTAAAAGATATCGTCCCTTAGCTAACAACACCGCTCAAGTCGAAAATTGGCGGTTTTTACATTTTAATGCCATTGGATGAAGCTGCGCATTGCGCGTCGAACCATTGGTCTCATGAAATAGATTTCGGCCAATCAGAAGCCGTAATTCAAAAAATAGTGACAGCGCTCAAGTCGGTTGGCGTCGCAATTATTATTATTGTCTATAGTTGGCTATGCGGTCCCAGGTTATCCCTGCTAATTTCGTAATATCATCGTCCAATCTCAGGTTTGGTCTTCTTCTATAGGTCTCTTAATTCCTCGTGGGTACCATGCAGGAATATTTGTAGTATATCCTGTTGTCCGTTTTTCTTGCCAGGTGTCCTGCCCATTGCCACTTGAGGGATTTGATTCTGTGGATGACATCTATTACCTGGGTCATTTGTCGAATCCACTCTATTCTATATGGTCTTTCTGAGTGATTCCCAGCATATTTCGTTCCATTGCGCGTTGTGCGACCTGCAGTTTACTTATAATGTCCGTTTTAAGTGTCCAGGTTTCGCATGCATCTTGATACACAATATCACATTCAAAGATTATATTTTTTAAATCAATTTTAACGGCATACTTATCGATATTGCTACCTCAACAGTCTTCTCCTTCACTTTTAGTCCTTTCCACCGCAAAATTGTTTGCGGTTTGTTGAGTGTAATAATTGTGAGAATATGGGATTACAAGGTTCAAAGATATTACGCAATATACCATCCTGGCAAGCGAAACCTTGGGTCGGTGTTTACATGTAAGGAGAGTAAAGAGTGAATCGCTATGGCAATCTAGTAAATCGGAGAGAGCAAAAATAAGTATTTATTGCATAACCACTTAATCCGACGCTGGATTACATGCGCTTGTGAAAATACTTGCTCTTCTATCTTTATTCAGTACATATCTTATTTTACTAAACGTGTTGACCGTACTCTTCGCACACACGAAAATCGGCACCCAAGGTTTCGCTTGCCAGGATGGTATAAAAGTAAATACTATTATTTAAAAAAATCACTTTATTGTACTTTTTCATTATCAATGATTCCATTATCTGTGTTATTGTCTAGATTTTGTCTTTTAAACCAACAAAGTACATTGATCCATGCAAAGGAACAGGCCCCAATGTAGGTTACCCTGTATACACTGGGAATTACTGAAAAATTTACAGCTTGGGCGGGTAACCAGAATAGACAATTTGCTAGGAACGTGTGTCCAAATTTTTCTTTACACTCGGCTAGTAGGTCATCTTTTCTTTCTAGAATGCTCATGGCTGAAAAAAATAAATTATTATGCAAGGTGTTATTGTAAACAAACCGTTCATTAAAATTATTTTAGGAATCTAATTTAGACTGAATGTTATGATATTCTGGTTAAAATAGCCGATTTTGGATAGTTTGGATTGATATTCAACTCTCCCGAAAAAACATTTTATAGCTTCGCAGCTTCTCACACCGGTTAGATCAAAACCAAAAATGGATTCAAGTTCATTCAGTTCAGTTCGACGAAACAATTGGGTAAAAAAAGTACTCATGACAATCAAAAAAATAAATAGGCATATACTATGAGTGTATTTGTATATGTCGGTTGTTTACGATATTCTTCGATGATGGCAGCACCGGCAGACAATACTCCAAGCCTATAGCAAACCTATAGCACAGATCATACAGATTATAAACTTAACGTCAAAAGCATTGTTTTTCGTGGTTCCAACTTTCGGAGTCGCGCATTAGTTAGGTTACTAGTTTGCGCACAAGCACGCCCATTTATGGCCTCTAAAATTGTGCACAGCGCTTGACCGGCCCAGTTATTACGCTATTTAAACGGGTGTTTATTTTTGCGCACAAGAAAATTTACTCGTTTGCTAATCGTCATAAAAAACAATTTTTCTACATCGAATTAGGGACAAGATTTTTATCTGTATACTTATAGGATACCTAATCTGTACCTATAGTGAGAACGCGCGAAATATTATTATTATTTTAAAAACACAAGTAGGAACGTAAAAATATCCTTTACAAAAAAAACATTTACAACAACTGTTACATCTAAATTAGATTCTAAAATACTTTTAATGAAGGTTTTGTGTGAAAAACATCTAAAATGATACTTTGGTATAAAAAGTACTAACAAATGTAAAATACAACTAAAAGCTGTGGCGTAAAAATAAATTGGTCAACAAGCATTTTTTTCACTATAGTCTTAACCGCTGTACCAGGTAGCTTTTTGTCCAGGAACTTGTACCTAAAAATAATGTGTAGTATAAGCAGTATTCAATGTATTTTCTTCTATTTTCTAATACAAGGCGAACCAGAGTCATATAGTATCCATGTTAAATGTTAATTGTGATTTACAAAACAAAAGAGTCCAAGACAAAATGTCAAGTGTACTTAAAAATATTGACAGGTCCTCTGACAGGCCCGAGCGTTGTCCCACTTGGGTAAAAAATGTACATGTACTGCCAAAATATAATTTTATTGCCAAGCGATTGCCAGTGATTGTTAAGAAGAAGACCGTCTATGTCTGCTATATTATTATAGTCAACTGATGCCAACGACTGCCGGTGACTGTCAAGAAAATGTACATGTAATTCCAATAGTCAGGATGATATACAGGGTGTCCCAGGCTGAGCGTGCATTAAAACCAACAACAAACTAAAAGTACAATTTAGTGATTACCACAGCCACTGTGACATAAATTGTTCAAATGTCATATAATAATGGCGGTAGCTGTCATGGAATTGAGTGATTAAAAAATTATCATAAATTATTTTTTTCAAATGGAAATCCACTTTTTTATTTTACTAGTGCATGTTATACCTAAAATGAATCGTTTTTAAGTTATTTAAGATCTAGTTTGAAAACGTATAATTTTCTTGATGTTATCTAGCTTCCTTTGACGTTAAGTGTCAAACAGTCAGACAATTTATTTCCATCTGTCAGATAACGAATTATTTGAATTTCCTACATTATAATTAATTTATTATTATAATTTTAATATTAATATTATGATATTATTAATTATTATACTGCCTGCCTTAAGAGTTTAAAAAGTGTATTTATAGAAATATATCTCTTATTTTTGCTCTTTAGTGATATCTAATAATTGATATTATTAATAATATACCGATATATGATCGAAAACAAACAAGCAAAGTTGGCTCGAGAATAATGATCGATAACATACTGCTTTTTGAACAAAGTGTCACTATATGACATAGCCAGATCTATTGTTTTACATCACTTGACGTTTAAAGTCAGGCTACTGGTTAAAATCAAGAAAAATATACTCTTTGAAACTAAATCTTAAATAACTTAAAAACAATTTATTTTAGTTATAGGAACATGTATAGTCAAAAAGTAACGAAATGAAAAGCCTTTTCACTAGTGAAATAAAAAAAGTGGGTTTCCATTTGAAAAAAATTATTTATGATAATTTTTTAATTGCTCAATTCCATGACAGCTGCGGTCATTATTACGGCATTCGAAAAATTTCATTTTTGAAATAGATAGCCACATGTCTTCCCTTTATGTGGATGTGGTAATCACTAAATTTGACGTTTAGGCTATACACATATTTGTGACAGGCAGTTTTTTTCGTTCAAAAATTTTTTTTTTCTCAAAAACGGTTAATGTTAGATATAGAATGTTTGATATCAAAAATCATAAAATTTTACAGGGAGTTTAAGTACCTACGTAATAAAAAATGGGGGCATCCATTTAAAATAAGGAAGTTGTTGTCAACTTCCGGTATTTCCGGAAATGCCGCCGTATTGAAAATATTTTTAATCGACAGATCTCGTTGTAAAACTATGATATGCAAAAAATCACCAATCTAGATATTGTCGTTCTCTAGAACTTCCAATGCACGCTCAGCTTGGGACACCCTGTATGTTGACCCCTTTTTGTTTACCAAATTATTGATATATTATATTTGTACACATATGGAAGAAATTATTATACGTAATAGTATAAAATACTACCAAAAATTATGAAAAATAATACACACACCGGAAAAATCTAGGGTTATCATTTTATTAAAGTTCTTTAAAGTTAAAAATAAAATGTTTTGAATAAACAACCACATATTTGTAGGCCGATTCTTTCTACTTCGATTAAAACAAAGTAGTCACTCTAGTTATTTCTAAATTTGGGATATTTGCAGAAGTGTTTGTGCATTTTTTGTCAAATGTATAAAAAGCACCTAATAGCATCAATTGTTCGAATTTAACCTGTACTGGCTATGTTTTTATGATAACTGGCCAGAATTCATTCAAATAACTCTGTTTAGTATTAAACGACATTATGGAGCGTAGACATCTTAACAGAGACGAAATGCTAAGGGCCATGGGTATGCTCTTAGGTATGCTCGAAGCTGGAATGCGCCAAATCGACGTAGCTGGAGCATTAAATACAACGCAAAGTGTAATATCGCGATTAAGTGCACGCTACCGTGAAAGTGGTGATGTTGCTGAAAGGCACACAGAGCGACATCGCATTACTACCCCTCAGCAAGATAATTTCTTACAATTAAATGCCGCCGCCGACCGACTCTGACAGCACTAGAGCTTAGTTTAATTATCCAGGAAACACATAATGTAACCGTTAGTCCTGACACTGTTCGCAATAGATTAAGAGAGGTCAACTTAAGAAGCAGACGCCCCTGGAGAGCTCAACCTTTAACGAGAGGAAATCGAGAGGTACGATATTTGTGGACTCAAGATCATGTTCAGTGGTCGAATGAACAATGGGCCAATGTTCTCTTCACGGATGAGTCACGCTTTGGAATTCATCCGGATACGAGAAGGCTTAGGGTATGGACAGAACCGGGACACTTATTCGGTTGGATCATGTTCAGGAAGTGCACCCTTATCAAGGTGGAACAGTTATGATCTGGGGAGGAGTCCAGTTAGGCCGTAAAACCGATCTCGTTTTTCTTGAAAGGTTTCTAACAGGAATCACATATCGTGATTTAATTCTTGAGCCTGTCGTGTTACCATATGCCAATGATTTTGGGAGAAACTTCATTTTGATATACATCATAGTTGTGTTGCTATTATTTGGTTGCAACAATTTTAAAATATTTACTGGTATTATTGTTTTAAAATACAAATTATACGAGGAATAAAAACAAAATAGTTAATTTAGGACAAAGGTTTCTTAAATAGCACAAATTCTTTCAAAATTTTAAAAACAAGAAAATAAAGTAATAGCCTTGTTTATAGTTAAAAAATATAAAAAAATATCAGTTTGTACAATCAAACCAAACTTGATAAGCGCCAATTTCATACTTTTAGAATTTTACAATATTATAGTAGTAGGTCTAAGATAGGAACTATCGGAAACAAGAAATAGCCATCTTATCTGATAGTCAAGCAGCGTTAAAGGCGATCAACTCAGTATCAATCAATTCGAAATTGGTCAAAGAATGCATAGAGAAGCTGAATAAATTAATAAAGAAAACAAAGTCCTCCTACAGTGGGTGCCTGCTCACCAAGGGATAGAAGGCAATGAAAAAGCAAATAATCTAGCTAGGAAAGGAGCGAACACTCCACTAACTGGACCAGAACCGTTCTGCTTTCCAAGTGGTAACCAACTCAAGGCGGAACTCAAGAACTTGGAAGATTCCATCCGCAACCTGGAATGGAAATCTTGCAATGGTCTAAGACACTCGAAGAAGTTTCTGAGGGGCTTATGATCAAGAAAAATCACAGATCTTCCTGGGTCTGAGTAAGAACAATCTTCGGATTGTCACGGGGTTTTAACAGGACACTGTCTCCTCAATGAACACCTCAGTAGATTGAAACTAAGAAGAAACGGCGAATGCAGATTCTGTGGGGAAGATGGTGAAACACCAGTACACCTCATCACTGAGTGCGCCGAGACGACAACCATTCGTGCCATGTACGACTGATATTGGAGATGGAGAACTACCCTCTATAAAACCGTCCCAGATACTGGCTTTTGTCAAAGCCCTGGGACTGTATGATGAGTTATGATTCAAGAAAGGGGGACACAATGGATCTGTAAGGTCGAAGTGATTAACCCCCCTCCCACTCATTCTAAAAATTCTAGTAGTAGGTCTAACTGGTCCTTACAAAATGTATAAACTCTGCACGGCAATAAGTTGTTAAATCCTATGATATATGCCTAGTAAAAACATAGAATACACGGCAAGAACCTGATTGAATTACCAGCCGTCCAGTGCTCTCCTGTAAAATCACTGAAATGGCGCTTATCATGTTTTTCCCTTGAACCTTTCATACGACATTGATATCAGTCTGCCATTTTTTTTCAGAAGTATTTTTTCTGTATATTTAGATGTGGATTGACTTTCAAACAAAATACGGACAGTAATGTTAATTTTTTCGTCTCCAACTTACTAGTTCGCCATAGCAATTTATTCCTATAATAATTGTAAACACCGGCCCAAGAGGCTTGCCGATAGGGTATACAATACCAAATTTCAAAATTATGAACTATAAAAAACTCCCGAAGACAAATTCACTAGTCTTAATCAGTCTTTACTACTTGGAATGGAATCTTATTTTATAAAAAATAACAAATACACCGGAATAAATATTCAACATATACATTATACTGATTACAAAATTTTGTACTTAATTTCTACAAAAAAAAATATTGTAGACTATTCTTAGATTATCACATATTTGTATATTTTAGGTATATAAACTGGCACATTCCAGTAGTCGCAACTAGATATCAATATACCTTTCGCCTCCAAACTCTTCGTAAATATTGCTCCACTGTATAGAAGCTGTCACAACTTTAATAACATTGCTGTCCACTACACACTAGATTGGTTTCAGCACTCGCTCACATCTTTCAAAGGTGTACTGGATGAAATACTAAAAGACTCTTTTATGCTGAAGAATATCGCGATTAAGTGCACGCTACCGTGAAAGTGGTGATGTTGCTGAAAGGCACACAGAGCGACATCGCATTACTACCCCTCAGCAAGATAATTTCTTACAATTAAATACCGCCGCCGACCGACTCTTACAGCACCAGAGCTTAGTTTAATTATCCAGGAAACACATAATGTAACCGTTAGTCCTGACACTGTTCGCAATAGATTAAGAGAGGTCAACTTAAGAAGCAGACGCCCCTGGAGAACTCAACCCTTAACGAGAGGAAATCGAGAGGTACGATATTTGTGGGCTCAAGATCACGTTCAGTGGTCGAATGAACAATGGGCCAATGTTCTCTTCACGGATGAGTCACGCTTTGGAATTCATCCGGATTCGAGAAGGCTTAGGGTATGGAGAGAACTGGGAAATTTTATTCGGTTGGATCATGTTCAGGAAGTGCACCCTTATCAAGGTGGAACAGTTATGGTCTGGGGAGGAGTCCAGTTAGGCCGAAAAACCGATCTCGTTTTTCTTGAAAGGTTTCTAACAAGAACCACATATCGTGATTTAATTCTTGAGCCTGTCGTGTTACCATATGCCAATGATTTTGGGAGAAACTTCATTCTCATGCATGACAATGCACGGCCTCATACAGCCAGAGTGGTAAGTGAATTTATCAATGCTCATCAATGAAACATCTTACCCTGGCCGGCACAATCTCCTGACCTCAACCCCATCGAGCACGTATGGGACGCGGTCCAAAGAAGAATTTTGAGAATAGGTATGCCTCTTGAAACTTGTAGGGATCTGGTTCGGGCCGTGAATGCAGCGTGGCAGGTTGTACCTCAAGAAGAGATCGACAACCTGATCAGGAGCATGGAGAGACGATGAGGGGCTGTAATGAACAGTAGAGGAGGCCATACCCTTTATTGAGTAAAAATGATTTTATCTTTTTTTTTTAATTCACAGTTTAGAATAAAAAAAAATGTGTGTATTTTTTGGAGTTCAATAAAAATCAAGGTAAATTTGAAAAATTCGGTAAATTTCGCATTTTTATTTCCAATACGTCCTGTAAACTATTTGTTTATTTTAATTTTATTATATCAGAAATGCAAATAATAAAATTACTGACGATAGCTGGATAAAATTGTAATATCCCTAGACTTTTCCGTTGTGTGTAGTACAAAACGACTCTTTAAAGGTTCATAAGCTTACTATAATATACTTACCATAGTGATACTAACGGACCACCAATTGATGTTCCATAAATGGCATATCTACCAATAGTCGCCGTATCCAATGGTTTACTAGGTTTTTCCTAAAAAATATAAATAAAAGATGAAAATCATTTACAATTTCAAAATTCAAAAATAACATAATTCTTACCAAAAACTTTTTATTTATCGTTTGTTGAGAAGTTTCAGCAGCTACACATAATGTGCCATACACTATACAATTGCCTAACACAGGACGCTTTTCTAAAAATGTCCTAAACAATACTACTAATTTACTCATTTTGTTATTTATTGAGTTTTGTATATCTTTATAATATACAGCTTCCAGTCCTAATCTAAAAATTAATATTCAATGGGTATACCAAATATAAAAATGCTCATAGGAATGCAGGTCAAAGACCCATTTTTGTAATATATACTTATTTTTTCAAGTTTAACAGGTGTCCGTCTTGTTTCATTAATTTTAAATCTGTACACGGTGATTTACTACAATTACATGTGGGTTCAATTTTGAAACATCTCACAATCTTTTGTTTGACATATTTGAAACTAATGTCAGTTGTTCCGTTTATACGGGCTTAATATTGAATCTAGTCGACCTTGAATTATATTAGGCTGATAAATATAAAAAGTAGAATTAACATGCACAGTTATGTGTTGTTCTTCTAATCTACAATTAAATAATAAAATACGTTATAATTTTATATATCGTAATAAATTATTATAATTTAATATGCATTTTAAAATAGAAGAAAAAAATATCTTACCCAGCACATAAAAACGATAGGATGTTCTGAACATTAAAAAGAGTTTTAAATTTTATGGGACATATTGGTTTTGATTATACTGTTGTCTACAATTGGAGCTCCACGTAACCTTTTGGATCATTTACATGTTAGATTCGGAGTCATATTGAATAATTAGAGTTAATTGTTAAATATACAGGATGCCCCAAATAAATAAAATTTAAGCATTTGTTTTTATGCTGTTAGCGCTATGGGCTATGGGATTCAGTGAAATAACTTTAATGACTAGATCTGTTGCTTAATAAGTCAAAGTAAATACTACTTTACGTACGAACAAACAATATACAGGGTATAAATGAATAAATGCAACAAAATTCAGGTGATAAACACAAAATAGAAAAATAAAAATATACGTAGGCGTCATTAATCCAATAGCGAATTTAGGTAAAATTTTAATTCTACTAATTTTGAAAAAAACTGTGTGTACCCTATGTGCGCATATTTGAAGTGAAAATTCTTACTAACAGCTATTAAATTGAAGGATTTGAAGGACATGTTTGAAAAAGTTTAGGTTGAAATGTTGAAAAAGTAATATTAAATTTGAATCGTCTTCAGAAAATTTGTATCAAAATGACCGTCTGTCTGTCTGAGGACTCCATTCGGGTACCTCTATCCACGTGCCCAGTTTGGTTCCAATCGACCCATAATTAAGAAAACTCCTGATGCTTTCGTCCATTTAGCGGAATCGGTTCGAAACGTCGAGGGCATCATCCTATAACCTGTCCCCAATTATGCTGAAATCGACCCTCATTTTCTTTAGTATCAAATCCTTAGTCCCACCCTGATAAAGATGTAAACGAAATGTCGGTGGTATCCAACTTTGCAGGGTGGGACCGTGTGCATCGTCGCTCGCATACCTACCCACCAAATTTGGTCGCGATCAGACGACATCAACTTTTGACATTTCTTAGGTCAAAACAAACCAAGTCACAGTTACACGTCTCGTACATGGTCAAGTTGACCTTGGTCCAATCTATCGACATACCAAATTTCATTTAAATCGGACGATTTAAATGAAATTTAAATCGAAAAAGTTTCACTGCAATAAAAAATTCTGAGGCCTAAGTCACTTTCAACTTTGTTGTCTCTACTTATTTTCGCAACATAAAGCAACTAACAAATCAGGAATAAAATTCAGTAAGACCTGCTAACCTCTTAAACCATAATTTACTTATAGCGAATGCTATTGGTAAATTAATTTTTGCCCCTAAAAGGATCTAGAACTAACCACGTGTAGGAAAAAACTGCACTAGTTCATTGTCAATGGTGCACGACAACCTATGGCGACAACTGATGAAGTTGGGCAGCACGCGCATTAATTCCTGTCCTCCTTTCACGCAGTTGAGCAGCTCTGAACTGTTCAAGAACGCGATACTCTCACTCCATTCAATTGAGTCATAAAGTTCCAGAACTGTTCTGCGCCATATGGAGGCACCAGGCTATCGCGCACCGCTCCTTTCAGAACCGTTCTCGAGTAGCCCCAGGGTGTAAAGCCCGGAACTCGAAGTTCGCGAATGGAGGACAGCAAATGCTACGTGCGGCACAGTGACTACGTGCCGTATACGGTCAAGTTGGCCTCGGTCCAATCTATCGACTAGGGTTCAGAACCGAGAAATTCCTATGTCGAAAGTACCGGGAATCCCCGGTTCTTTTGAGATATCAAAGAACCGGGATTTGAAGTTATTAATTCCCGGTTCTTTCGGTACTTTCGGGACTCGGTAATAATAATTAAAAACATATTTTTTGTTACGTGCGAAAGACTTTTGATACTTTCTAGCGATCGAAATCAAACTCTCCTAAATAAGTAGTGATGCTATCCCTTACTGTTCTTACTTCTGAAGTTGATTTGAAGTTTCTTTAATATTTCTATATTAGCAATTATTGAAGTTTAAATATGTTATTTTATTATTTAGTATAACATTGCTGAATGTATTAGTTATATTTTTTGTGATGTTTCTATAGTCATTTGCATCTTTTAACAAAAATACCCTGCGAAGATATTGAACATATATATTCCGCAACAAAATATTAGATCGATATGGACAATAACTATAATACATTTTAATTTGAAGTTAATTGATATATCAAATTATTAATTAATCAAGTATAAATTTAACTGTCTTGCTACTTATAATAAACATAACAATTAATATCAGAGCCGATAAGTACTATTTTATAGAAGAGCATGTCGATGCCGAATAAAATTAATACATCTACCGTATGATCAGGAGGTCAAGCTCTAGACGTCATTTACTAAAAATTGACAAAACTTGTAAAAATTAACACTAATTATAGAAAGATAAAAAAGAGTAGAACGTTTCCACACTCACAAATCAATGGTATTTTGATATACATCATAGTTGTGTTGCTATTATTTGGTTGCAACACTTTTAAAATATTTACTGGTATTATTGTTTTAAAATACAAATTATACGAGGAATAAAAACAAAACAGTTAATTTAGGACAAAGGTTTCTTAAATAGCACAAATTCTTTTAAAATTTTAAAAACAAGAAAATAAAGTAATAGCCTTGTTTATAGTTAAAAAATATAAAAAAATATCAGTTTGTACAATCAAACCAAACTTGATAAGCGCCAATTTCATACTTTTAGAATTTTACAATATTATAGTAGTAGGTCTAACTGGTCCTTACAAAATGTATAAACTCTGCACGGCAATAAGTTGTTAAATCCTATGATATATGCCTAGTAAAAATATAGAATACACGGCAAGAACCTGATTGAATTACCAGCCGTCCAGTGCTCTCCTGTAAAATCACTGAAATGGCACTTATCATGTTTTTCCCTTGAACCTTTCATACGACATTGAAATCAGTCTGCCATTTTTTTTTCAGAAGTATTTTTTCTGAATATTTAGATGTGGATTGACTTTCAAACAAAATACGGACAGTAATGTTAATTTTTTCGTCTCCAACTTACTAGTTCGCCATAGCAATTTATTCCTATAATAATTGTAAACACCGGCCCAAGACACTTGCCGATAGGGTATACAATACCAAATTTCAAAATTATGAACTATAAAAAACTCCCGAAGACAAATTCACTAGTCTTAATCAGTCTTTACTACTTGGAATGGAATCTTATTTTATAAAAAGTAACAAATACACCGGAATAAATATTCAACATATACATTATACTGATTACAAAATTTTGTACTTAATTTCTACAAAAAAAAAATATTGTAGACTATTCTTAGATTATCACATATTTGTATATTTTACAATAGGTATATAAACTGGCACATTCCACTAGTCGCAACTAGATATCAATATACCTTTCGCCTCCAAACTCTTCGTAAATATTGCTCCACTGTATAGATGCTGTCCCAACTTTAATAACATTGCTGCCCACTACACACTAAATTGGTTTCAGCACTCACTCACATCTTTCAAAAATGTACCGGATGAAATACTAAAAGACGTCTACAGAAGAACAGTCCTTATAGTAACGCAGTGAAGAATTTAAATATATTTTATGTTATTATTTATTAGTACTTATATGTTAATTTAATTGCCTTTATTTAGGTGTATCCTTCTTGGACAAGAAACGCATTATTTTTATTTATTTAAAAATCAAAATCATCAGTTATATTTTATTTCAATTACATATTTAAAAATGTTTTTACACTAATTTGTAGAACAAACTGATAACAAATTGATAGCTCTCAATTTTATTAAGTATACAGGGTGGACCGAACTGTATTCCGGAAACATCGGCAGCATATTCTGCAGATAAAAATAGGTAAAAATGTTTGTATAAATGTATGTTCTAAAATGCTTAGTTTCAGAGATACAGGGTGTAGAAGTTTCATTTTTATTTCGATTTTTTCCAAATACTATCTGAAGTAACGTCTATAGTTGGATGAAAATTGGTGTCTAGGAGTTTTTCGACTAAGAAATTTGATTTTGATGTCAATATGACTGCTATTTGTAGGGGGCGCCACCTACACATATTTTAACTGTTTTGAAGGGTAATAACTTTTCGTCCGTACCTGTATAAAATTACTGAGTGAACAACTCATCACACCTCCGTAATTTTCCACGTAAAAATGTCTCTTGGTATATATCGCTACATACTACCGTTCGCAAGATATTTAGAATGAAAATAGTCAAAACATGTCATTATTGCCAAAAAATAAACTTGTTGAGTAGATAGTTATTTAACTGAAATGATAAACTTGGGACATTTTTATTATTTTAAGTTAATCATAAATTTTTCTTTGAAACAATGATTATAAACCAGTTTCTGTTGAACTTTTGACACAAAAACATTTCAAATTTATGATTTCAGTCTATTAACTATTTAGTCAACATATTTAGTTAATGTCAATGACGACAGGTATTAATAATTTCGATTCCAAATATCTCGAGTACCAGGTGGTCGAAATTGGTCTGTTTTAACAGAGCAAACCTATTTCCTAACTAGATAAAGCAAAACCGACACAGATGTCATGGGTTCGATTTCTGAAGTACGTTTAATGACGTAAACCGCCTATTGATATTTCACTGCCAACTGAGATACTTTTTGAATTTTTTACCATTTTGAAAATTGCCTATAACTCTCTATAAGGCACTTTTTTAAGCACAATCCAGTGGCGTAGTTAGTTTTTTTTCTATGTTTGCCCTATTTGTAAGAAATAATATAAAAATATAATTTTTTAAATGGAAATCATAATTGGCTATGAACTTAAAAAAATGGTGGCGTTTAACCCTTTCTAACGATAAAAAGTTATGAGTATCTATTTCTAAAAATGAAAGAAATATTAGGGTTTCTTCCTTTATTTTTTTTTGTCTAATTATTTTTATCACAATTTAATATTTTATATTATTATTTATCTGCATAATTAAAGACTTTTGAAAGGGTAAATTAACATTCTATATTAGTATTAGTAGTTACAATTGAAATGCGATACAATAAACAAAGAACAAAACTAAAAAAAAACGTATTTTTTGAGTGACGAATAGTTTTCTAAAAAAAAATCATCAAAGATGTTCAAACCCCAGCACCTCCTTGTTGAATACACAATGAACATCTTTTGCGCACAGAGTTACAGCGATTTATTAGGCGAACTAGTGTAGTAAGTCCAAAAGCTTGCCTAGTAGCCTTCTGCAATTCTTCTCTCGTCCCAATGGTTCTTCCCTTACATAAGGTCTTTTAATTTCCCCCATAAAAAAGTGGAAAAGAGTTAAATCACATGACCTGGCAGGCTCAGATATGGGGCCCCTTGTTTCAATCCAATTATCTCTAAATTCTCCATTTAATAGTTCAGCTGTAACCCTGGCGTTTTAATTATATTTGATAACGAATGCTAATATAATGTTGATTTACCTTTTCAAAAGTCTTTAATTATGCAGATAAATAATAATATAGAATAATAAATTGCGATAAAAAATAATTAGGCAACTAGATCAACACAAAATCAAGGCCCGCTTTGATACAAAGATAAAAAACTGATATTTCTCTCATTCTTAGAAATTTAGCGTTTTAATTATATTTGATAATGAATGAAGAATGCTAATATAATGTTGATTTACCTTTTCAAAAGTCTTTAATTATGCAGATAAATAATAATATAGAATAATAAATTGTGATAAAAAATAATTAGGCAACTAGTAAGTAACACAAAATCAAGGCCCGCTTTGATACAAAGTTAAAAAACTGATATTTCTCTCATTCTTAGAAATAAATAGACATAACTTTATGTCGTTGGAAAGTGTTAAACGCCAGCATTTTTTTAAGTTCATAGCCAACTATGATTTCCATTTAAAAAATTATATTTTTTATCATTTCTGACAAAAAGAGCAAGTATAGAAAAAAACTTACTACGCCACTGGATTGTGCTTAAAAAAGTGCCGTAAGAACAAATGGTAAAAAATTCAAAAAGACCCCGTATCTCAGTCGGCAACATGCGGTTTACGCTATTAAACGTGTCTTAGAAATCAAGCCCATGACATCTATGTCGGTTTGGCTCTATCTAGTCAGGAAATAGGTTTATTCTGTTAAAACAGACCAATTTCGATCACCCTGTATAATTACTCGTAGCTTTTTTCGAAGCATTTTTACCAATAGACCGATTTTACGTAAAAAACGTCGTAAATGTACATTTTTTTACTCAGTAGTTTTATACAGGTACGGACAAAAAATTATTACTCTTCAAATCATTTAAAACTATGTAGGTGACGCCCTCTATATATAGGAGTCATATTGACATCAAACATCAAAATCAAATTTCTCATATCAAAAAACTCCCAGACGCCAATTTTCATGCAAATATTGACGTTGTTTCAGAAATTATTTGGAAAAATCGCAATAAAAATGAAGCTTCTACACCGTGTATCTCCAAAAGAAGACATTTTAGGACATACATATATACGAACTTTTTTACTTCTTTTTATAAGTACAATATGCTGCCGAAGTTTCAGGAATACAGTTCGGAGCACTCTGTATATTGTTAAATAAAAAAAATCACTGTAAACAACTTAAAGTAAAAACATTTTCTTTTCCAAAAAATATTTAAAAAAAGTATATAGTTCCAGAAGTAAAATGAGATATGGTTTAACAAACTTTCTTAAAAAGGTATAGATATAAAAATTTAACAACATACATACACACTATTTTTAAGTTAACTCTAGCTGCTATATAGTCTTATATGATATACATATGTAAAATTCTTAATAAGTTAAACTATATCACAAATGGAGAGCGGTAAAAAAATCCTCTTAAAATGTGTTAAATTTAAAAACCTCCAGTTTCTTCTCGTTCAAATATGTCAGGAATTTTCCGTTTGGAATACTAAAACTTTTAATGTCCAGAACTGAGTTTTCATGAGTAGGGCACGATCCAATCTACCAAAAAAATCTTGTTTTAGTCAAATTATTATTTCTATATTAACACTATTATTCTTGTTAATTATTTTGTTAATATGTTTTAAATCTTTTTCAATGTTTACGTGTTAGATCACATAATAGTTTAGCTATACAGAAGCGACAGTCACATATTATGACAATCAAACGTACTTGTATTCAGACATAAGAGTCTCGAATTCTATTGAAAGATTTTAAATACACTGAGAAAAATTGCTTGTTACTGGCCTGGCCAATCTAAACCCGTGGCCTGTATTTTAATGAGTACGATCGAAAAAAAATGGCGTCCGGTTGGCTTGGTAATGACGATCCACGACTTTTCCCATTTTTTATCGACCATATCGTCGGTGAAACGTGATAAACTGCTAACTCCATTATTCCTAATTTTACAGGGGAGCAAAAAAACGGTACAAAAAAAAAGTACACATGTGGGAAGTATTTTGATGCGTTAATATGATAAAGAGATAAGAATTTTATTTGCTGGGGAACAATAAAACTCAATATTTCGTGTTACGTCATTTTTTTCAGACACAATAGGGAGATAGCAGATATTCGTCTTGCAGAAATAAGAAATGGAGATGAAATTTTGAAAATGGAAATGAATATTACCCAAACAGATTTATAAATAATCAATTAAATTTAAAAAATATGATATTCATAACCATATATTTATAATATCGTCGGTCTAGAAGAAAAACATACAAGTCCAAAAACGAATAAATTTTTAATGGCAATTTTAAAAAATTTTGCATTTTTAAAGAACTGAAGTAGCAGAATTTTGGACTTAATGAATATAAAAATTAAACTTATAATTCTTAGAAGATATGGTAGAATCCTTCCATGCTTATCCTAATTTTTATACAACGGTAGTAGACCGAGCTTGGAAGACAGTGCGTGATTTTATTAAATTTTTATTACTTTTCTCCTTCTTTTTTTAATTTTTATAAAAATTATGTATCATTTACGTGAAAAAACGTTGAAAAAAATAAAACTGATTACAGTACGTCTGTCCGTTCTGTAGCTACGGGGTATCCGTGAGAGGGGAAACGATATTCTCTCCATGTTTTTCGTAAAAAATTGGACGACGCGTCCCATCAATAAAAATTCGACAAATTTGCAAGTAGCCAATAACATGAGTTGCGGTGACGTACTCGTCAAGTCGACGTATAAAATATATTGTTGTTTATTTAAATGTTTTTTGTCCGCATTCCTTTCATAGACACAGATCCAGCAGACGAACTGTAGGTATTATGGAAATTCTTGCACAAGTAAGTAATGGTTATTTAAACTATTTATAGCATGCCGATAATTGCTCGTATATAGAGAATTTCGTTTTCCCCCTTACCCTTTACGGATACCCCGTATTTACAGAACGGATCGACGCAGGGTCGGACTGGCCATATTATATAGATAACTATTAGGGGGGGCCCAGCCTTCGCGGGCCCCCTTTATAGTTCATTATTTATTCTTAACAATATTTGCTTCTGCATTGCATTATGGAATTTGCATTGCATTGGTTTACCTTGCATTAGGGTAGTTCCCTGATTTCTATACAGGGTGAGTCTTAAATAAGTGCAAATATGTTCAGGGCTGGTAAATCTCGATAAAATAAACATAAAATTTTTTCTTTACCGTTTTGTCAAATAAATCCAAAACAACCGAGTTATTTCACTGTTAAAATTTCCAATTTTTTGCTATAATTTTGAGAATCATTGGATTTTCTTTCTTGTAAATTTAATCTACTACCTATGTTACCATATTACAAAGTATGTTTTTAAACTAAAAATTAAAAAAAAATCCATTTTTTTTTAAAATCCAAATTTTGAAAAAAAAATTTCGCGCAAAAAACCTCGTAATTGTGTTCCTTGGGTCGAAATATACTACCCTAAAAATATTTGCACTTATTTAAGACTCACCCTGTATATAATAGGGAAAAATTGACCAAAACGTAAGGCGAAAAAATACGCCAAAAAAACACACGGGCCTCTCCTTACATTGCCACCCGGGCCCCTTTTACCTAGTGCGACCCTGGATCGACGTACTGTACTAAAAAAACATGCGACTAAGAATCTGTGTGTTTGCTCTAGCGTGATCGTAACGGAAATTACGGAGATAGCAGCATTTCGGTGGCTATTTCAGATCACTAGGAGTTAGCAGATATTATTGAGTTAAAGTAAAAATTTTTCTTTAATGGGAAAAAATGTGTTTGCTTTCCCTACTTATAGAGTATTTTTTTCTCTTTCTAATGGTATAAAAAAACTTATTAACGTAAAAAATGGAGTTAGCAGGTTATCACGTTTCACTGACGATATAGTAGTTGTCTTATGTTATAACAAGTTGATAGACAGAGATAAAAAGAAATGCAGGGTTGCCGGTTTCTACATAGGTACGCGGTAGGTACGATTTAAGATTAGGAAGATAATTTTTTTTGTGAACACCACTGCGTGCTCAACACGCACAAAATGCTCAACGTTTCAGGAGGTATATCTTCCGTTGTCATAAATTTCTCACATTCACATGGTATTTTGTAAATCACATTTTTTGTTTGTGTTCTTGTGTTCATTGGCTATTGTGCGTCAAATCATAATAAACATGTATTCCAAATATATTTTTTATTTATCGATAATTGAACAGTTGTATTTAAATATTTTAAACAATTTTTTCTTTTATTTGTGTTTTGCTTCTGACTGTAACGTTATGCATACCTTCTGAAACGTTAAGTATTTTTTGTTGGTTAATCAAATTTGTTTTACTAGTAAAAAGCCCCTAACAAGCTGACTTCCGTTTGGATTCAAAGCAGTGGTTTCTGCAAACTTTTTTATTTTGTTGATTTTCTTCCAGTGGCCAAAAACCTAGATTTTTTTCAAAATAAAGTATAGACAAACATACCATAAAGATATAGAGATTATTACGTGAGTTATAGAACTGTTGTGCTGGATATTTTAATTATTGATTTGACGGAAAAACCGGCAATACCGCGCAAAAGAGAAATTATACTAACCCTGTTAACTTTATTTTCATGGTCTGTACTTTAATGCATACAACAGAGATAAACATATACAACCAGTTGACAGACAGAGAGACAAAATAAAAACCGGCATACAGTGTTGCCGGTTCGTACGAGAAATAAAATAAGAAGATAATAAATAATGCTCATTTCTGTTAGACAGACAGGTTTAAGAATCTATTACAGTTGTAGTAAAATGGGTAACTAATTGTGAAAAATAAAGTGCAAACCCTAGATGCAAGAAACATTTTTCGTTGTGAAGCACCTACTTATACCGTTTGAAATTTTGATGCAAATTCCGTGTAAATTTAATGTTTAAATTTACACATTAAAATCCAAACGCGATTAAAGAGATAAAAGTTTTTTACGTTTTAATGAAAAATACAGATAAAAGTGGTAAAAAAATGCAAAGAGGGAAAAATGGTACTTCTCTTCATTCCCAGTAAAAAATACCTAATAATAAGAAAATAAATGAAATTTTTACAACAGTTATTAATAACAGTAAGTTTAAAGAAGCTTTACTAATTCGCAAAAAATGCATTTTGTAAGACGTTTTTTTACACGTGAAAAACTATTTTTTACATTTGATTATGGCTTTTTAGATGTTTATCCCTGACATTAAACCATCAACTATGACAGCAAAACTTGACAACCGTCGTTATAAAAATTATATCCTAACAATATGTCAAATAAACTCATTTAAAATTTGGTCTACCAAAAAATAGCTCCTGTCGCTTCTGTAAGGCATGGTAATTTTGGGACCTAACTTAAAAAATAAGTATACATACCTCCTCGCCAGTGTTGATACTATACAATAATATTGACTTCCGGCTTTCATGGTGACCGGCAACGATATTATTTGGTACAAAGCAAGACGTTTTAGCTAAAAGTTTGGCGGTATTGCCACTTCTAAACGTGTGAACTATGTTGCTTGTAATAACGTCAGGATCATGTTGCTAAATACAAAACGTCAAAAAAGTCAACAATCAAAGTTTATATTATATTACACTTTTATAGAATGTTCAGCCATCATTTAACGTTACATCATATATTGTCGAACTCATGCGACGTAATTACGGCATTTCATAAATTACTGCATATTCTTTTTATTAATTGTCATTGTCATTTGATTTGGGGTTATAATTTTATTGACGGACATCGATCAATGTCAAAATTAAAATTTGATTATAGCCATAAATAAAAGAAAATAATCTACTATTAAGATAGATATGAAACGTAATAGTAAAATTTTGGGTTAAAGCGCCCTCCGTATTTTTAGTGGAGACTACGTTTAACCCAGCGCCTTCGCCTTTTCTGCTGTAAATGTTTTTTATGTTTATATTTGAATTCAAAGGATTTATTTTTAAAGTTACACTGATATATAGTAACTTTAATAAAACATAAGAATATATATATTTTACAATTTATTTTTTTATTTATTTTACAGAGTTTCATGTAAATGATCGTAAGTCGACTGGCTGTCTAATGAATAGACCGAGATTTATAGATTTTAAAGCGAACGAAAAAAAAAATCAAACAACGAATACATACCATATATTTATCTTTTATCTAAGATACACACCTTATCGACTTTTGGAAACACGCACATTTTTGCAGTTTTGTTAGTTTCTTTGCAAGATGCAACACAACAAGAAAACACAATTTTTACAGTTAATAAATAATAAAACTATTTCTGACTATGATATTTAAAATTTAGATAGATAGAAAATTAAAAAACAAACCAGTATTTGCAAAGGCAGGCCCAAATTCAATAAAAATCAAAATTTTTCCTGCGAAAATCAGGCTTTTTTCACTGAAAAGGTATTTTTTGATTTATCAGCAGTCATTGTCAAGTTGACAATATACAGGGTGTTTTCGAATTAGTCTAAAAAAATTATGGTGTGATTCCTCATGTGTTCTTAAAACAATTTTTATATAACCATTGGGTCTAAAGTACTTCCTTTCTGATCTACAGGGTGTTAAAAATTAAAAAAAATCGATTTTTTTGCTTAACATAAATGGCACACCACTGCCTTTTTAAAGAAAATATATTTTTTTCTTGACTGGCCATCTTTTTCAACAAAATTGATCTTTTGAGATTTTCTTGTTCATCAAACGGTTGTCGAGAAAAAAATAAATATACTTAAGAAGAGCTCGCCTTAATTCGTTTTCTAACAATTTTATATTTTTTAGATTAATTAGGAAACACCCTGTATATATAGGCAAATCACAGGCAACTAAATAAACTAGTAACCTCTAAAAATTATTTTTCCTACCACTAGCGACATACCGTGTTTTTAGTGTGTACTAAATTATTTTATCAAAATTTCACCATATAAGTTTCCAGGCAATGATTATAGTTGCAAAACAAAATTCAATTTTTTTTATTGCAAAAAAGCCTCAAAGATTTAACCAAAATGAAGAAGAGCTCATTGCTAAGCTTATAAATTATTTTTCTCGAGAAAGAGACGCTGGTAGAGCACTCTTGCCCGTTGACGTCGTATATGAAGTAAGTACAATACAAAGGTGTAATATTCCTAGGTAAAATACAAATTGATAGCGTTTTTAAATAATATAGCGAGTTGCTGATGCTTTAAAAATAGGAATGTCAACAGTCCAAAGGATTGGAATTAAAGGAATCTTAACAGATGAAGAGTTCAAGACAAAAATAATAAACACAGAAAAAGAACGGAACTCGCTCAATCAATAATATAGGAACGTACTTAAACTTATCTAAACAATATGAACTGATCTCAGACACACCCTAAAACTCATATTTGACAAATAATTATGACGTAACGGTGAACGATGGCCGGGCAGTCTTTACTTACTTTCTGTAGATAACACACTGAATGTCTTGAATAAGGCGTTTGATTATTTGGTCTCGAACTAACTAGAATTTGTTTAGTGTCTTGCTCGTATTTCAGAGATAGAAATGGGCCTTCAACTGGAAGCAGATGTCTTGAATATGTACCATCTAACATAAAAATAATAAGTTACAGATCATATAAAATGTGGCATACAGGAAAGTTTACCTGCATGAATTTGAAACGCCCAAAGAGAATTAAGTTTGGCAACTAAAAGTATGTCTGAATCAGATTCATCTTTTAATCCAGCTAGAGATACCACTGGACTAAAATCTCCTGTAATTACAAATATTATAAATAGGTGAAATACTAAAAATTGAAAATATTAACCTAGACGTCATTTACATAGCCTATACTCTTCTTTATTTTTTAATGATGCTTATTATCAGTTGGCCTTAAGGTTTTAATTTATTTTTCTATTTAGTAACAATGATTTTTAAATGGTGTAGTTCAAAATTCTAGAAAAAGTATTTTTTTGGAAATAGATTTGTGTCTGGAAACATTCTATTCTTTTTTAATATTTTTACAATAATTGCAAAAAGATGTTAGTGTTAATTTTTGACGAGTTTTGACAATAAATGACGAGATTAACTTCGCCAAAATTATCACTGTTTGTCATTCCCCAGCGGTCTTTGACGCCGTTTTTTTTTTATCAAACAATATTTTAAAAGTGGCTCACCACCAAGAACAGTTAACCTAATAGGACTGCTCATTCAGCCGAAAGTGTCTGCCAGGTGCATGCGAAAACTCTTCGCTTTTTGACGTCATTGTAGTCCTTGTCATGATAGTGTGTATATTATTGGTTGCCATATGCAAAAAATTCATTATTTAGTTTAATTATTTAAACACCTTATATGGGTGCAGTATAGAAAATTAACTGTATAAATTGTATTAAATATTCGCATAATGCATTTTTAAGAACAGCAGTTCCAAGCATCACCTTTTGCAGGCATTCCTTTTAGAGTACTTCCATATTTTGCTTTAAAATGATTAATAAACAATATCGTAAGCACTTAGTCGCAATCCACACTACAAAATGAACGTATTTATAAACTCTATAGCTCGAAAAACTTTAAAAACACCTTTTTTACATTTAAAATCGACCAAATAATTATCTCAAAATTTCTCAGCTGTTATTTTTATTAGTTTACCATAGGCAACCGATAATACACACTATTATGACAAGGACTACTATGACGTCACAATTGTCAGCTGAAGCGCGGGAAGAGCATATACATACAACTATACATGTATACTCAGTGTTCCCTATTTAACCCCGTGTGCTGTTTCCGTGCCGTAAGAAAAATACAACATAACTCAGCTCCATATTAATGCTGCATAAGTCTATTTCACCCGGATATCGATTGAACTGCGATTGCGCCAAACTCCGATTGATTGTTGTTTTAGTTCTGTTTGGATTACTTTTTATTTGTGCGCGTAAAAGAGTGATTTTGTTTAGTTTATTGTTTCCAACTATTTTTTGATATTTTTCCAACTCCATGATAATGTGTTATAAAAAATAAAAATATAAATAAAATTCTAGGTTAGGTGAAATGTCAGTCAACCACTTCCCTTTAAAAATACGGACCAATGAAAACTTCTTCAGGTAAGGCATGCACAATTAAGTGACTATCCAGGTGAAATAGACTTATGCAGAATTCCATATTTCTCTTTCACTGTTTGGGCTTCACTTTTTAGAGATTAGGCTGAGTATATAAAGTTATATGTACATGGGGAAGAGGCGAACGTCTTATGAGGATGAGCAATCCAATTAGTGTACCGTTCTTGGCTCACCTCTATAACTTTTTTTTTCAGATAAAAAAAATATTTGGTATGTTAGTATATGACATAAATTAGGATTGATTGATGTATTCAATTCTTTTTGGCCACTCCCTGTTTCACCGGAAATGGTATTCGGTATTTTTTGAATAGAATGACATATCATATGTCAACTTTTGATATTTTCGCTTAAAACAAAAATGTATTTTAAACTTCAATCTAGAGTGCCGTGGCTGGTCAAAAATGCCCAAATCGTATTCTTAATTATATCTCAATTTTTCAAATGGAACAAAGGTGGCTCATTAGCATATTTGGAAAACGCATTTTTTTATGAATAATTTCGTACCACTCACTTGGTATTTTGGGTCAAACTGACGTTATGAACCGCATCTTACAATTTTAAATAAACCATATGTGAAAATGTCAAAACTTGACATATGATATGTCATTCTAGCCAGAGTGTCATTTTCTATTGAATAAAGTAACAAAATACTGAGGGTGCTATTTAAAAATCAAAAGTTCCAGTCATTTCCGGTAAAACAGGAAGTGACCAAAACAATTGAATACGTTAATCAATCCTAATTCATATCATGTACTAACATAACAAATCTCGTTTTTTAATCTAAAAAAATAAAAAAATTATAGGGGTGAGCCACTTTTGAGACCCACCATACGCACATATTATTTTTTTAAACCCCTTTTTTACCTGGAACATCCATTTTCAACTTCATTTTGGGTGCATGCAAATTCCGAACATCAAAAATCGACACGGTGCCATTCTGTGTTCCAATAAACAATTCTTCAGAATATCTAGGACTCCAGCCACAAGCCCAAGGCGCCGAATCAAGGGAACAGGTAAATATTGTCATTGTAGTATGAGCATCTGTAATCTACAATTTTACAATACTAATAAAATAGTCAGTCGTTAAACAAAAACTTACTCTAAATTTTTTATCGTTAGATACTGTCAGTACTTTACTTTCAGTTGGATGGAAGCACATGTCTCTGATAGAATCCTTATGAAGCGGTATAAACTTAACAGGTTTAAAAGTGGTCAATGACAATTTTTTCAGTCCAAATCCACCAAAGAGGTCAGTGGGTGATCGAGCAGTGATAAAAAGCAAGTCGTGCCTCACTGACACATCAAAACCTCTACAATCCCTACAACCCCCTTTATTGCATACTTCTATATTCTTTTCTAAGTACAGTCTTATCCTAGGTAATGAGTGCTGTAAAGTATAATGATTTGAAGATTCTGTTGATTTACTACCTAAAAATACACATTTTCAAATAAATAATACCGTCTTCAAAATTCTAATTTAGGCAAACCTATAGTTAAATCTTGTATTCTTCTTTTTAGGTGTTCAATTTCTTGTTGTAATACATGCTCCCTACTGACATATTTAGAAACATTTTGTAAAGCCATGTTCTTCTCCATCTCAACTCCCTCTAATTGTAGTCTCAGCTTTTCTAATTCGATATTGTCAATGGCAATAAGTTTTTTGGCATAAATAAATCTAATATCTAATCTTTTCACAGGCATTTTACAAGTTGGGCATGTTTTCTTCGACTGGGAATCTAACCAACGCAGTACACATTTATGTCTAAAAGTATAAAGATTTGTAGGGGTGATTAACGCTACAAATTCAGTTTTACCCAAAAAGATGGCCACATTTTAACGAACATATTCGATGAGCACCACTGTTAGTCCAAGCTTCTAAACAAATAGGGCATATTGTACCATCATCGTCGTCGTCACCATGATACCGCTTCGAGGAACTTTCTTCTGGATCATTTTCGAAAAATGGAAATTCATCAGAATTTGAATCGGTTTCAGTTAAATTAGGATATGTGTCTTCTGGAATGGTATCTTCTGGAGTTCTAAGTATCGGTAAGCTATCTGGAAAGAAAAACTATGATTAATGTGATCCTTTCAAGGGAATTTTTAATACGGTACCGTCCATTATTCCAAATCATTTAAAATGTGCAGTATTTTGGAAAAAAACTCCCGCTTTAATTTTGGAATGCGGACGTAAACATAAGACATAACCTATAATACAAATGAAATTTGAAATTTTAAAATCCAACTAGTTTTGACAGACAGATAAAATGACAGGAAATGCAGTATCATCACAGAGTATCATGCAATCACAGATCAGGATACAATTTACCTAAGCAATTTACCTCTGTGATTTACCTGTGAATACCCTGTGAATACACCATTGGAATACATAGACCTGTAAATTAAAATAACAACTGTGACTGTGAGATGTGAGATCTGTTCTCGTTGGACATTGGACATATATTTCACATGATTTTACATTGTTGATGTTTATTATTATGCTCTGTTATGCTATTTGAGAATTTGAGAAATGCATACTTAAAAAAATATGCTAAAAATATACACTTGATATACACCCATTTAAGGCCTTTTATAATAACACAAAATTAAACAGAACAACTCTGCTTTAAGATAATTTCTCTGGATACTTTGATAGATATTTTAAATTATATTTATTTCATTGTTTTTATTTTAAAATTAATTAAATGTGCATTCGCCATTTTGTCAAAAACTTATATACAGGGGTAGTCCAAAAAATTTAGTAGGAGATTTATCAGACTAGCCGTGGATATCTGATTCACTTAGTGCAAATAAGGTGCAAATGGTTCAGACTTTGTTTCATTGTCATCCATTTTATCAAAAAAATATTTTTTTTAGCTCCAAACTTTAGCACGTGTGTTAAAATCGTGCACAGCGTGAAATTTTATGGACTTGATCCATTTCACTTGTGAAAGAAAGCAACAGAATATTCAGAAACCAAACAGAAACAGGCTATAGCTGCTTAATGCGTGAAGTATGACTTGATTCATTTCTCTACTGGAAAAAACAATATTTTATAAACGTATAAAGACGATTATCTTAAAATAGTAGGAAATTGTGACAACATCACAATTTTCCAAATTTTATAATTATTGTTTATTAAAAGGTGGACCTTAATTATAATTCGTATCTCTATTTTATTGAAGAATAATTGTCATTCTCATAAAAATTAATTACATGCCATTCAAAAAATTCTTCCTTTTGACAAAAAACTACGGGGGTATTTTTTTTTCAAATGTTACAAAAGTATTAGTTTTTACGACGTGATTGGCAATATGAAAAAGTCATTTTAAGGCCTAGGCCTTGGCCTAGGCATAATAGTAAAACAGTTTTACGCCTAAGCATAAAACCGATTGTTCTTCTCTGATAAAACTACGAAAATATATTTTATTAAACTGACAGAAAGTGTCAAATTCAATGAGCGTAACCATATAGGTAGTTCCTCGATATATAATTTCTTACAAGGTATTACTGCAAGTATTACGTTTAAACATAAAGTTTAAATTTTTTCATATTATTTGTAAAGTTTAAAATTGTTTAAACTATTATTTGTGACGTTTGAAAAAAATAGCCTGTTTTATTCGGAGTAAAAATGACTTTTTGTGGCTCGCATATAATATGTTAAACCCTTTGGTCAAACCCATAAAATAATTAACTAGGTCAAACCTTGGGTCAAACAAAGGGTCAAACCTACAGCCTCGCCATAAAGAGTATCCATAGATAAATGAAACAAGTTTAGATTGGAAAGCCCGTAAAAATTTTAGGTCGCCAAATTATTTTGGGTCGCGACCGTTGTACGCGATCTGGCGCTGCTATAGCGGTTACTAAGAACAACCGCAAACAAAAACAGAAATAATTTTCTCTTGTCAAAGTCAGAATCTTCAAAAATTATAATAAATAATAATATCTTTCAAAATCTAAACCGCTCTCATTGAAGAAATTCCGAAAAATGTTTATAGCGTCCATTTGCAAAGTAATTATTGCTATCCTGTAAGTTTAATTCAAGTTTTATTTGCTTCAGCCCGTGATAATTGTGAAAAAGTGGCATTAAAAACTTAAAAAACTCTGCTCGTATTTCATACATGTCCTTATATAAAATAAAGTTTCTTGTCTGCAACACACTGTATTTTATTTATAAAATTAAAAGAAAATAATAATAAATTTGAATAAACAATATTTGGCGATATAATTCCGGAAAAAGCCGAACCGCTCCGAAATTTTCAAATGCTTTGGGTCGCGACCGTTGCAAGAATAGCGCCAAATAGTGTTTACATTGTCCTTATGGGCACTTTTCAATCTAAACTTGTTTCATTTATCTATGAGAGTATCGTTTTTACTCCTAATACAACAATATACTATTTTTGGTTTTAAACAAAAAGAACACATATTAATCGCCAATTGATGTTTGCTATGAAGTGGCTATTGAGTGGTAATTCATAGCAAACTTTAATTAGCCGCCGGCACGTGTTTTTTTTTTGTTTAAAACCAGAAAAAAAATTCCTGTAGTTTTCCGTCAAAATCTTATCCATTTCTATTGTGAAACTAGAAAATTTATTAGTCTTTGAATTTTTTAAATAATATATAAATATACATAGAGATTTTGTATTTAAAATAACAAAGATTTGAGCAATTTTATAACAAAAGGAAATAAATAATTTTTTGCTCTCTCTGTGTACCTATAATATCCAATCATAATATACCGACTTTCGTTAATTTATAATACAAATTTCAACTTTTAAAATGTTCAATTCATGATTTTACCAATGTTTATTCTTATCCAAGATCATGTTTTGGTCAATTTTACACGTTTTATTTATTATCTTAAAACATGGTAGAGATACGTATAGGTTAGTATAATAGAAAAATTATGAGATATGAAAGTACCTAGTTTCCAAAAGTGTAATAATATACTGTGTGTTCCATTTAAAATAAGAAATATGTGCTACCTACCACTTTTCAAATGATGCGGTAACATTGTAACTCTGAAAACATTTTAGATAGATGGAGCAGGTGCCTTTATCTACAGTACGTCTGCTGGATCTGTGTCTATGAAAGGAATGCGGACAAAAAACATTTAAATAAACAGCAATATATTTTATACGTCGACTTGACGAGTACGTCACCGGAAATCGCTCCGCCCACTCATTTTATTGGCTACTTGCAAATTTGTCGAATTTTTATTGATGGGACGCGTCGTCTTATTTTTTACGAAAAACATCGAGAGAACATCGTTTCCCCTCTCACGGATACCTCGTAGCTACAGAACGGACAAACGTACTGTAAAAATCCAAATTTTCGAAAAAAGGTTCCTCATAAACGTCTAACGTAACCCTATATATTTTAATAAATGGTATGTATTTTATCTTTCATGCTGAGGTTACAGATGTGCGTCAATCCAGATTTTTTTATCTACACATGGCACCATCCACTTATTTTTTAAAATCTTTAATATCACAGGGAATTTGCGATATAAAACATATAGTACTTAGATTAGTTTTAAGTGTTTTGTGTAATATATAAGTACCTGAACTTTACATTTAGATAAGTTCGTTATTTTACGGAATATACTACTATTCACACATAAATTTGATATGAAAAGATCTGGAGTATAGGTACTATATAATTATACGTTATATTTAAAAGTAACATAATGAAGATATTTGGTGTGTTTTTAGTTGTTTCTGTTGCCCTAGTCTATTCAGAAGGTATTTTTTTTTCTTTTCGTATTTTTTTTTATATATTTATGCCTTTTTTGTAGTTTGTACAGTTCTCGAATTCAGTAACGTCCAAAATGCAGTCCAAACCTGCAACGATATCCTCTTAGAAAACGTTACGGTCCCTGGCGGAGAAACTTTGAAGCTTCACCTCCAAGATGGCACAAGGGTTACTTTTAGGGGAATCACAAAGTTTGGTTATGCACTTTGGGAAGGCCCTCTAATCGAAATCAACGGTACTAACATTACAGTAGCAGGAGAAGATGGATCTATCTTTGATGGACAAGGCCAACTATACTGGGACGGCCAAGGAGAATGGGGAGTAGTTAAGCCTAAATTTTTCACCATTCAACTTCATAATTCTACTATGAAAAATATTTACGTATTGAACACACCGGTTCATTGTGTTTTGCTAACCGACTCGTCAAATGTAGAGCTAAGTAATTGGACCATAGATGATTCTGCTGGAGATAAGGTCAGACCCAATCTTTAGTTCTATTTTTGGTGTTTATTATGAATATCTGCTTTTAGGATGTAGCTCCTGAAAAGTATGGTCATAACACAGACGGATTTGACGTATTTAATTCTACAAATATTGTTGTTAAAGATGCTTTTGTTTATAATCAAGATGACTGCGTTGCTGTGCGAAGTGGTAAGTTCTTATAAGAAAATGACAAATATGGAATGTTAATTATGGCATGTATCTATCTGTCATTTTAATTCATAAACAAAAATTATATTTTTTTAAATTTTTTGCATGTCGTCTGTTCAACTCTTCCCTTACTCATTAGACAGACTTAGACTAGTTAAAAGTTGAACATTATTTTTTTAATAACTCTATCAGTGACAGCGGTATATGTCATTTTAATTCGCACGCAAATTGTATTTTTTGCCATTTTTCGGATATCGTCTGCCCAAATGTTCCTTTTCTTATTTGACAGACCATAGACAGACTTTAGTTAAAAGTAAAACATAATTTTAATGCCCACTTGCACTGTGATATATACTGTCTGCCCACTTGCACTGTGTGTATAAACTTTGTGTAAAGGCTAAACAGTGATTAACTATATATATATATTATTTTATTATAGTTAATCACTGTTTAGGCTTTAAACAAAGTTTATACAAACGGTGCAAGTGGGCATAAGTCTGCATTTTCGGACAGTGTCTTTGTTATAAGACATTTTATTTTGTTACAAAGCTAAACTAGCAACTATACAGGGTGTTTTAAAAAATATGTGCCATTTCTAGTGGGGAGATTCCTCACGTAAAAATAAGGTTTATTTTTTACATCAACATAGGTCCGATTCGTGTCTTTAGTAATTATTTGCTATCTTCAAAAATTATAAAATCTTTCAAAATCTAAACCGCTCTCATTGAAAATATTCCGAAAAGCGTCCATTTTTAAAGTAATTATATTGCTATCTTGTGAGTTTAATTTAAGTTTTATTTACTCAAACCCGTGATAATTGTGAAAATGTGGCATTAAAAACTTAAAAAGCTGGGCTGTGAACTGTGAACTGCAAAAACCATTGTGGATCGTGGCATAACGTCGGTTTCCAATGTTTTATAGGTATTTCATAATAAAGTTTCTTGTATGGAACACACTGTATTTTATTTATAAAATTAAAATAAAATAATAATAAATTTGAATAAATAATATTTGGCGATATAAGTAGGATCGGACCTATGTTAATATAAAAAGTAATTTTTACTTGAAGAATTTCTCCACAAGGGGATAGTACATGTTTTTTGAAACACCCTGTAGATATATGCATAATATTTCTATGAAGTTTCTCATGTATTTTAAATTGGGGCAAGTATTAGTAACTAATAATAAATATAATTTTTATAGGGAACAACATTACTATCGAGAATTTCTATTGCCACGGTGGGCACGGACTCAGCATCTCAGCAGGCTGGAGTAACGACTCATTTTTCATCAATACCTTGACAAATGTAATCATCAGAAATTCACAATTGGTAGGAGGCCGAAATGGGATACACATAAAAACACACATCGATGCAGGAAAGGGGTTGATTGCCAACGTCACTTATGAAAATATTACTTTCAGTGGTAAGTATTATCCTTATTATTTACAGGTGTTATTATTGTGTCTGGCCGTGAATCAATGGCAAATGTTTCCGCTGCTGACTCCTGAATACCGGGTTCGATCGCCAGCCAGTAGGATCGTCTTTATTTGTTTACATACTCATAATTATACAAGGATTTTAACTCTAACTGGCCCACTAAAATTGGCCCATTAAATGTGAAAATTTACATAAAAATTTAAATAATTTAGTTTAAGGTTTGGTTGGTAGGCGTACTTGTAGAATACTCTCTATATTATTTCATTATTAAATTCTATATGAAATTTTAAACATACTTTATGTACATGGTGGGTCAAATTCGACGCTTTTAAATGGAAACACCCTTTTCTATAGGAGATAGACAAAAACTTATATCGGTGTCCGGAGCTCAATTTTTGTCAAAAACATGATGGTGAAAACCGCATATCGATATCTGTTACCGTTTCGGAGTTACGGGGTATTTTTCAAAAATATATATTTTTAACAAATCGCTGTTACTTTTTTGCTATGGAAAATTTTGTATTTTTATGAAAACATTTCCAAAGCACCTTTCTACGTAGAATTTAATGGTTTAAGTATAATTTTTTTAAAATTAATAATCTAAGAATTATCAACAGAAAATTTGATTTTTTATATGGGACACCCTGTATATTTTTAATTTATTGAAAATAATTTAAAATTACCTTTCCAGAAATATAACACACTTGATATTTTGCTCTATTCCTCTTCGAGATATAGAGTATATAAAAATTCGCCCGCTTTGAATAAGTAGGCTTTGAATGGCACCGGCTGTATTGCAAAAAAATTATAGCTGTGAGCATCAATTAAAGCGAAAATAATATTTGCTATGAGATATGCAGAATTTTATAACAATTTAAAATATATTTAACCAACATCAACACATTTAAACTATATCTAATAACAATAAAAATAAATAGCAAACCAAGACATGAGATTTTGCTACAGGTGTTCGACATATCAACCGTCTTCTATTATGGACAGACGGGGCAGTTTTTGGATATTTCTCGCGGAATTCATTAACTCATTGGGGGTGAAAGATACCCTCTCATAACTGCTAAGTATTTCTAATTCTTGTCTAGATTATACTGAAGAATAAGGAACCTTTATTCTTCAGCAAATAGATCCATAGGATTAGATCCATGATGGGCACTAAGTCAGGCGGCCTCGACGGCCTACGGCTTGGATCTTGGTTAGCAATTATTCTTGAAATTGGCTGCAAAAATTTGCTGATAACTTCAGCGTTCAGAGGCGGTGCGTCGTCTTGCTGGAAAAATATGTTTTCGAGTCCCATTATGGGCATATCATCAATAAGGGGTCCAAAGCATACTAGTTAAAAGTGGCGAACTTTTAAAAATTCTGTATTTCGAAGGGGATTATAACAAAATATCAAGTGTGCTATATTTTTGGAAAGATAATTTTAAATTCTTTTCAGTTAATTGAAAATATAGAGAGTGTCCCAAATAAAAAATCAATTTTTCTGTTGATAACTCTTAAAATATTAATTTTAAAAAAATTATACTTAAAACATTAAATTCTACGTAAAAAGGTGCTTTGGAAATGTTTTCATAGAAATACAAAATTTTCAAAAGCAAAAAAGTTACAGCGGTTTGTAAAAAATGCACATTTTTGAAAAACACGCCGTAACTCCGAAACGGTAACAGATATTGATGTGGGGTTTTCACCATCATGTTTTTGATAAAAATTGAGCTCCAGAGACCGATATTAGTTTTCGCCTATCTTCTATAGAAAAGGGTGTTTCCATTTAAAAGAGTCGAATTTGACCCACCCTGTACAGTTCATACCAAATAAACTTTTAGTCACGTGATTAAGCTTAACCGGCACAGCGTTGCCCACTTTTATATATTTTCTGTTAATCAAAATATTTTAGGAAAGAAAAATAAATTAGTTATAAATATATAAACAGTTATTATTTACATCAACAAAACTCACCTTCTTAACAGCACTTAAGGGACATAAAGGGCCATAACTACAACTACCGCTTTCCCGTTCAAAATATTCTAATAAAGTTCCGATGCGTTTTTTACGGCTTTTAAGCTATCTTGTAAACTTCGCACTAAAATAGGTTCTAAAAAGAACAATGTTCGAATGCAAGATCTGCTAGTAAACATTTTTAAGCTTAAAGTATCACAAGAGGACAATGTCAGGAAATAAATAAATAAATGTGGCAACTTGACATTTTTTACAGCAGAGCTACCACCTGAATCTCTAGCGCGAAATTTAAATTCCAGTTAGTCAGCACGGCTCCGAATATGTCCATGGTTGGCAACAATGAATTTAAAAATCGCGCCCTCGATTACGTAACTAAAAGTTTAATTGATATCAAATATAGTTTTTAACTATGTTAGCATCATCGGCAGGTGATTAAAACTCAAATTAAAAATAAAAATTAAAATTAGTTTTAATCAGCTGCTGAAGATGGTTAGCGAAACGCGCGTCCAATGTTTAAAGTAAAGTTTATGTGGTGTATTGTGGTGGATTGCTGTTTTATTTTACTGTTGTCACACCAAAGGTTCCAAACCCCAACTGTAATTATTTCTTATATTGTCCTCTTTAAATAGAAATGGAGAATTATGGTATAAATATTCAGCAGAATTACAGGAACACAAATTCCAGCTCTCACGACGATCCTGACAATAACATACCCATACAAAATTTGGAATTGAAGAATATTCAGGGGTCGGTAAACTCCAAAGCTATACCAGTGTACATTTTGTGTGCCGATGAAGGATGTTTCGATTGGAATTTTTTTAATGTTACTGTAGAAGGAATTAAGGACAATCGTTGTAATTATGTACCTAGTAATTTTACTTGTTAAAAAAATCATGTATTTTATTTTTTGGACTTTTATTTATCATAATCCACTTTTTTCAATTTTCTAAGAGTACTAGAAGTATTTTGAAAGTTCTACCATTTTAATAAATATTTTAATTACACGATTAATACATGGATTGATTTTGTATTTACCTAAAAGTGGAAAACTCTTGAGGCAAGTCACTTTTTGATAAATTTTTACTAGAAGCAATATCTACATAGAATACCTACATTTAAGCAAGTACATAATTTAAAACAAATTAAACTTTGGGACAAGCAATTTTTGATGATGAAAATTTGTATTGTTTGAAATAAATACCAAACTAAAATACTAAACTAAAAGCTGTGATCTTTTTAAATAAAAATACTAAAAAAAATCTAGTAATATTGATTCTGTGAAGTTATTTATTGTTAAATTGCGTTATAACATATAAAACCCATAGTATAAATATACTAATAATAGTAAACAATAAACACTGGTTTGTTCACTAGCTATAAGGGAAAAATATTGTACAAGATTCTTTTTCCATTAATTTGGTCAGTGTGACTTTAAAATAAAAAAACTATATCATAAAATATGTAGAAAACAAGTTAAGATTAAAACAAATAAAATCTAAAATTTTAAAACAACATTGTTTAAAAAAGAACCAATCCACGTCCTGTCTCAGTGTTCTTTAATTCAAGCATTTGCACCATCTTTTTTCCTCTTGGCATCATCACTATGTTCTCTAAAAAAGAAAAAAAAGCGCTAAAAAAGACTATTTACCGGCACAGCAGTAACATAGCACATGACACACTATTTTCATAAATGGAATTTTAGTAATGGCTCGTATTGAAGGGAGAATTTTTGTTACTAGATACATACTTGTATTTTTGCGGATTGTTATTCTTAAAATCGCAGACTTTATATTTATTTACTAGTTTGTCAATGCTGTTCCTGCTTCAGTTGTACCTAGAGCTGCTGATGGCTGTACCCTCAAAAAAGTAGAGCGATTAGTAGCTCTAGGTACAACTGGAGCAAGAAACAACACAGCGCAAGCTGCGCTAGATGTAATTCAGGACACGCAATCAATCGACTGGCTCGTGAAGGGTCTGGCCGCTAAGGCTGCCCTAAGATTAAGGGAATTCAATCTGTAAAACCAGAGGTGGAACTCTATAACGAAATAGCGATCGGTAGCGATGAAGAATACTGTCGCTTGCCGTTTAGTTTGTACGGCCAAGGTCAGTATTCCTCATTGCTACCGATCGCTATTTAGTTACAGAGTTCCAGCTCAGACCAACTAGGGTTACTAGCCAATGATAGGTAAAATCTTGGCGAACACGAGTCCACATCTGCTAGACCAGAAAACAAACTATATGCTCACCAAACATGTTTTTTGAGAAAATATAGGATTCGCAATTCGCATCCCGACAAAAGAAGAATGGGAAAGCAACCAAGTCATGAATACTCAAGAGATAGTCTATACAGATGCTTCCGTGACTTCAGAAGGCACAGATATAGACATCTCCTCAGAGGAACTAGACATCCAACGACCGTTAAGGCTATCGGATGGCCGTAATGTTTTACAAGCAGAGGTTTACGCTATAAGGAAAGCGGCCAGTTATATACGAGGGAAAATTGCTGATAGATCAATAGGAGCAGATATCGTGATATACTCTTATTACCGTTGACGTTCATATATTTTAATATATTTTAATTTTGTAATGATATAATTTCTTATATTGTTTTCTTTTATATAGAGATGGAGTACTATGGTATAAATATTCAACAGAATTACAAGAATCTCCCGGAACAAAATACAAGTTATCCGGTCGATCCTGACAATAATATACCCATAAAAAATCTGGAATTGAAGAATATTCAAGGATCGGTACAGTCCAACGCTATACCAGTGTACATTTTGTGTGCCGATGAAGGATGCTTTGACTGGAATTTTGTTAATGTTACCGTAGAAGGAACTAAGGATAATAGTTGTAATTATGTACCTAGTAATTATACTTGTTAAAAATAATGCAATTTATTATTTGGACTTTTATTTACCATAACCCATTCTTTTAAATTTTCTAAGAGTACCCGAAACATTCGATAAGTTCTACCATTTTAATGAAAATGTTTATTTACACGATTAATACATGCATTTATTTTGTTTTTAACTAAAAGTGGGTATCTTTAGTAATGAGTAAATGAAAGACCAATACCTTTTTGATCTTTGTTTTACAGTTATATACTTAAGAGTCCATTTCATTAGTCCGAAAAAGTAGCAAAATAAGCGTTCGGCATTTAACGTTTTATGTAAAACTGACTAAGTATTCTTACACAAATGAAGAAGGAAATTAAAGATACAGGATTATACTATATCCGTATTGTAGCACATTTTTAGACAACTTCTTTATTTGTAAGATATTGATGGTCAAACATCAACAAAATATTCCTTATGTTTGGACTAAATTTTCTCTAAAATAAAGACATAATTTAAAATTCCGTTACAATACGGAAATAGATTTGAAGTTTTGTGAAGATTACAGTGATATATAATTTATATGGTATTGTAACAAATTGCTCGCTATTTTATGGCAACTGCTGAAGCTCTGCAAACCTTAATCAAGCCTTAATCAAAGCACATTTTCAGCCCATGAAGCGCATGCGCGAAATACGAGGCTTGCACAAAAAATCAACTTGTGTCATACCTATCAAAATAAGGCTGGATCGGTTATTTCTTTATCACTGCGCATGAGTAGTATAACGGATTACGGGTAATGTGGTTGAAATAAGCCGCCCAGAAACTCTTTTAAGTTTCTGGTCGAAATTTGACAACGTCTAAAAATCAAACTTAAATGTTAGCAAACATCTTTTAAGGTATAGCTTAAATAGCATTACAGAATTAAAAGATTCTGTAAGAGTTCTGTAACGAATGTTTGTTCTGTAATTATGTCCTCCATGTTAGAAATAATATAGGTTTTTCTATTTCTGACGTCATTATGCAAATTTTCTCAATTCAAACTAAAAACATAAACACCAACTAAATAGTAAGTGTTTCTTGCAAAAGGCGATTATTAATTTGATTATTAGAAAAGGTTTCATACCTTTTCTAATAGGTTTTAAAAAAAATATAGTTAAATTTTACGAATATTTAAAGAAAAAATATTTAAAATGATAAAAGAGAGAAGGCGCTTCAATTTTGTGCATTAAAATGTATATATATTTTATCAGAAAAATTTGTTGCGCAGAAGAATCTATAACTTGTAACCTATTTATTTTCTGTTTTAAGTTAGGTAGTAGGGTAGTAGATATATTTATCATGGTGGTATATTATTTTTAATTGCCATCGCCATTTATTTATTATTTTCTGACAGTTTTATAGAATATGTAAAGAAATAAAGAATTGTATTGGTATTGGTTTAGGAAATATTTTTATCGTATAGTTATTTTAAAATGAACCAAATGGTTCTTTTAAGATGACAAAAAGGACAAACCAATATCGTTTCTAGCGGTCTTCTATAGCAACCTAAACAGCATTCTTGCAACTGATTTTTAAGGCTTTTATAGATATTTTAAAAGCTGTTAGTCGTACTTCTATAATAATAGCCTAACAACCCCCTTATCAGACATAAGTATTATATAAAGCAGAAAAAAGTTTGTCTTATAGTAGCTGTATAAGCGTATCAATATTTATTTTATAATATCTGTATAGCATGCTTACCGAAGCCTATGCCAACTATAGAGCTGTATAAATCTGCCTATTTTGCTTCGGTAGATGTCGTATAAAGAACTATATCATGTTTTGGGAACAAATCTGTTGTATAACATTTTGTTTTATAGCGTGATATACGATAATTATAGAGATATATTTGTTACTTGGGTGGTAGTAAAAACCAACCAACCCCACCAAATAACCACCTAACCAATGCATTTATTTGTCGATATTGTTGCTATAAGAAAAATAATTCGTACTTTTACCAATGCGGTGTGGTAAATCCTAAGATTTACTATTTGGGTCCGGTAAAAATCCGAAATGGAAGCAAAATAAAGAAGTTTTTGACCTTTTACCACTTGTTTTTGGTAAATTCTAGGTTTAGCGCGCTTATCCTAGGTTTTACCGCATTTCGGACATTTACAGTAACAACTATACTAATAAAAACCTTAGATACCCAAATTTGAAGTATTTTGATTTATTGGAATACTTTTTATTTTCTCTTGACCAATTTTGTTAAGAATTTGCTTTTAAGTGGTTATCTATTTTAAATGAGATTTTATATATGTCGTTATGTGCGTCATTTCCAGATATGTTGTTTGTGAATATATGTATTAACAATTGGGACAGCGAATCACTTTTAATATTACAAACACTATGAATACTTATTTTACCAAATTAGCTTGAAGTGTTTTGTTTAATGTACTAGATTTTTGCTTAATTGATTCTCTAAGTAAATTTATCTTTATTTATGAGATACTATACCCTACCTAAAGATAAACTTGTTGATATGAAAAGAACCCATTAAAATATTTTATTATTACCTACATCTTATGAAGCGTGTTTTAAATGCATCACAATGAAGATTATTAGTTTGTTTTTGGTTGCTTGTATTACTATAGTATATTCAGAAGGTCGGTATTTTTTATTATTTCTATTATTTTTTTTTACTTCAAAACCACTTTCTCCAGTTTGTACAGTATCAGAATTCGGTGAAGTTCAAAATGCAGTCCAAACTTGCAAGGATATCATCTTAGACAACCTGTTTGTTCCTGGTGGTGAAGCTTTGAAGCTTCCGCTCCAAGATGGCACAAGGGTCACTTTCAGAGGAAACACTACGTTTGGTCATGCAGTTTGGACAGGTCCCTTGGTTGAGATCAACGGTACTAACATTCAATTTGAGGGAGAAGACGGAGCTATCATAGACGGTCAAGGTCAACTATACTGGGATGGCAAAGGAGGCTGGGGAGATGTTAAGCCTTCATTTTTTACAGTTCAACTTCATAACTCGTCAATGAAGAATATTAATGTTTTGAATACGCCAAAGGATTGCGTTTTGCTCACTGACTCAACCAATGTAGAGCTAAGTAATTGGACTATAGATGATTCTGCTGGAGATCAGGTTAGATTGACATAATTAGCTGTGTAATATTTAAAAACTTTGATTTCAGACTGTTCTTACTGCTTATTTGTTTATATTAAATGTTGTAACAAAGTTTTGAACAGTTTCCAGCTTAAAATAACATTATTTTTTTAAGATACTGTCTTAAATAATCTCACACCTCTGCACAGAGCGTAGGTGACCTCTCAGCAGATAAAATCATACTATGTCTTCAATTTATATGAGGGCCAGCTTATGCCTTCAAACAATATAATGTAATCTTCATTTGCATTTTTGGCGTTATTAATCTAAACAGGTTGTTAATTTGTTTATTACTCGCGGCAAGAGCTTTATGGTTGAAATATGGCAACCTCGGCCCGCTAGTAGACGACGCGACGGGACGAGTCGGCAGCTTAGCTTAGTACTCATTTGGAGTGTAAGCAGTGTTGCCATTCTGTTCCCCAATAAGTAACCGTCCAGTTAACAATCTGTATAATGATTTTTGTCTATTGATTCAGGATAAGGCTCCTGGGAAATATGGTCATAATACAGACGGATTTGATGTCTTTAATTCTACCGATGTAATTATTAGAGATGCTGTTGTTTATAACCAGGATGACTGTGTAGCTGTACGTAGTGGTAAGTTATTGTAATAAAATGTCTGATAGGTATGCTTAAACTGGCTAAAATTAAATGACTACCCTAATGAGTGGCCTTTGTAAATCGACAAAAATATTTTGGACGTCAATGGATAAACAGTAGTTTTGAGTTTTAACAGTTTTTGCCAACAGAATTGATAATTAGTCATACTGAACCAGTTTCAATAACTTACAACATCTTTTTGCGTTTCCATAGGGTAAAAATACACTATAGGTGTCGGAAAATGATAAAACAATCATTATAATCTGTTAGCTTCCTTTTTAGTTCTCAGCTGAGTTCCCTGGCGACATTATAATCGTTAGTTTTACAAAAAGGTTGTTGTTAGAAAGCACTTAAACATAATAATTTACATTCAATTTAAGCAGACTTTACAGTAATTTTTCTAATAATCTGATGGTAAATAATTTTTATAAAATAGGGATCGATTATTTTCAGGAAATAACATCACTATCGAAAATTTCTACTGTCACGGTGGACATGGACTCAGCATCTCAGCAGGTTGGAGCAACGATTCGTTTTTCCTTAATACGCTGACAAACGTAAAGTTTAGAAATTCTTTACTGGAAGAAGGCCAAAACGCTATACATATAAAAACTCACATTGATGCAGGAAAGGGACTAATGGAAAATATTACTTATGAAAATATCACTTTCAGCGGTAAGAACTGTTTTTGTGAGCTAATGCTATTCATAAAAGTCGAAGTCTGTAAAAACAAATTACAATTTTCAATATATTCTGATTTGGTTGGTGGAGGAAGGTCAATCCAATAGGATTTCAGCGCCAGCACTTCATATAAACCTCATAAAGGTGTTTCAAAGGTTGAAATGTACTACCAGATACCATACTAATTCTTGATTAATAAATACGATGTACTGCTGTTTTGAAGTCCTTGTTCGTCCACCACCAGGAGACGCAGTATCGTCTAATTCAACATGATTTAAAAAAAAGTGTGCTTATATACTAGAGAAGGCATTCACTATCACGAAGGTATAAGCACAGATTAAGTATACTATATGTATACAGATAAAAATCTTATCCCTAATTCGTGGTACGAAAATTGATTTTTATGACGATGTACAAACGAGTAAAATTTCCTGTGCGCAAAAATAAACTCGTGTAAAATAACAATAAACAGTGTAATAGAGAGATGTCGCTAAACCGAATAGCGTGCATGGACGTTAATAAGGCCAGGTGTTATTTCCTTTACGTGAGGTGGTATTAACTCTCTTCATTTATAGTTATCGGATCGGAAAGGATTCTGTTCGCGTCGCGTCCGCTATTTAAACTTAACCTAACTTTGAAATTGTTTTGTTTACTAGGTATTTCAAAACTAAAGGGCTAAAGTGCTTATTTCCAGTGCTTTATTGTTTAACGCCTGCCAGTAGATTTAGGGCAACAAATTCTCTCAGAAGGGCTAAGTCGTCATCTGCTGTAAACCTAAGCCTCTTTATAGGTTCTTTAATATTGGAAGAGGTGGAATCCATTCATGTTTTGAGCCATATTTATTTAATTAAAACTAATCAAAACTACTTAAATATCAAATTACCTAATAAAACTAGGGTTACCAGATAGGTCATCATGAAAAAGAGTACATCGGGTAGTTTTGGTGAGGCATCACGCCAAACTCAAAAAAAATCATACGAAACACTTGGGTCCTTACTAGTAAATTTGATTAGCTATAACATAACAGTATTTATTAGCTATAAAATACAGAACAACAAGTAGGTACTACAAAGTAAAACAAAAACTAGACTAATTATTATGGTATTTTGCATTACCACGAATTTTACCCAAAAAAGCTCTTTGACCTTTGCAATGCTTTGAAAAATCAACACAACTGGTGTCTTTAAAATTAAACTGCACCATTAAAACACTTTTAATGGAAGACAGTAAAAAGCGATTTCGTTCATCGGTCCATTGCGCTCTCATGAAACTAAAAATTCTTTATAAATTAGCATTGTGTGCAGGTATCGCATAAAAAAATGTCATATTTTTAAGAAGACGTGGTTGCCTATTCTAAAGTTTATGAGAGTAAAAATAAAGAATAATACAAGTTCAGTTTAAAAAAGAGAACATTTTAACGTATTTAAAAAAAAAGTAAGAGTACAGAAATTTGTACCCTTGAAAAGAGAACATGTACTCTTAAAAGAGTACGGATGGTAACCCTAAATAAAACTAAAGTAATAATTCAAAACAATTCAAACATAACCTAAAATAAAAGATCTCTCCGGCCGGCCCCGGTTGTCAAATACCCGCACATGGCCATTTAAGCAATTTTTAAACGTTATTTAGAAATAGCGCTTGGTGTAATTGATCCGCAAATTACGTCAGGCGGTAACGTTATTAGCGGGCGTTGCGTTAAAAATTGACTCCCGTATATCGTAACCATGATAAGGTACGCGTAAATATTGCATGACGCTATTCGGTTTTCCGATATCTCTCTAATAACTGTGCCGGTCAGGCGCTGTGCACAATTTTAGAGGCCATAAGTGGGCGTGCTATGTGCGCAAACTAGTAACCTAACTAGTACCCGAAAATTGGAACCACGAAAAACAATAAAGAAAAAACAAAGTTTATAATCTGTATAAGTATAAGGCTAGGCTCAACTTTCGTTTAGCTATATCAGTTATGTAAGAAATATCTGTTTATTTAGTATTTGGAAGCCTTTTTGAATAGTATGTTACAAAAATTTTTCTGCATAAATGCATCATTTTCAGTTTTTCAACTTTAAAATAGCTGAAACCAATTAAATGAAAACACGTTTCGGCTTTTCATTCTAGAAATTTTTCTAAACATAAACACGCAAAAAACTCCTTGCGGAAGTGTACCATTTTCATTTATTGATAAGATATTGTAAAATATAGCAAGATTTGAAAAGTACTCGGCAATTGAATTCGTTAACAGGCGTGTTTTAGCTTACAGCGGGTTTTGATTGCATTGGTTTGGTTTGTTGGTTCCTTTTTGTTCGTTGAAAAATTCTGCATATAAACTCATCTTGTTTTTTTCTTTCTAAATAGGAATGATTAATAATGGAATAAATATTCAGCAGAACTACAAAAATATACCGCCAAATTCCACTATGCCCAGCGTGCCTGACAATAACATACCAATCAAGAATTTGGAACTAAAAAATATCCATGGATCGGTGAAGTCTAGTGCCTATCCAGTGTATATCCTCTGCGCCGATGAAGGATGCTTTAACTGGAATTTTTTTAATGTGTCTGTGGAAGGAACTAAGACTAGTAGCTGTAATTATTCACCTAGTAATTTCACATGTTAAATAAAAAAAATAATTATTCTATTTTTCAACTATTTATTTTTGTCACTCTCCATGTCTCGCAGCCATATAGTATAACTGGTATGACGTTGTATTTGAATATTTTTAATTTTGTTTGTATGGAGAGTAGTTATTTTTTTAAACTGGTGTAATTATTTTTTTAACCTGTTACATTTTTTGCAGGGTTGGAAAAAATCATGATTTTTTAAAAAAAATCAAATTTATTTGATTTAAATCAGATTTTTTTTAACTTAATTCAAAACAATATTTAATTCGGATTTCCAAATGACTAGGACTTATTTTCAATTTCTATCCTAAATAGCTAAATCTTTACAACTCTGCCCGATACCGATAACATTAACAATTCTAACGAGATTGACTCGTTGTCATTTTTCCACATTGGTCACCAATATATTCTGCAAAAAAAGCCGCTCGCTTCAGATCAAAAGGATTTTTTTTCAAACATCTCAAAAATATTAACTTTTATTGTCATTTTAACGTCTAGGCATAAAAATAAAGCGCTGTTACGCCTAAGCACAAAAGTACAAAAATATATTATTAAACTGATATTAAGTGTCAAATTCAACGAGTGTATAAATTGTTGCTCGATTACTGTTCATATTATTTGCAATGTTTGAAGTTGATTAAAAAAATATTTGTAATATTTTAAAAGAATTAGTTTGTTCTATTCGGAGTAAAAATGTACTTTTTGTGCCTTCCTGTAACGTCGGAATAGCTTTACGATGGTTCTTCAAAGGTACAGCATCGTCAAAAAAAGTATAATTTTTACTCCTAATAAAACAGTACACTATTGTTCGGAAATAGTCATCAAGTCGAGAACGAAAGTAGTATGTATTATATAATGTCAAAGTGTAAAGTACTTAATGCAACCGTTTCAATAAAAAATATAAAACAACATATTTTCTGACAACGATTATAGATTCTCGGGAATGAAGATATAGTCTCTATATCAGAACTACCTTTTGCACTAGACTTTACGAATGATATGTATATAACAGCGAATTTTTGTCACTTATACATAAATTTTAAAATAAATCCCTGCGTTTAGCGGTCTAATGGATTCTCACGAAATTACTTCAAAGATCGGTCCAACATTTTAATTGATGAATAGATATTTTTATATAGTTTCATAACATTTACAATAACTATTTTTCGATTTATTATCTGTTATAAAAATATTTTTCTAGTTTTCTAGGACACACTGTTACAGTTATTTTTTGATTTATCATAAAGTTTCAATGAAATTATTTTTTTGATTTAAATCGCATGATTAAAATTAAAAAAATCACTTGATTTAAATCATTCCAACCCTGATTTTTTGTATATTTTATTTTTGCATCTTCAAAATTAAACACTTTAATAAAAAGAAAAGAAAAATACTTTGTTGTATTGGTAAAATTTTAATTGCACTTACTTATTACATCCTCTTGTATTGACGCCACACTACGCCGCTGTAATTTAAGAAAAACGGCGACAGTGATGGCTATGAAATGAAGAAAAGAAATTTCACAAGTTTAATTATATGGAGAATGTCATCGATCGTCATTTCTAAGTCAACTGGACGCCTTTTTTCTTAGATCATACGGTATTATCGTTGATTGAAGGAATTATTTTTTCAGTCAACGGTACTTGACGGTACTACCCGTACTACGTTAAATTTTTAGTATAATTATGGTGTGTTAATTATAATACATATTTATTTTAACTGATTACGTTATGTATGTCATTTGTTGTGTTCTTAGAACAGAATATGTGTGACGCTATTTTTATCTGCGGTGTGATAATTGCACTTCGTTCTTATCGTAATATACTCAAAAAACAATTAAAATTCTTTCGTTATAAATCAGATATTTTTACACTTGCTTACTAATTGACTGGATTTTATAAATTATAATTATTTATACCCAAATTCGTTGTATTAGCACAGATTAGGTATCCTATAAGTGTACAGATAAAAATCTTGTCCCTAATTCGTGGTACGAAAATTGTTTTTTATGGCGATGCGCAAACGAGTCAAATTTCCTGTGCGCAAAAATAAACTCGCGTAAAATAACAATAAACAGCGTAATAGAGAGATATCGCTATACCGAATAGTGTGCATAGACGTTAATAAGGCCAGGTGTTATTTCCTTGACGTGAGGTGGTATTAACTCTCTTCATTTATAGTTATCGGATCGGAAAGAATTCTGACCGCGTCGCGTCCGCTATTTAAACTTAACCTAACTTTGAATTTTAAACTTTGAAATTGTTTTGTTTACTAGGTATTTTAAAACTAAAGGGCTAAAGTGTTTATTTCCAGTGCTTTATTGTTCAACGTCTGCCAATGGGTTTAGGGCAACAAGCAACAAATTCTCTTAGAAGGGCTAAGTCGTCATCTGCTGTAAACCTAAGATTCTTTATAGGTTCTTTAGTATTGGAAGAGGTGGAATCCATATTTTGGGCCATATATATTTAATTAAAACTAATCCCATCTACTTAAATATCAAATTACCTAATAAAACTAAAGCAATAATTCAAAATAATTCAAACATAACCTAAAATAAAAGATCTCGCCGGCCGGCTCCGGTTGTCAAATACCCGCACATGCCCATTTAAGCAATTTTTAAACGTTATCAGAGATTATTTAGAAAGAGCGCTTGGTGTAATTGATCCGCAAATAACGTCAGGCGGTAACGTTATTAGCTGGTGTTGCGTTAAAAATTGACTCGCGCATATCGTAACCATGATAAGGTACGCGTAAAAGCGTAAATACTGGATGACGCTATTCGGTTTTCCGATATCTCTCTAATAACTGTGCCGGTCAGGCGCTGTGCACAATTTTAGAGGCCATAAGTGGGCGTGCTATGGGCGCAAACTAGTCACCTAACTAGTGCCCGATTGTTTAATAATCTAAATGTGAAAAAGTTTCTTTATTTTAGAGACTTTTTTATAATTCGATATTTACATCATTTATTCAGAAGTTTTTATCAAACTATATCAAGCCATCTTCATTTAAATATCACTTTCTTATTTCTTACTTATTTACATGTGTATATTCTCCACAGAAATGGTGCCACAAATGTCTGATGATGGAGTATAATCTGACCCTCAAATTTAGTTGGTTTTTAAATAAATATACAGGGTGTCCCAGGCTGGAGCGTGCATTAGAAGTTTCTAGAGAACCACAATATCTAGACCGGAGATTTTTTGCACATCATTGTTTCACAACGAGATCTATCGATTAAAAATATTTTCAATATGGCGGCACTTCCGGATATACCGGAAGATGACGACAACTTTCTTATTTTAAATGGGAGCCTCCATTTTTTATTAAATAGTTAAATTCTATGTAAAATGTTATGAATTTGGAAGAAATACTCTATATCTAACATTAACCGTTTTTGAGAAAAAAATATTTAAAATTTTTGGACGAAAAAAACTGCCTGTCAAAAAGAAGATATGCGCCTATCTATTTCAAAAATTAAATTGCTTGAATGTCATATAATAATGGGTGCAGCTGTCATGGAATTGAGCGATTAAGCAAGTATCATAAATCATTTTTTTTCAATTGGAAACCCACTTTTTTTATTTCACTAGTGAAAAGGCTTTTCAATTCGTTACTTTTTGACTATACATGTTCCTATACCTAAAATAAATCGTTTTTAAGTTATTTAAAATTTAGTTTTAAAGCGCATATTTTTCTTGATTTTAACCAGTCGCCTATGACTTTAAACGTCAAGTGATGTAAAACAATAGATCTGGCTATGTCATATTGTGACACTTTGTTCAAAACGCAATATGTTATCGATCATCATTTACCAACTTTGCGTTGTTTTTTTTTTCAGGGTTTATACAGTATATTATTAATATAATTAATAATATCAACTATTATGTAGATGTCATTAAAGAGCGAAAATACAAGACATATTTTTATAAATACAATTTTTAAACTTTTAAGGCAACAGTATTTACAATATAGGAAATTCAAATAATTTCTTTTCTGACAGATGGAAATAAATTGTCTGACTTTTTGACACTTAATGTCAAAGGAAGCTAGATAAAATCAAGAAAAACATACGTTTTTAAACTATATCTTAAATAACTTAAAAACGATTTATTTTTGGTATAGCAACATGTATAGTTAAAAAGTAACGAATTCTAAAATCTTTTCACTAGTGAAATAAAAAATAATGATTTATGATAACTTAATCGCTCAATTCTATGACAGCTACCGCCATTATCATATGACATTTGAACAATTTAATTTTTGAAATAGTTAGCTACATGTCTTCTCTTTATGTCCTTTGAATAAGAAGACTAAGGAAGGAGCATAATGCTATCCATGTATTCATGAATGGTGGGCGGAAAAAGCTCTCTAGGGTGGGGATCCTTGACAGTTCTGTTTGACGATTCATTTGACACATTTGAATTTGATTTGAAATTTTGTGGATATGTCAGTCTTTACGGAGCTTATTTTATGTTATTTATTATTTATTCTACTACTGATAGTTGTATAAAGGTAGTAAATCTAGATGGAAATTGTGGAAGAACTTAAATTAACAGTGACATTATCGCGATTTATCGAAAAAGATGCGGTAGATCTCGGCAAAAATTGAGTGAAATAATGGAAAAACTTTTCTCTAGTAAGTGACTATATAATATACATACGTGTAGTAAACCGATCATTTATGAAATTCACTTAAATTAACTAAATTATATATTTTTGTTGCATTTTAGCTTTTATTTACTACTTGTCAAAGATCAGATGTCAAAGAATTTTGATACGTTAATTTGACTTACCTGCTTCAGTAGCGTATCGGATGTTTATCTATTTTTATTAGAATTATATATTTTTATAACAATTTTAATAACTACCAACATTTATTCACAACGTAAAATAAAATAACACATTATTGAGTCTACCCCACGTCTACCCTACATCATAGTTTTACATTTTTTAAATAAAATTAGAACCTCACTGATAAACCGGAATTTAAGTCGGCCATATTTGAGGCCCATCGCGGTGTACCTAAGATTTTTGATATGCTCCTTCCTTAGTCTTCTTATTCAAAGTTTATGTCACAGTAGCTGTAGCAATCACTAAATTTGACTTTTAGGCTATACACATTTTTTTGACAGGTAATTTTTTTTCGTCAAAAAATTTTAAATATTTTTTTCTCAAAAACGGTTAATGTTAGATATAGAGTATTTAACAGCAATATTCAGAGAATTTAAGTATGTAATAAAAAATAGGGGCGGCTATTTAAAATAAGAAAGTTGTTGTCCAGTTCCGGTATTTCCGGAAGTGGCGCCATATTGAAAATATTTTTAATCGATAGATCTCGTTGTAAAAGACTGGGACACTCTGTATACATCTAGAAATCTGTGAATTAAACGACAATTTCTATTTGTTTTATTTTTTATTGTTTGACGGTATAAAATGTTCCCAATTGCTTATTAGACCTTTTATCCATCAATTAGAGGTAAGATGTAAAATAAAAAGTATACAGAAATATTCCAAATTTGTTTATTTACAGCTGAATACATTGTGACAAAATACTTGTAAAATAAATTATCAAAACTTATCTAATATCATACCGAGAATTTTTAATATCAACGTCAGTCATTATTTGTTTTAAATCTACACTTATTTGTTTAGAGATACGAAGAAATGTTTGTTAGATCATATTTATTAGAAATATTAATACGTTTTAATTTCTTCTTTCTGGCATAAAATGGGGTAACTTACAGCCTTTTAATTACAAAACGAGATTAAGGATTTCCCTTAAATCAGTACCTTAAATTACCACAATAGAATCGCGTGAGATCGTCATAGTTTCCAGGAGGCGAGGGCCTAAGCAAAGGGCTTCTCATTACTTTGTTGTGTGGATTGTTGATTTCGGTGACGTGGATGTAACACACTGGTTCTTCGCCACATTTAGTCGGTTCTTTGGTGAAGAATCGAATGAAATGTCTTTTCTCACTGGAGGTTTTTTGGACGGGAGTTCTCGGCGTGTTTTCAGTCGAAAAAGACCTAGAACAAATTATATAAATTACGCATATATTCTTGGGAATGCAGTTCAGTTTAATTAATAGACATTATATCAAATCTATGTCCTATTATATTTTTCCCAATATTTTAGTTAGAAAAACGTTTCGACCACAATCTGGTCTTCATTCTTCTTTATTTATTATTCTTCATTATTATTACTTCTTTTATGAATTACTTTATGACGTTACTTTTAATATCACGAGGTGGCTTTGACGATTTTGTCATAATGTCATACTGATTACAACATTATATTAAAATTAAAAAAATGCTAAAAAATAACGATAGAGGCTTGGTTTTAATAAATATTAGTAACGCTAACAGAACTAGGTATATTGCAAAATAAAAACACTAAATCACCACAATACACCAAAACACTTTTACTTTTACACTGGACGCGCGTTTCGCTAACCATGTTAGCAGCATCAGCAGATGATTATAAACTTTTAGAATCATCTGCTGATGATTATAAACTTTTAGAATCATCTGCTGATGATGCTAACATGGTTAGCGAAACGCGCGTCCAGTGTAAAAGTAAAAGTGTTTTGGTGTATTGTGGTGATTTAGTGTTTTTATTTTGCTGTGTAACACCAAAGGTTTCAACCCTCAACTGTAACTAGGTATATTAAAAAAAATAGCCGCCCATACTAAAATATGTTAATAAAAAGTTGGTAGGCAATTCTTTTAGTTTCAATTATCTCAAAAACTGCGACTTTGACTGATTTTGAAGTTATTACAAATTTTGTTGCAAATATTATTCCTAATCTTAAATTGAAAACCTCGTTTCGCTAGCTACTATGGGTGCTACCCTCCTATGGGTGCCCGGTGGCGTAGAGGTACAGGCTCTCGTCTACCAATGAAGAAAGTGGTAGTGGTAATGGTAAGTAGTGGGTTCGATTCCCACACCCGGCATTTTATCAGCCGACTATTTTTATTAAAATAAAAATAGTTTGGGTACCTAGGTCGACTCAGCCTTAAATGAGTACTTGGGATTCACAATCCTGAGGTAATAATAGGCGGTTGAAGCGTAGTGCTAGCCACATTACCTTCCTTGTATACCGAACGGCTCTAGTATGGCAAGCTGTACCTTGCTACTCCCAAGGCGTTAAACGCTATATACGAGAGCTATTATTATTATAACCCCCTCCTATACCCCCTTACCAACCTCCAACCCCCACCAAAAACTAATGGCCAGATTCTCGGGTGCCACAGTATTTTTGTGCCAAATTTGGTTAAAATCGGTTTAGCGGTTTTTGAGTTATCGTGTTACAAACAGACGGACAGACGGACACACAGACACCAAGAAAATATTTTGTATTTAGGTCATTTTTGACCCAAATAACTCATTTTGAGTGAAACTAAAAAAACTTTTTTTTGCCGATCTTAATAGCCTACTATACACCATACCTGTCGGTATGGTCGGTTAATAACTGTAATAATCAAGTGTACATACAAACATTTTTTTATAAAATATAGAATTGAAAATTTGAGTTTCGCCTTGCAGTAGCACAGATACTGTGGTAGTATTTTAATCAAAACAGACATACCTACATATTTGTGCGTGCTGGTGTTCATTTAGTTTGATTTAAATTATGCGTACAAGGTTCAATGATTGCGCAAAATAATACATAAATTTACATTTTCATGTTGAAATTGCAGATGAAATGGTTCGATGAAATTTTTAAGTTTAAACACAGGTACAATACAGTGATATATAGAAATGCATTTTAATCTTTAGGACATAGAAAAAAATCAACTATACTTTCATGCTTTTTTTAATTTTCTCTAAAACGGTATGGAAATTTGGAAAAGTATAAACGGAATTAAACCGTTTTAGAACAAGCAGAAATTTTTATGAAGAATGCATTTTTCTCAAAATGTCAATAATAAATAATATACCGTGTGCTTCTCAAAAGTGGCTCACCCCTATAATTTTTTTATTTTTTCAGTTAAAAAATCGAGATTTGGTATGTTAGTATATTACATAAATTAGGATTGACTGACGTATTTAATTGTTTTCGGCCACTTCCTGTTTCACCGGAAATGACTACAACTTTTGTTTTTTAAATGGCATCCTGGGTATTTTTTTACTTTATTCGATAGAAAATGACAATTTGAATAGAATGACATATCATGTCAACTTGACATTTTCGAATCTGTTTTTTAAGCTAGTTTTTTTTATTTTTTTTATTCTATTCAGAGTGTAATTTTCTATCAATAAAGTAAAAAAATACCGAGGGTGCCATTTAAAAAACAAAAGTTGTAGTCATTTCCGGTGAAACAGGAAGTGGCCGAAAACAATTAAATACGTCAATCAATCCTAATTTATGTCATATACTAACCAAATATACTGCCAAATCAGGTTTTTTATCTAAAAAAATAAAAAAGTTATAGGGGTGAACCATTTTTGAGACGCACCCGGTATTGTTAGTATTTGGAGTAAAAATTACCCTTTTTGCGGCGATGCTGTGCGAAAAATGCATTCTTCACGTTTCACTGATATTATTGATTTATTAGTTTAGCTTGATAGTTTTAGCTTTGATTTATTAGTTTAGCTTTTATTTCTTTATAGGTTGTTTACTACATTAAATCCTGTACTTTATCAACTACATGCCTTGAAGACGGTTAAACTGATATGGCTAATTGTTATTTTAAAATGTTTCTGGTAGTCTAAATAAGAAATATCCCAATAAGGTCTAAAACATTCGGCAACAATTGAATTATTTTTTTCTATAGACTATAGTATCTTATTTTTTTGAAACCTGCAAAATTTGTCATAATAAAAAAATTGGATAATTTAAAGAAACTGCGACAAATTCTTAACACTGGTAACTTTATATCAAGTTGTATATTCCTAAATTTAATAGTATACGAAATATTTACGTTACTTAAAAATTGAACTTTACGTTTTCCCATTCCTGTTTCCCAATTAGATTAAATTTTCCCAACTAGCCGTGACGCTTGGTGTTAAAAAATATATTTTTTTCATTTAACTGGTTATATCGAAAAATATGTTTACCAGTTGTAGTCATGGCTAGTTATAATCCCACAGAAAAAAATTGTATTTTGTTCATGGAAAAATCTTAACTCCCAATGAGATAAATAAACGTGATTTTATTAATTTATCTTGATCCAAGTCTAGTAGTAACCTTTAAAAAATGTAATATCATTAACTTGCGAAGACTTATGGATTCCTCATCAAAAAATATGAAAAATGAAAAAAAGTTCCTGTAAACATGAGTATAGAAATGCATAGTTTTAAAATTACAGGTTGTTAAAACTTTTTAGAATTAGGTCTTTTGTAATTATTTTAAATTCCATTATTTTTTTATTGGAATTTGCTGTAGGTTGGACTAATAAGCGAACATACTGCGGAACACAGTATAAAGAAAAGGATCCTCAGCCTAGTTGCTCTTTCCACAGTGATATAATTAATGAAGAACCAGACATACCAAAATCGGAAATTGAAGCAGCAATAAAAAACCTAAAACATCATAAAGCCCCGGGACCAGATCACATCACGACCTAAATGCTCCAAGCGTCGGGAGATTTTGGTGTGGACATCTTGCACAAGTTGCTTGTTCTTGCTCAGATTGGACCGATTGGTCTATAATAACCATTCACAAAAAAGGATCTCCAGCCAAATGCGACAACTTTCGTACCATTGCGCTAATTTCACATGCCAGTTAGATTCTTCTTCATATCATTAACGAAAGGCTAAAACCGTATATTCAACCACAAATCCCTTCAGAACAAGCAGAGTTCACAAGAGGTCGAGGAACACGTGAACAAATTTTGAATATCCGTCAGATTATCGAACAGGCCCGAGAATTTAACAATCCGCTCTATATTTCTTTCAAAGACTATCGAAAATCTTTTGACAAAGTCAAATGGTCAAAACTAAGGATGGTTCTTAAAGAAATGGGCGTGCCTCTTCATTTGATTTCATTGATTCAGAATCGCGTTACTTCGGAAGACTTTCAGCCTACCTGTGGTGTTAGGCAGGGGTGCATACTGTCTCCTCAGTTATTCAATATATATAATTAATATATATATATATATATATATATATATATATATATATATATATATATATATATATATATATATATATATATATATATATATATATATATATATATATATATATATATATATATATATATATATATATATATATATATATATATATATATATATATATATATATATATATATATACTGAATATATCATGACAAGGGCACTGGAACATTGGCAAGGAGGGACCATAATTAATGGTCACAAAATCACCAACCTCAAATTTGCAGACGATACGGTACTTCTAGCGAGAAACGAAGAAGAGTTACTGCAGCTTCTAAAATTGGTTGAAGACGAAAGTGAGAAACTTGGACTTGAAATTAATCTCTCTAAAACAAAAATTTTGATTGTCGACAGGCAAAACAACAACAAACCTGATGTAGTGAGCATTGGTCGTTCTGAGGTTGTAAGTCAATATATATATCTTGGGTCACTTATAAACAACACAGGGTCGTTAGAAGGGGAAATAAGAAGAAGATGTGAAATAACAAGAGTGGCAGTGCGAAAACTCTCAAAGATATGGCGAGACAAAAATATATCTAAACACATAAAAAAAGGCTTGTTCACTGCCTAATATTTCCTATATTAATGTATGGCTCCGAGTCCTGGACGATGATACAGTCAGAAATGAAAAAAATGACGCAACTGAGATGTACTGTTGGCGACGAATGCTCAGAATTCCCTGGACTGCCAATGAATCCATAATCCAAGAACTGAACATCACAGAACGCCTCTCAACTTCTATATAGTCACGTATACTTAAATATTTCGGTCACGTTATGAGGAGGGATACTGACTGTATGGAAAAACTCATTATACAGGACAAGGTTCCGGGAAGAAGACCAAGAGGCCGCTCACCCTCCGGATGGATAGATCACCTATCAAAGATCACCCACAAGCCACTGCACACGCTTGTACATGAAGCACAAGACAGGGAATTATGGTGACAAATATCATACATCACCTGACCACTACATTCCTCTTGTAGGAATAAAGACAGAGAGAGAGAGAGGACTAATAATAATTATAATTAATAGTAAGAATATCTAATAATAAATTAGATAAAATAAATTATTTATTAATTTTATTTTATTAATTGTGATTATCTATCTAATCAAGGAGATCGAAATCTACAAAATATCAAGATACAACTTTTAATTAAACGGTCTATACAATTCTGCAATCAAAAGAAAAAAGTCAGTGGCGTACATGTTTTTTTTTTCCAAAAATATTCCAATGATAACCCGTATGCACGTCGCTGATGAATCTAGCGACACTTTTTAGTATTAAAATATGCAGCACTTAGTATACTTTTACCCTCAAAATTTCATTCCAATCACTAAAAGCACTTAAATAATAAATCGAAAAAAAAATGAAGAATTTAACCGCTTGTAGCGACGAAACAAAACAGAATCGTACCTATGTTGATATGAAAAATAAATCTTATTTTTACGTGAGGAATCTACCCACGAGAGATGGCACATGTTTTCTGAAACACTCTGTACATTATGTTTTTAAACTTCCAAAATATCGTTGACAAAACAATTTTAATAATTTAAAAATAAAAATGTTTTCATAAATTTACACAACTATGACAAACAAATTGATGGAAATGCAAAAACGTGCGAATATTTGGCTGGTATAATCACAGTTTAAATAATATATTCTTTAAACTGTGGTACAATGTTATAAAATAATAAAATTTGACACTTACCAGTTGAATATCGAGATGAAACTCTCGTAGGCGGACTGCCAAAACCACAAAAACTGCAGGATGACGAAATCTACCAAGCTAATTTGGTTCTTCATGTTGTCTGGAACATTAATCAGTTTACATCTTACTTGTAACGTTAATATTGGAATGGTTATTCGGCTAGTCTGGTCCCGATGCACGCCGACAAAAATTGTTTATACCAGTCGAGGTGACTAATGTTTGTTTCTCGGTAGCTTTCAATAGCATCGGAATTTTTTGTTGTGATTTTCTTTCTGGATGCAAGAGCAATTCGTTCGGCGCGTGTCAGTATGTGGAAGACACCGAAAACACTGATGGAGAAGTGTATTCCTAGGCGTACTAATTATTAAAGGAGTGCTGATTACTAACAAGGAATAGAGATTCGTTTATTGTTTCAAGTTTATTAATTTATGGCGTCACTAGGTTACGAGTCGTTCTACCGAAAGTGGAAGTTTTGAGTTGTAGAAATTATTTAGACTGAAGTTTCGTTTACTTGAAATCAGTTATGTATGAAATATTTGTTTATTTAGTATTTGGAAGCCTTCAGCGAATCAGATTCAAGAGTACGCCACGAATCACGATTATCGTAAATTCTTCGAGGCTGTAAAAGAAGTATACGGTCCAACTAAGAAGGTAAGCTGCCCAATCATGGCACAAAATGGCGAACTTCTAAAAGAGGAAGAACAAATCAGAAATCGCTGGAAAGAACATTACAGCCATATCCTTAACCAAGAAAACAACCCCAATATGGAAGCACTAAACACAATACCTCAGTATAACAGCCTCGATGTATTAGACATCCCAATAACAGAACATGAAATAAAGACCTCCATAAAACAGCTTAAAAACAACAAATCAGCTGGCTGTGACGCGATTCCGGCGGAAATCTATAAGTGTGCAAGTAAAGAACTTATTGGTCATCTTAAGGCTCTCTTCGATGTCGTATGGGAAAGCGGAGAGGTACCTCAGGACTTTCGCAACGCGAATATACTGAATAATTTAAGAACACAGGAAGTGCATCAGATTGCGGAAATTACCGTGGAATTTCGCTATTGGCTATCGGCGGAAAAATTCTTGCAAAAATAATGTCAAACCGCCTGCACCCATATATAGAAAAAATCCTTCCAGAATCGCAAACGGGTTTTCGTACCAACCGCGGCACCGTCGATTCCATATTTTCCATCCGTCAACTACAGGAAAAAGCAATAGAGCAGCAGTCTAAACTTTATGTTGCATTCATCGATCTAACAAAAGCCTTCGACTCTGTGAACAGAGATGCGCTTTGGGCAATTATGAAAAAGTTCGAAGTACCCAACAAATTTCTTACACTGTGTAAAAGCCTCCATAACAACAACAAGTCAAGAGTGTCACATCATAGATCACTGAGCGACCCATTCCTAACAAATACAGGAGTTAGGCAGGTCTTAGCGCCTCTCCTATTCAACATATTCATGGCAGCGCTCTCCATTATAGTGGACAGCAAACTGCAGGAGAGAGGATTGGGCATATACCGATATGACGGCGGTCTGTTCAACATAAAGACTCAGGGCTTTTTTTTTTTTTTTTTTTTTTTTGGTGAGGGGTGGTTGAAAAATCTTTTATAGACGAATAGTGATCATTTCCATGACCATCTCGAGAGAGATGGTCATAGGAATAAGCCCTAGACAGTGTGGGACTCGTGTTGATACCCACTAAAAAAAGTCCACCTCCGAGGAATCAGCCGCCGAAGAATGGTCAGCTATTATTCCTGCTAGTATGTGGGGAATAGACTCAGGGCAAAAACACGTACAAAATTTATCACAGAACTTCAGTAGGCTGACGACTGCGCTCTAGTTGCAAACACGGTACAGCAATTACAAGAAATGTTGAACACATATACCTGGGCATACGAGGCTTTGGGCCTTAAGCTAAACATCGACAAAACTAAAATCATGTGCACTCCCCCGGAAGATCACAACAATGCTATGAAAATCGGAGAACAGCTATTGGAATATGTGGCGGAATTTAATTACCTTGACAGTTTGATTTCGGAAAAGGCCAATATTGAAATTCAGCACAGGATTAGTAGCGCCTCAAGAGCATTCTGGAAATTAAAAAGACAGGGTTTTCTACAATCATGACTTGAGTACATATACAAAACTTGCAGTGTACCGAGCAATTATAATCCCCACCATGTTATATGGGAGCGAAACCTGGGTGCCGTACCGCCGACACATGAACGCATTAAACAAGTTGCAACAGAGACACCTTAGACAACTCTTAAGAGTCCGGTGGTTCCATCATGTCTCAAAGGTATCGGTCCTTGAAAAAGATAACTGAGAGTATTGAAGTCATGGTCACAAAATCCCGCTTAAAATGGGCTGGTCACGTATGCAGAATGCAAGAAAACCGCATACCATACCAGTATCGGGCTTTTCAGTCACAGAAAAGCTCACGAAAGAAAACGCCTTGCGTGACCATCTTCTTTATGTGTGTCGAATACTCGTCAGCGAGTAACGGCTGTATGTATATGTACGTATATGTAAAAGATGTCCAAATCGTATTTTTAATCATATCTCAATTTTTTAAAATGAAAGGATGGTGGCTCATTAGCATATTTGGGGAAAGCATTTGTTTACGAATAATTTGGTATACCACACAATTGGTATTTCGAGTCAAATTGTCGTTATGGTTCGCATGTTGCAATTTCAAATAAACAATATTTGAAAATGTTAAAGTTGACATATGATATGTCTTATACGAGTATTCAGAGTGTCATTTCTATCGAATAAAGTAACAAAGTACCCGGGGTGCCATTTAAAAATCAAAAGTTGTAGTTATCTCCGGTGAAACAGGAAGTGACCGAAAACAATTGAATACGTCAATACCAGACCTTGCAGTCGAAAAAATTGTTGTTCTCTTTAGAACCGATTATAGTGCGAAGTGTAGAAGATGCCGAAGCAGCTTAACAGCCTTTGCAAAAATTCATCGCAGCCTTATTAGAATATTTTGAACGGGAAAGCGGTAAAAATGGCCCTTTATGTCCATTAAGTGTCATTAAGGAGGTGAATTTTGCTAATTTAAATAATACCTGTTTATATATTTATAATTAATGCATTTTCGTTTCCTAAATATTTTGATTAATAGAAGATATTTAAAAGTGGGCAACGCTGTGCCGGTCAAGCTTAATCACGCTACTAAAACTTTATTTGGTATGATCTATAGCTAAGTTAATTGTAAATATAAAATTATTAATATTTTTGTGGAGTTTAAAAATCACCAAATTTCTTATTTTCAGAGAATGGATCACGTGTCCCTGAAATACCAGTACATTTGCACTAAGTTACTTAACGTCTATGACTTAGAAACGATCGATACTCTATCGAATTTTTCATCGTCTTCAACTGATATTCCTATCGATTTAAGTACTTAAATAGAAAATACAGGTATTTATCTACGTTCTACCAGTCCTACGTTTATTTCAGTAATTTTAACAACAACGAAAGACTATATATCTGATTTTTATTGTTGAAAAACCGGCCAATGTTATTGCTTTATTTTTAACGATGGACAGTGGTATATGCTCTGTCTATTTATAGATCATTCAGGACAGTGAATAGGATTTATTTTTTCTTAATTGGTGATTAAATTGAAATAGAAATCCAAGCGAATATAACGATTCGAATATATGTATCATTCTAGTATGGGTGGCCGTTAATTTTTTTTATAAATTTTATTAACAAACGACATAAGCTATGTAGAATGTAGAATGAGTGAGAGGGGGTTAATAGGGTTCCCAACTTGAGCATCGGCGATTCCGGGACAATTATTTTTAAGTTTTTAAATAATTGAAACAAAACATTAAATATTAGAAATTCAAATATATTATATGTAAATGTGATTTTTTTGGTCCCGGCCAAGGCAAAATTTTCGCCGGGACAAACTTTCTGATTCCTGGTTAATCCCGGTCAAACCGGGACGGTTGGGAACCCTAGGGGTTAATCACTGCGACCTTAAAGATCTATTGTGCCCCCCTTCCTTGAGTCATTACACAGTCTATAACCCATGATACCTCTGTTGTAGAGGGGACAGGGTATTTCCCATCCTCCTCTGACAACACATGTTCTTCCTCCGAGGGTACACACCCTTCCACGGTTGGAGTTTGGCCCTCCGTGCCCTTCACAGTCGAGGAGCTTGCCTCCGGCTTAGGTACCCGTGAGGTGGAGGCTGGAGGATCTGTCTCCATTTTCTCCACCTCTTTAACTTAGTCTCTATAGACCTGATACCGGTGTTCTCCCGTATCTATAATAGAGGATATGCCCCTCTTTCTCTATTGCCTTCTTGCACTGAGAGAAAAAACGTTGTAAAATCAAAAATAATGCTAATGAATCAAATAAAATCAAACATGTTTTGGCCTCATTAATGGTCATAATTGAATTAATAAGATATCTATTGATTTTATGCATATACTCGTACATATAAAACATACATGATCATTGTCATTGTTAGTGGTATATCAGATTTAGAATAAAAATGCTGCCTATTTGATTTAAAGAAATATACATTTGTTTATTAGTGTTTTCCTTTTGTTTTTCAAATACATTCCTTTTATTTCAAGCTTTTATATTTTTATATTTTCAAATGCAATGCTTAATCATTTATTAATATGTCACTTTGTTTAAAGCTTGAGTTGATTTTAATCGAATAGGATCAGTACTAACAATTTAAATGAAATAAATATCAAATTTATTAGGAAAATAACTTTATTTCGGAATTAATCTTTTGGTGATAAGTAGGTAAATACAATTGTATTGAATGTCTTCCAAAATAAAAAAAAAATAGATATAAGGGTATCCTCGTGAATTTTGTCTAGTGATGAATGGTTTTTGTAATGTCCTGGAATTGATCTGTCTTTATTAGATTCCTTCAAAGGTCACAGAGATTCTAAAAAAGAAAGCAACGTTTAGTTAAATATATGATATACTTTTCTCCATCTAAAAACTGGAGTTAACCTAAAACAGAAATTTTTCTATACAGGGTATACAGGATTTGCAGGTTTTCTGAATCGTATAATTGCAAAAAACAGTATTTTTTAGGTTCCTAACGCCACTATAGATGAGAAAACCGCGCTATGTTGAATTTAAAAAAGTGGGATTCTTAAATTTCTTGAAAGACTCGAAAGTCAATCACTCAATCTTTCGCGAACCAAACCAAACCACCCGGTACAAATTTCTGTTCTGTACAGGATGAGTCAACGATAAGAGTTGTTTGGAGGTTTACAAATAAATGTTAAATACAAGAGTTATAGGGAAGGTTGAGATACACGTTTTAAATTATTGTAGAATATACTGGGTGCTTCATAAAGTAAAAAAAATAAGGAAGGTTGGAAAAAATATATTTTTTATTTATTTATTAATATCTCTGATATTATCAAAATATATTTACTCATATATTATAATATATTATGTAAAGTAGTCCAAAAGGAAGCCAAAAATGCAATAATATACAGGGTGTTCCATTAAAAAAAAACATACCGATCCACTTACATATTTTTGAGCCACCCTATAGAAGTTGAAATATTTTCCTGAAATACATCCTCGTACATACTTTAGGTTTGGACTTAAACAAAATTGTGAAGTTTATTATTCTAGAAGCCACAGATGCCCGACGCGCTACTGCCGGACCCTGTATATTATAAAAAAATATATTATTAGGTAAAAAAGTTATAGAATTTTACGTAGAATTTAAAAAATAAAATAAAAAATAGGGTTGTTTCAAATGTTTAAAAAACATGTTATATCCGCAACACTTTTTTGAAGCACTCTGTATATTCTACAATAATTTTAAAATGTGTATCTTAAGTTTCCCTATAACTTTTATATTTAACATTTTTTGTAAATCTCAAAACAAATGATATAATGACCTTACTCTATTGTTGACACACCCTGTAAATTCTGTAATGTTCATCAATATATTTTTTTACCTTTTATACTGGTACGAGCTGTAGTAAGTTCCACCTTTTTAACAATTTTGCTAGCTTCGTATTCCTCTACATCTGAATTCTCATCATCTAGTGAAATATTACTTTGCAAATTTGAATTCTAAACAACTACTTAAACAATACATTACTTGTAAACAATACAATTCTCCTTTTTGTCACTAACAACTGTCATATACAATAAATATCATTGTACTATTCAAAATAATGGAACGCCACAAAAATCATACAACAACGTGTGGCTGATCGGGCTTATCCCGTCAATACCGCCAAACACCATCTTTCGATGTCCACCTCAAATGCATGACTTTCTATTGGCAAATATTAATCACGTGGCAAAAGCCTAACAGAAATGTTAGCGATTCTTATAGAAATAAAATACTCTCGTGCTTACAGTACGTCTGTCCGTTCTGTAGCTACGGGGTATCCGTGAGAGGGGAAACGATATTCTCTCCATGTTTTTCGTAAAAAATTAGACGACGCGTCCCATCAATAAAAAGTCGACAAATTTGCAAGTAGCCAATAAAATGAGTGGGCGTAGCGATTTGCGGTGACGTACTCGTCAAGTCGACGTATAAAATATATTGTTGTTTATTTAAATGTTTTTTGTCCGCATTCCTTTCATAGACACAGATCCAGCAGACGAACTGTAAAATAAATTTATTATAAGGATGTCTTATTGGAATAAATAGACAAGCAACACTTTTCAAAAATAATAAGGCAATGCCAGTTTATTTTAAACGTGGTTCTTTTGAAACATATAGAGTAATAATTACTTTAAAAGGACTAAATATTAGATATCCGATAAAACAGTATTCACTTTATTTCGAATGCTTTAATTTTTATTATGTATATAAAACAATATTATATTATCAGCAATCGTTTATAAAACAAATAATTAGGTAAATCGAATTCCATAGAACGTGTTAAATATTTTAACGTGATTTACTGTGCATTTTACAATGCATTTTTTTTCTGAGTGTGGATTTGAGGTTAATTCCTATTGTGACGACCTGACCATGATTCTCCTCCCTCGAGTTGATGACTCGCCAACTCGATGTCCTTACATTGAAGTTCTGACCCTGGATAAGGCTCAGCAGGTAGGTGGTGTCTTTCCCCTTGCTCCTCGGCAAAAAGACCGTGATGGTCGCCCCTTTAGAGATGTTTTCTCCCTTCACTGCAACCAGTTCCGACCCCAGCCAATTTTTAAGCTTAGGTGCGATTTCCACCAACCAATTCGCCGATTCTTGAGATACACAATCTATGAGGATCATGCCCACCCGAAAGTGTTCCTGCTATCCCTGCAAAACGCAACTGACCCACATTTTGTAGATTGTTGTGTTGCGATCCGATCGACACGTACTACTTCGTCCATAGCCTCTTCTAGAGACGTTTGCTGGTTGGTGGTCAGAGCTACCTCTGGTAAATCCTTTGGCAGCACCGCCATTTTCACATGTCCAGCAATAGCGGCAAAGTTGGTGATACAAATGACATAAACTAACGTCGCGTCGTTTGTCAGCAATTTTGTAACGAGAAAAAGACGACCATATATACTCGTACACACATATAATATACCGATTTGGTCATTTTAGAAGTGTGGTCTGGATTTTAACGTGTAAGACAGTGATGTAAGCAGCTTAATGGAAAACCAAATGTATTAAAAAGAGACAAAAGTTGGGTTGATACGTTTCTATTATGCGATATTGCCGGATTTTGCATCAAAAGTTTGAACCGCACCCGTAGGCGTTTATGGAATATGTTGGATCTAGAGTTGGAATCTTATTTTTCAGAATTAGTTACTCATTTTACTAGAGATGAACTAGATTATATTTAGCTTAGATATATTATCTTCATTTGAGTAGTATACATGAAAGTTTTTAAAATAGTCTATTTTTTTCTACACAAATTTTTCTATAAACTTAAAAACTGGCAACACTCAGAGCTGCAAGCTCACAGAAAACTTAAGTCTTTTTTTGACTTAAATCATTTTAATGACTTAAATCATTTGATTTTAAGTCATATTTCGAAAGCTGACTTAAGACTTAAAGTTTAAGTCATTTTCAAAATGACTTGTGACTTAAGTCTTTAATCCGAAATAAAAAATGATTTAAGTCATTAGAAAAAGATTTAAGTCTTTTTGGAAAAGATTTAAGTCTTTAAAAAAGATTTAAATCTTTTTTTAAGTTTTCGTGGAAAATATCCTTGTACCTTTTGAGTTGTCCACACGGTAAAGAAGAGATTTCGGTAGGCGGTTTTCTTGCATCCTGCCCATCTAAATCCCTAAGCGGGATTTAGTAATCATGACTACAGCGCTCTCATACGTTTGAGACATAGTGGTACCATTTGATTCTTAAGGGTTATCTAAGATGTTTCTGTTGCAACTTGTTTAATGTATTCATTGTTCGGTACACTGCAAGTTTCGTTTTTATGCTGAAGTCATTGATTACAGTAAACCCTGTCTTTTAATTTCCAGAATGTTCTTGAGACGCTGCTAATTCTGTGCTGAATTTCAGAGTCGATATTGGCCTTTTCCGAAAACTGCCGAAGTCAGAGTTAAAAATAAAGCCGAAGTAATTGAATTTCACTATATATTCCAATAGTTCTTATCCGATTTTTATTCAATGAGGAAGATGCATATATTTTATTTTGCGCCAGAAACTGTTCAATTTATTAGAATAAATATGTGTAAATGCAAAAAAAAACTTTTTTCTTGAAAGCAGTACCACAATTTTATAAAACGGGCCATTAAAATACTATGGATAACGCAAACGACGACTCGCGAATTGAAACGATATTCTATTGGTCTGACGTCACCCGCCGTTCTCGTCGACGTGCGATGGCCAGCAGCAGCCAGACGTGTTCCGTTTATTTATCTTTTAGCGTTGATTGAAGGAGCTTTTTATGCTTTTTTGTGCAGTTATTATTTGTATGTGTTGTGTGTTCTGAGAATTTTTTAAGTAATGGCAGATTCCGGGTTTGTAAAAGCACAATCAGATAACTTGCCAAAAGTCGATGCTTTTTGGCTGCTTTTATAAATACAAATTCCCAATCTATTGGTGCTGAATTACGAGGAAAAAAACAGAGAGGTAACATTTATTCTTTGTAGTACTGAGGCATATTTGAGTATAAGTAGGTACCTACTCTTACGAACTTTTATATAGTTATAAATTAATGTTATAAACTTATTTTTCAGATCAGGTAGGGAGACGTATGGAGATAATGCTGTAGGTTATGTAGAAGTGAAAAGAGATAAAAATATTTGTTTAGTACGTGGAAAAATAACTCCAGAGCATAGCGTGAAAAAGAAAGTTTTTTTATATATTGACACCCCCTTACCCTTGTTATTTTCAAAGATTGTTTTTTTTTACGAAATTATAGGAAATAAATTGTTTATCAGTAATGAAAATATTATACAAGGTGTTCCATAAGCAAACGCCAAAATTAAGTTACTTTTTTAAGGGAAACACCCTATGTATTTTTGGATTCTTCGGAAATTTCTAGATATTCTAGATATATTTTATGTATAATATCCTATACCTATCTTCAAATGTTTACGAAATATTGACAGTTGAAAAGCGAAAAACACCTACAATTTTCTGCACCACCTTTTTTGTGTAACTAGAATTAATTTTAAAAGAGAGTATATGAAAAACTATGCAACTTTTTTATTTAACGTTTTCTTCTAAAACTTGCAGTTAAGGCTGTATGTGGGTGTCAAAATATATTGAATAACCCTGTACATTCAAATTTCATATACCTATGTAAGGCAATATACATAAATATATGAACTTACATCAAAATGATCTTCACAACAATAAATCGTAAAAATAGAGGATAATTTAACGTTTTTGTTTTCATCTCTTCTCATGGCCTTGGACCATTTTTTTCTGTTTTCGCTCATCCATTACTATTTATAAATATCACTAATTACTAATTATGTATTAATTAACACAAATAACTAAAATTTTGACTCGGATTCAACAGCGTTTAAAAGCAAACTATGTAAAATAAACACGCGTCTGGCTCCACTCAACCAGAAGAACCGCGGGTGACGTTACAGCGGCAGGCGCGGTAGCGTTTGCCCGGCCATTTAAATTAACAATATTTAATTATTTTATATTAGAGTCATTTCTTAACCGATATCAACGATTTTTTTTGTTCAATTTGTAATTATATGAACTATTTTTTAAAACCATTATTTAAAAACATGCATTTTCCTCATTGTTGTGATTTTCCAGGGGAGTGTACGCATGTTTTTAGTTTATCGATGTTCAGCCTAAAGCCAAAAGCCTCGTATGCCCAAGTACAGTTCGTCTGCTGGATCTGTGTCTATGAAAGGAATGCGGACAAAAAACATTTAAATAAACAGCAATATATTTTATACATCGACTTGACGAGTACGTCACCGCAAATCGCTCCGCCCACTCATTTTATTGGCTACTTGCAAATTTGTCGAATTTTTATTCATGGAACGCGTCGTCTAATTTTTTACGAAAAAAATCGAGAGAATATCGTTTCCCCTCTCACGGATACCCCGTAGTCACAGAACGGACAGACGTACTGTAGATATATGTGTTCAGCATTTTTTGTAATTGCTGTAACGTTTTTGCAACTAGAGCTAGAAGTTTTGCGATGAATTTTGTAGGTGTTTTTTAATGGTGCACAGACCGCTGTTGTATCTTAGTGGAGTGCTTTAAGCCCTTATGGGATATAAACCTCGGAATTCATTTACTGTGAACGAATTTTTATAAAACTTTTTGCATTGTATTTTTAATAAGGTATATTACAAAGTTTACCTATTTAAATTCGTTGCTTTCACTTTAGTATTTAAATAAACACACATATACAAATGAGTACATATAAAAGATGGCTCCGTATTCCGTAAAAGTTCTGTATCAGGATTCCTATTTGAGATTTTTACTCCAAACCTTTTACAAAATATGTGTTTAATTTCAACAGGGCCGGATCTACCTATGGGCTTTTTGGGCTGCAGGCCAGGGCCCCAAGGTTGCAAGGGGCCCCTAGGCCCCGCTAAAAACAATAGACCCATAGGTGGGAACTGTTGAATTGTGAAATAAAATTAAAATTCAGGTTAAAAAGTTTAAGCCAGACCAGATGGCCCCCTTGCCACTATGATGCTGTCAAAGCCTTAAAAAATAATTATGATGACATTATGAAAATTTTCAAAAGTTTCAGCGAAAATGAGGTTGAGAAAGTTGATTTCCGGAAAGAGGCACGAAATTTATTCAATAAAATGGCGAAACTCGAGACTGCAATTTTGAATATCTTTTGGGAAGAAGTTTTGGAGAGATTTCATTTAGTTAATAAAAAAATACAGAGCCCTGGTTTAGACATTTGTGAAGGCAACAAGTTAATTGTGTCTTTAAAAGACTTTGTGAGCAACATACGACACCAATCAGATCAAATGCTACAGGAATAGTACTAGTGTAGTAATAGACTACAATTACATAAACAAGAGACGCATTATCCCAAAATTTTCAGATAAGTCTACAGGTGAATTCTCAGTATACAGCACAGAAAGATTTAGAGACGCACGTTAAAAGTTGCGTTGGATAAGCTGATTATGGATTTAAATAAAAGGAGACAAGTCTATGAGACATATAGCAAAAAATTCAAATTTTTAATGGATCTGTAAGACAAAAATATCGAAAACATAGATTTGGAAATTGCACGTCATATTATTGATTACTATCCCGATGACGCAGACGAGCATTTAGTGAATGAGTGCATTCAATTAAAATCGTACTTACTCCAATCTAAGTCTAAGTCTTACACCTCTTGCAGTGACATTTTTATGCTCATGTATGAAAATAGACTTATTAACGTGTTCCCTAACTGCTATACCATTTTAAAGATTTTTTTTTAACATTGCCAATCACTAGCTGTGAAGCAGAACGCTCCTTCTCCAAGATGTCCTATGGAGAAAATAAATATAGGACAACATTGTCGAACCATCGACTAAATAATTTATCACTTCTTTCCATAAATTGTGATCTAACAAAAAACTTGGAATGTGATGACCAAATAACTGTCAATTTCTGTGACTACAACCTATCAATTTCTATTACTAATTCATAATAAGTAAATAAATAAAATTGTTTTATTGTTTTTTTATATTCTTATATAATATCACTATTTCGGTTTCTATCTCAACCAAAGTTTGCCTGGAAGAGATTGCTACCACAGCAATAAGGTCGCCTTTCGTACAACTACTACTTGCGTAGATTTAAGTAACATTTATGTTACTTAAATCCACATATCACAAATGCCGAAGTCTACAGCAGAATATTGGCAGAGAAAGAGAATTGCTCCATATAATAAAAATAAGAAAAACATCATACTTAAGGCATATATTGAGAAATGAAAAATACCACGTCTTACAATTGATAGTTAAGGGTAAGATTGAAGGAAAGAGGTCTCGGCAGGAAGAAACTATCTTGGTTGAGAAACATCAGCAACTGGACTCACCTAACTTTTAAAGAACTCATAAGGAAAGCCGAGAATCGTGAAGATTTTGTCAATGTGATCGCCAACCTCCACGAAATAGACGGCACGTAAAGAAGAAGAATAATAATATATCATTATAGAAACAGTTTTTTGATATGGCTATTAGTTGAGTACTTATGTAGGCCCCTAAGTAGTTTCAGCCCAGGGCCCCACAAATTCACGATCCGCCCCTGCATTTCAAAAATATTTTTATAGATATACAAGGGGAGTCAAATATATATCTATATTTGTTTAGTTCAGTGAATTTGAAGTGAATGAAGTGGTTTTTGATTTATAACCACAACCACACACATGAGGACGTCGATCTAGACGTCTAGGAACCTTCGTATGCGAACTTATAATCGAGACGATCGACTTATTGTAAGTTTATCGCTAAGGAACCGTCGTTTGCCAGCTTTTCAAATTGATAATGAATTGCACTTAAAAACGCATGTATTAACTAACGGACTGTAAGAAGAAGATTAAATGAAGCAAATCTTATGCTTCGGGACCAGAACTTACTAGATGTGTTGACTAGGCCCAAAAGCAAAGGCATGGTTATAATGTAAAAACTACGAAAAAATGTTAGTCTTCTTCAAAAGCGAATATTTTCAACAAAAATAAAGCTAATGAGATGAAACCAAACCAAAAAACAAATTATCTAGAAAGGATGTATCTAGATGATAAAATGATTTATAAATTTCTTATTCCATTACTCCATTCCATTACTCAATTACCATATTCCACAGGATGTTTCAAACTTTTACCAAAATATCAACATTTTGTTTTCCCTCGTATAATTAACAGATGGGGTGTTTCATTATTAATTTAGAAAAAGATACTAAAAAGTCAAATAATTTGGCTACACACTGTTTAAAAAATTGTCAAAATCGGCCCATTAAAACAAAATATATTAACCTTTAAAATACATGAAAGTTTTAAAGTGCCTATTTTTCGTGCCAGTGAATGTATTTCAAAAACTATACATTTTAGTCATATACTTTTCTAATGAAACAAACCTTTATTTTTTTACTAGATTCCAAAAATTTTACTCTCCAAAAATAAATTAATATACAGGGTGTTCCATTACAAAAAACGTAACTTTGATGTGTAACTTTTTTTGGGGACACCCTGTAGAACTCTACATAATTTTAGAAATTGATTTAAATTCACTTACATAAGCTCACAAAATTTCACTTCAATACAAAGTTTTGTTCTCCTTGCAAAAATCGCGTCGTATATGTCACGCCACCCTGTATAATTCGATTTCAATCAAAATTTCAATGATTAGAATATAAGCAGAATAGGTATAGCTTATACATTAGATTTATTTTTTTCAATAAATTTACTTAGAAAAAGAATTAAAAAAATCAAAAATTTAAGAAGGAAATAATTGAGAATTTACTAAAATTACTATAATAAAAAATTAAAAGCAACGACAAAAAATGGGTAAACATTTTAGTATTTTATCTATAAAACACAATACAGAAAGTTTCACGTTAATACATTCACAGTAATTGAATTCCGAGGTAAAAGTCTCTGGGCACTCCACTATCTGTATCTAATGCCCATTCCTATTTCCTGCAGTTTGCTGTGCACTATAATAGAGAGCCCTGCCATATGAATACCGGGTGCGTCTCAAAAGTGGCTCACCTCTATAACTTTTTTATTTGTTCAGATAAAAAATCGAGATTTGGTATGCTAGTATATGACATAAATTAGGATTGATTAACGTATTCAACTGTTTTCACTTCCTGTTTCACCGGAAATTACTACAACTTTTGATTTTTAAATGGCACACTCCGTATTTTGTTACTTTGTTCGATAGAAAATTACATTCTGAATAGAATGACATGTCATATGTCAACTTTTGACATTTTCGAATATGGTTTATTTGAAATTGCAACATGCGATTTGTAACGACAATTTGACTCGAAATACCAAGTGTGGGGTACCAAATTATTCATAAAAAATGGTCTTTCCAAATATGCTAATGAGCCACCCCCGTACTATTTGAAAAAATTGAGATATGATTACAGTACGTCTGTTCGTTCGGTAGCTACGGGGTATCCGTGAGAGGGGAAACGATATTCTCTCGATGTTTTTCGTAAAAAAATAGACGACGCGTCCCATCAATAAAAATTCAACAAATTTGCAAGTAGCCAATAAATCGAGTGGGCGGAGCGATTTGCGGTGACACACTCGTCAAATCGACGTATAAAATATATTGCTGTTTATTTAAATGTGTTTTGTCCGCATTCCTTTCATAGACACAGATCCATCAGATGTACTGTAAAAGTACGATTTGGGCATCTTTCAACCGGCCAAGACAAGACACTAAAAACATTAGACAATCAAATATATTTTTCCAAGGCTCCTTGATTAAAAATTAGTGTCTTTAACACAGCCATGGCACTACATTGAAATTTAAAATACAATATTGTTCAAAGTGAAAATGTCAAAAGTTGAAAGCAACGACAATAAAATACAATATTGTTCAAAGTGAAAATGTCAAAAGTTGACATATGATATGTCATTCTATTCAGAGTGTCATTTTCTATCGAATAAAGCAAAAAAATACCGAGGGTGCCATTTAAAAATCAAAAGTTGTAGTCATTTCCGGTGAAACAGAAAGTGGCCGAAAAGAATTGAATACGCCAATCAATCCTAATTTATGATTATTTACTCAGGTATTTTTTTATCTGAAAAAATAAAAGAGTTATAAGGGTGAGTCACTTTTGAGACGCATCCGGTATGTTGAATAGGAGAAGCGCGGCTAGACACATACTATATACATATATGTACATACACAAAAATACATACATACATACACAAAAATACTATTTTTGTGAAATTTATCTACCTTTTATGTCTCTATACTTTGTATTTTTAACACCAAAAGATATTATATCTGTACGTTATTGCTTTGTTTATAACTCCTTTTGCCTAACTCCTGTATTTATCAGGATGGGATATGGGATCGCTCAGTAATCCATGATGTGACACCCTAGATTTGTTGTTGTTATGGAGGCTCTTACACACTGTAAGAAATTTGTCTGTTGTTTGTTGTTGTCGGATGTAACGTATAAAGAACATGATTTTTGTGAAATATCTACGAAAAATTTTACGAAAAGAATTTTTTTAAAAATACTATTTTTGTGAAATTAATCTACCTTTTATGTCACTATACTTTGTATTTTTAACAACACAAATATTATATCTGTACGTTATTGCTTTGTTTATAAAGATGGACTGGACAGTGGTATTCAGTCTATTTACAGATGACAGATGATTCAGCGCTGTGAAATAAATTTATTTATTTTCCCAATGGACGATTAATTTGAGTGAGATATCCGAGCGTTTATTACGTTCTTGTCATTAACCTATAGTCAGACGTTGATAAAGTCTATTAAGTACCCACTGTAAGTGCCCCAGAACAAGTAAGTAAATTTAAATTGTCCGATAATACCGCTTGCTTTCCTCTGCTAGATTTATCAGTGCAAGACGGAATAATAATTAGTTTAGTCATGAATTTGCAAGCGGTTCTCGGTTTCGTTTTCACTGTTTTCCTTCAAAATTCGTTAGCAGATGATCCAACGCCCCAACAATGGACCCCTATCGTTATGTGGCACGGAATGGGTAAGTTTTTAGTCTAATATTCCGAAAAACTTCATGTTTAATTACGTTTTAGGTGATTCCTGTTGCTTCTCTTTTAGTATGGGAGCTATTAAGAACAAATTGAACGCCTCATTGCCGGGAGTGTATGTGCGATCTCTTCAAATTGGCGACTCGATCGTGAAAGATATGGAAAATGGGTTTGTTTGTTTGTATATATTTTTTAGTAACTACATTTTCTACAAGGGAATGCTTTTACTAAATTGTGGGAAACCCGGTGATAATTCATACCAGTGTTAACACAAAAGCCCTTATCTGATGCGCTGAAAAAATATAATTAATAATTTTACATTCTCAATTTTTTTTAATTTTCAAGCTTCAATAACTCGGTTATTTTGAACTTTTTTGGATTTGAAAAACGGTAAAGAAAAAATATGTTTCTTTGTATATCTACCAGCCCTGAAAATGTCTGCACTTATTTAAAACTCACTCTGTATATAATAACTTATAATAATCATTTTAAATACCTAAACAGGTCCATTTATATTTGGAAAAATAACGTATACTTCCTATATGAAATTTTTTCTATCCATTATAACTACTATGCAAATATTTTACATTTTATACTACTTATACTACATGTTTATTTATTTTTCATTATGTATTAATTAATATAATTATTTTTCAGTGTATATCAAATAATGTATATAAATTTTATTAATTTTATTTATATGTATATAAAAAATAAATCAAACTGAATGCTTTAAATCATTGTCGGTTTTTAAGACAGATAATTATAAGCACAAACTATAATAAGTCTAACTAATAATTAAGATAATAAAAACTAATAATTAAGATAATAAAAACTAATAATTAAGATAATAAAAAAATGCGCGTAGTCATCACATTTTTTTGTGCAAAGTCATAACATTTTTTGACTAAAAAAGGTTATCTCGAAAACCAATTAATCAAAAAAAAGTCTAAAAAAATGTACATATTTTTTTTAATATAACTAAAATTGGTTACGAATAGATCAAAAAATTTTATAGCTATAAATTATCAGATTATCAATTATCTATACTAATATATAAAATCCTTAATAATAATCCTTAAGTGACTGACATACTGATTAATCACGATCCTGCTCAAACCACTCAACCTAAGAAGCTCAATTTTAGCATACAGGTTGATTCTAGGGTGTAGAGGTTCGATAAGGGAGGATATAAGGGAGGATAAGGGAGGTGTTTTTCGGAAAAACTCTTAAACACGTATATTTTATTTTGTTGTTTTACATATTTCAAGATTTTTTATAAATTTATACAGGCTGTTTCATAAAATATGACCATTGAGTAATCACGATTCTGCTTAAACTGCTTGACGTTTAAAGCTGATTTTTGGCAAACGGATTGACTGTGGGGTGTAGAAGTTCGATAAGGAGGGGTTTCTCGAATCTCAAATTCCAAGAGGGTGAAAACGCCCCTCAAATATTACAATATTTATTATTTAAAAAACGGTTAGTCTTTCGGGAAAACGCTTAGACAAGCATAATTTATTTGTTTTTTTTTACATATTTTGAATTTTTTTAAAAAATCATACAGGGTGTTCCAAAAAGTTGGGTAATTGATTAACCACGATTCTGCTTAAACTGCTTGACGTAAAAAGCTTATTTTTGGCAACCGGATTTTTCGAAAGTCAAATTCCAACGAGATGAAACTACCCCTCAACTATTACCAAGTTATATAATAATATCGCCATATTGTTTTTTCTCATACTGACATATGTAAATGTGAGAAAATTTTATCCAGTTTGTATGTTAATGGAAATTCTTGCTTTGCTTTATCATCACCATGACAAATGATTAATTCGACGCGAATGAAGTCGCTGGTACACGCTAGTTTTAAATATAATATTTTTTAACGATTTTTATAGTTACAAATAACTTGAATGATATGATCCTTGTTTATATGATCTAGAGAAAATATAGTTCTTTAGAAATATTATTTGATATTCGTGTACTTATAAAGCTTCTTAAAGTCATTTGTTTAATCTAGTAACGCTGTTAAAACGAATTGTAAGTTGCTTTTTTATTAATACATTTTCATCTTTACGAACTTATTCGTTCTAAACTAAACATATATTAATATTGATGTCGATATTGATGTAATACGATTTAGAACATGCTATTATTTTTTAGATATCTACTGCATCCAGATAAACAAATCACCATGGCTTGCGAAATAATCAAAAATGATCCCCAACTAGCAAATGGTTACAATGCGATTGGATTTTCTCAAGGAGGACAGTTCTTGTAAAGAATTATTTAGACTTATTATAAAGGCGACAATTTGAAAAGTAACAAATGGAAATATCTGTTAGATAAAAATACTCCTAGGAAGATCAGAAATTATTCATACGATGTAAGATCTTCCTATATAGTCAGGGGCCAATGTGTAATCCGCTTGCAAAAAAGTGAAGCAAGTATGAATCATGCACCAACATTTTTAGAAAAATAAGTGGATTTGATTTTTTTTTGGTACCAAGCCTTCATGTATGTCAGAAGGGAGAAACAACCCCTATTAGGGATTAAGTGGTGGAAAATAAGTATCACCATTTTACATTAGCGAATTGTTTTTTATTATCATTTATGTATTTACAAAATAGTTTTCAACTATGTTAAACCTGATTTTTGGGGTTGTTTGATGCCATATTTATTTTAAAGGGATGATTTTTAACTTTTTTATTATATATTTTTTGTATACAATATGGGTGTCGATTTCGTATATCTTTGGGATGACTAACTTAATGGTATACATTATATCGCTATAGGATTATCTGCAAAGCCCTTTAACCCTTTTGTTTATATTTATACATACATATAGATATCTCTATCAGAGTTTTTAGCTTTCAAAAAAATAACCTTTTATAATTTCAAATTTTTATTGGAATATTTTACAATTTGCAGGAATTTCCAAATCAGATCTCAACCATGGTTGGATAACCAAACCAAATCAGTCATTAACAGTGACATTATCGCAGCTGGCTGTGTTTCCAGAACTTTCCCACATTTCTGTGCAAAATTAACCGCTAGACGCACATTTACAACGAAGATTGTACCTTGATTTTTGACAGGAATACTTTATATTGTTTAAAACAAAATCAGGTGCTAATGATAAATCGGATGTAATGGGTTCATATTTACCATTTTCGAATTTCCAGCCGTAATCATCCGGTGATGGAAGGTTTGGATGAGCCAATATATCTCGACACCACTCCATACATTGATAATGGCATCGTTCTATAGCTGGTCTTAAGGCTCCTAAAATAGGCGGTAAGGCATCAGAACTTTGTTTTTTTGAAAATGTCCACCACCTTAAGCCGGACAGTGATTCTTGGTTTTGGTTATAGAGGGAACATATAAATTGATCAATTTTAGAATAAACTGATTCTTCAATCTCTTCGGTTTCGCCTAAGGATGCCAGAGTTTCCAGAGTATGTGTCGAAGCTACTAAGAATTTTTTTCAAAATGTAGTTTTTGATTTTCCTCTAAAAGAACCCGTTACATCTGCGCCAGACAAAGCATGCAAACCGGGAAGCGCTGCAGCTTTTAGAGGACCTAGTTTATTGTAGATGGCCTGCAATGAAAACTCGCGGATTTTAGAACCTGTTTGTACAAAAGCTGAATCATTTGCTAAAAGAGGAAATCGCCTTATAGCTAATACTAAGACATCCGTATCAGGAGAAAATATTCTTATTTTACTTGTCCCCTTACCAGACGCTTGTATTGCATGAAATAACATTTTTGTATCTGCCTCTTCGTGGCTGCTTTCTAAAAATGACATGTCCTTTTTTTTGTTAGTAATAGTCTCTGATCTATATTAACAAACTACTCTGACTTGAATGGAAGTTTTTTACACTAGTTTTTTAGAAAGATACTCGGTAAGCAAGTGAAACACGTTCAAAATCATTTTTCCTTTTTGGGACCGAGAAAACAATTTCCGGAACTTCTTCAAACAAAAACAGTTTTAGTTCTCTTCTCGAAAACACTTTTACATTATCAATATCGATATCATTTGACCGGCATATGTCAAGATATATTTCATGCAAATATCCAATGGAACAAATATTTCCTTCACTCAGATATTCACCAACGAAACTGAGAAATTCAGTGGAAGAACCTAAGATTTTTGTATTATTTTCCTGGTCAAAGTTAGCATTGTCCCCTCTATGTTTTCTTAGGACGTTTGTAACATTATTTGCCCAACATGTTTGTTTGGGCATCACCAGGGCTGATACATTCGGCTAGTCTTATAATTAGTTGTTGGTTCTTCATAATTTCAGCTGCTTTTTGTAATAACGCGCCTGTGGTGTCATATGACACATGACGAAGTTTTTTTCGTGTATTGGATTCCTTATCACAAAAAATACACTATTTTTTTTTGTACGAACTACTTTTGCTTCTTGTGAAAGGTAATTGTGACGGTCCTGCTTCTAGTGCAACTTCTTTAACGCCTTCATTTGTTCTTTCCTGTCCTAATTCAGTAGAAACGCCAGATGAGTCCTTAAAGTTCTTTTCTATTGTCTCCAAATATTCTTTTCTTGTTACAGACTTATAGCATTTAAGATGCCATGTTCTATGATTAGTTTCTAATCCTTCTGCAGTAAGAACTAAATGTTTGTCCTTTAATATTGGCACATTCTTTTGAGGATCATAGCCTTTAATTTTCAGTAAAGCACTAACAATTTTCTCATAGGCAGCTTTAGAATGTTTTTTCACAATATCCCTAACATCTGTATTGGAGCAGAGGCAACAGACTCGAGGATAGTAAAAGTTTAAACTGCATTCTGTCCTTCACTATCTGGATGCATTTTTCTTGGATGCACTATATTCAAATTGTTAATTTATTAATGCCATATTCAATCACTATACTAGTTTTTTTTTGTCTTCTAATAAATTTCACTTTACTATCCAATGGAGCAGAGGCAACAGACTCGAGGATAGTAAAAGTTTAAACTGCATTCTGTCCTTCACTATCTGGATGCATTTTTCTTGGATGCACTATATTCAAATTGTTAATTTATTAATGCCATATTCAATCACTATACTAGTTTTTTTTTGTCTTCTAATAAATTTCACTTTACTATCTGAAATAAAAAATAATGATTATCAAAAGTTTTACTACTACCAAAAATCAAACAATTCTTTATCTTGATAAATGTTTCGCTTCCTACGGGTGTTAACTTGGTTAACTCGTGAAACATACAATCAAGATTTTAAAAAAAGATATATTATTACTGTTTAGTTTTTGGCAACAGTCAAACTTTTTGATTTATATGAAGAAAATCTTGAAAAAGAAGTCCTGAAGAAAAGCATATATACGTAACACTAAACCTTAAAAAGCAAAAACAAGTTGATATTCAACAATGCAATCGTACCTACAAGTAAATTAAAAAACATTACTTTTTAATATTAGAAGTGTCTAAAAAACAAACATATTTAACCCTAAAATAATTAAATAGGTAAATACACGTATGTTCTCATCCAGGGTTTTTTTAAAAATTGATCTCATATTTAAATTTGCCGGCCTGAAGTTATACGAAAACGACACCAATATCAATATTTTACGTCAATAACAACTTTTCAAAAATTGGACCCCGCCTAACTAGGGGAGGGGGGTATTTCTCCGCTCTGACATGGATGCGGGGCTGGTACCAAAAAAAATCGTATTCTAGATGATATTCTGAAAATTTTAAGGTATCTCACAACATTGCCTCACGAAATTGCAAGCGAACTATGTATTTTGACAAATTGGCCCTTGACTAATAAGTCTATGAGCGTTTCAATGATGTGCCTCACAAAGTAAGTTCTTATTACATGTAAATAGTACTGAGACTGTGTTTGGTTCTTTGTGAAACATCGTTAAAATATTAGTATTTTAGAGGTTAGACCCTCCTTGTAGTATTTTATATCTAAAAGATATCGCCAATTGCTTCTTTAAAAATTGTTCTCTTGCAGTAATTGACGTTTAATTCTGATATTTTTAGACGAGGTCTGGTTCAGAGATGCCCTAGCCCACCGATAAAAAACCTCATTTCGGTTGGGGGTCAGCATCAGGGTGTCTACGGATTACCCAACTGCGGAACATTATCCGGCACTTTCTGTGATGAACTTAGGAAGCTATTGAATCATGCAGCATATGTTGAGTAAGATAATCTATACCCTAATGGGCTAAACAAAATATTCTGGGGTAGAATACAGACGGAAGTCAGCTTCTCAGCAATTTTGTTTTGTAAGGAAATCTGCTTAACCAGTAAAAAAATGCAATGGAGGGAGATATGCATGGAATTTTGAAATATTGAATTGAAAAAATTATATACAGGGTGGTCCGAACTGTATTCCGGAAACATCGACAGCATATTCTGCAGATAAAAATAAGTAAAAAAGTTCGTATAAATGTACCTATGTCCTAAATTGGGCTTAGTTTCGGAGATACAAGGGGTAGAAGTTTCATTTTTATTTCGATATTTTCCAAATAATTTCTGAAGTATCGTCAATATTTGGATGAAAATTGATGTCTGGGAGTTTTTTGACATAATAAATTTGATTTTGATGTCAATATGACTCTTATTAAAGGTTCGCCACCTTTTGTTTTAACTGTTTTGAAGATAGATAACATTTCGTCCGTACCTGTATAAAACTTCTGAGTGAAAAATATACATTTCCTTGATTTTTTACGTAAAAAATGTCTCTCGGCAAAAATCGCTACGAGCAACCGTTCTCAAGATATTTAGAATGGAAATAATCAATACATGTCAATATTGACAAAAATAAACATGTTGAGTAGGTAGTTATTTAACTGAAATGATAACTTTATGATTTTTTTTAAATCAATCATAAATTTTTCTTCGAAAAAATAATGATAAAATAGTTTCTGCTGAACTTTTGCTACAAAAACATTTTACATTTATGATTTCAGTCTATAACTATTTAATCAACATGTTTAATTTTTGCCATGAATGACAGTTATTGATAATTTCGATTCCAAATATCTTGGAAACCATTACTCGGCAGCGATTTTTGCCAAGAGACCTTTTTTACGTAGAAAACAGTTCGCAGTTCGCACAGAATCGCAGTTAAAAAATATGTAGGTGGTGCCCTCTATAAGTAGGGGTCATATTGACATCAAAATCAAATTTCTCATGTCAAAAAACTACCACACACCAATTATTATCCAAGTGATGTTACCTCAAAAATTATTTGGAAAAAATCGAAATAAAAATGAAACTTCTACACCATGTATCTCTGAAACTAAGCATTTTAGGACATACATTTATACGAACCTTTTTACTTATTTTTATCTGCAGAATATCCTGCCGAAGTTTCCGGAATACACTTCGGACCACCCTGTATAGTAGGTAAAGAGCTACTAAGGAACTGCTATCTGTTTGGATTCTAACATAGTGACATTAAACAAAAAACAATGTTTTTACTTTGTAGATTTATATTTCAGTAATGAAATCCCTAAATGTTTTCGAGTAAAGGAATACTTGTATACCTCGCAGAAAATACTATTTTTATTAATGATATAAAAATATATTTTAAGATGGGTCCAGAGAACTGTGGTTCAGGCAACTTACTGGCATGATCCTTTGAATGAAACTGAATACAAACAATCCAGTACGTTTTTGGCTGATATTAATAACGAGAAAGAAATCAACAGCACCTATGTGACAAACTTACAAGTAAGAATTTTGCGATAAAATTTAAAAAGAAATTGAAAATTCAAACATGTCAATATACAAATTAGCAAATTAGTCAAAGACGGCTGGGGAATGAGAATCAATTTATAGTTGTCTCAGTGATAAAATATACATATTAGGCTAGTTATACAACTTTTACAGTTTTTCAATTAATTTTATAAATTTATCGCTCAATCATTTAAATTTTTTATCTAAGTACCTATGCGCAATCAATGCCTTTATTCAAACGTTTAAAAACAAGGATTTTTTCTGGCCTAAACTGACACAATGGAAATTTGTTAACACAGATTGTTGTTAAACAGTTTGTGTATTTTAAGTTTAATTATTTTAAATTGGCAAAAAAATTCCATGTTACTAACGCGTGTAAAGTTAGTTTATATACAATTGTTTATACACAAATAAAACGTTTCTTCCAGGGAAATGTTTAATTTTATGTTTATTTTTTAGTCTTTGGACAATTTTGTTCTCGTCAAATTTGAGGGCGATACAGTGGTCCAGCCTGTTGAAACTGAATGGTTCGGATTTTATACGCCGGGACAGTCTCAAGAAATTCAAACTTTAGAAAACTCAGATTTATACAAAGATGTAAGTAATTCCATAATACATTTCTTCAATTTTTTTCCCTGTCATACTCTACGGAAAAATACTGCTTTTCAGTTTTTGTGCTTATTTATGTTTTTGTTCAAGGCCGATTTTTCTCGACTATATGGTATTTATTATACAGGGTGGTCCGAACTATTTTCCGGAAACTTCAGCAGCATATTCTGTATTGCAGGTAAAAATAATTAAAAAACTTCGTATAAATGTATGTCCAAAAATGCTTAGTTTCGGAGATACAGGGTGTAGAAGTTTCATTTTTATTTCTATTTTTTCCAAATAATTTATGAAGTAAGGTCAATTATTTGGATGAAAATCGGTGTCTGGCAGTTTTTTGACATGAAAAATTTGATTTCTATGTCAATATGACTCCTACTTGCAGAGGGCGCCACCTACATATTTTTTAACTGGTTTGAAGAGTAATAACTTTTCGTTCACACCTGTATAAAACTACTGAGTAAAAAAATATACATTTACGACTTTTTTTACGTAAAAAATGTCTCTTGGTAAAAATCGCTACGAGTAATGGTTCTCGAGATATTTGGAATCGTAATTATGAATAATCATAATAATAATCCCTGTCATCATCGACATACATTAAACATGTTGAATGTTGACTAAATACATACATAGTTACTAGATTGAAATCATAAATTTGAAATATTTTTGTGTTAAAAGTTCAACAGAAACTGTTTATTCATTTTTTCGTAGAAAAATTTATGATTAATTTAAAAAAATAAAAATTTATTATTTCAGATAACGATACTCAACGTGTGTTTATTTTTTGTCAATAATGACATGTATTGACTATTTCCATTCATGTATTGACAATTTTTTACGTAAAAAGTCACGCAAATGTATATTTTTTCACTTCACAGTAGTTTTTTGCAAGTACGGACGAAAAGTTATTACTCTTCAAAACAGTTAAAACATATGTAGGTGGCGCCCCCTACAAATAGGAGTCATATTGACATCAAAATCAAATTTCTCGTGTGACAAAACTCCCAGACACCAATTTTCATCCAAATATTGATGTTACTCCAGAAACTATTTGGAAAAAATCGAAATAAATATGAAGCTTCTACACCCTGTATCTCCGAAACTAAGCATTTTAGGACATACATTTATACGAACTTTTTTACTTATTGTTATCTGCAGAATATGCTGCCGAAGTTTCCGGAATACAGTTCGGACCACCCTGTATATAATTTTTTCAATTCAATATTTCAAAATTCAATGCATATCTCCCTCCATTCCATTTTTTACTGGATAAGCAGATTTCCTTACAAAACAAAGTTGCTGAGAAGCTGACTTCCGTCTGTATTCTACCGCAGAATATTTTGTTTAGCCCATTAGGGTATAGATAATATCATTTAGCTTACTCAATATATGCTGCATGATTCAATAGCTTCCTAAGTTCATCACAGAAAGTGCCGGATAATGTTCCGCAGTTGGGTAATCCGTAGACACCCTGATGCTGACCCCCAACCGAAATGAGATTTTTTATCGGTGTGTCGAAGTTTCCGGAATACAGTTCGGACCAAAGACATCTGTTCGGACCACACTGTATTGAAATGATTATTTCTTAGATGGAATGAATTAAATCCCTTTGGTTTGGGTTTATTATTTTTTTTGGGAATTGCGATTTTTGCGAATTTGGGTTATTAACTTAGGGTTGGAGCCAGTGGCGGATACAGAGGGGGGACCCATGGGGCCCGGGTCCAGCCTAAAATCTATAAATTGGGTTAAATATTAGCCTTTTGGTTTAAAAATGGCACACTAAAAAGCATATTCTACATTATTTTTTATTTGGCCCCCCCCCTAAAATAAATTTCTGTATCCGCCCCTGGTTGGAGCAACATAAAACACTAATTCACTACAAGATACCAAAACACTTTTTAATACACGTAATTTAAACACTGTTTAAAATATACAGTGTTTAAAAGAAAAGTGTTAGGACCGAATTAGTGTTTTATTTTGATTTACTTCTATGTGATTAAATATCCTTTAATTCATTCTAGGATAGGTTGGGTTTAAAGGCAATGAATGAGAGCAATAAATTGAAGTTCTTGTCTACTCCTGGAAATCACCTCAAGTTCCAGTGGGATTGGTTCGAAGAAAATGTAGTTGATCCATATTTGAAAAATGCTTGAGACTTTATTTTTATTAGCGTATAATAAAGAAATTAATAAAATAATTGTTATAAAGAATAATAATAAATAAATTGTTAAAATTATTTTTCAGTGTACCTATTGTTTAGATAAATAAGTTCAATTAAACCAAAGATGAGTTCTTTATACACAAACTTTTTAATAATTGGTTATTTGTTGAATTTTCAAGTGGAATACATATATAGTGACCAAACTTCACTAAATTATGATCTAAAGAGTTATCTTGAGATTCTTTTGAGAGAGATCTTGAGATATAATTATTCGTTGTAATACGAGTATTATTTAACTTAATTAATTGATTAAATTCATGTGATAAATTATTAATTAAATTAATATGAGTATTAATCAGTCAAATTGTTGTTATGAACCGTATGTTATAATTGCAAATAAACCATATGCGAAAATGTCAAAAGTTGACATATGAAATGTCATTCTATTCAAGGTGTAATTTTCTATCGAGTAAAAAAATACCGAGGTTGTCATTTAAAAACTAAAGGTTGTAGTCATTTCCGGTGAAACAGGAAGTGACCGAAAATATTTGAATTCCATTCGTCAATCAATCCTAATTTATTATATCATATACTAACATACCAAATAGCGATTTTTTATCTCAAAAAATAAAAAAGTTATAGGGGTGAGCCACTTTAGACGCACGGTATAGGCAAAAAACAACTTTTATGCATAACTTTTTTGGACACCCTGTAGTATTACACAATTGTGTATATTTTTATAAATTGCTCCCAAAATTTAATTTCGATATAAACTCCCGTTCTCCTTGAAGCTTCCGCGTCCTATGAGGGTAGGATTACCAGATGAAAACGCTTCCACCCAGAACAAACCTTCCGGACAAAATCCGAAACTCTAAATTTTTTAGCAAAGTAGCAATTTTCACATTACATACTGATTGATGATTACATATCTATAAAACAAGTGCGAAAATGTACAATTATATTTAAACTGTCAAAATCTAAAACTTGCAAACTAAAACAATGATTTTACACTGCTGAACCTACCTTCAATTTTTTACATAATCAGGTACATTTTTTAAACCTAGTTTATTATTTTGCATTATGGCGGCATTGCTTAATAGAACATTAAAATCCGGACGTTTATGAAAAATCCGGTCAGACCCACACGGACATAATAAAAATCCGGACGTCTGGTAACCCAATATGAGTGGCGCCACCCTGTACAAGGTAGCTCGAATTCGACGCTCAGTGGGTCATCATTGGGAGTTCGGAAACCGTAAGTAAGAGATACAGGATCGGTTAAATAGAGGCAATGTTGCGCAATTTGGTGCTCAATAAAATGCCGTATTGCATTTTGAAAAATTCCGAATACTTCCGAATATATTCGAAAAAAAAAACGGAATTTTCAATTTTGTTTTCAGTAGGAGATATTAGCCGATTGGGCTCCTCCACATGCGCAGTTCGCTTGACCTTGACATATGTGGCTTTCAAACCTCCTTGAGTGATTCCAGAAAGAACCTTGTTGTGAGACCTTAAACGACCTTTAAGGTTGACTTTCAGATGTATTTGAAATGCGTTTGTGTACCCTTCACAACTTAATTTTTTAAATCCGGATCTGATTTTTTTCAATTTAATTAAATCCTTTCATCACTCTTAAAACACTATATAGAGTCACTTTGATATTTGCCGACGTTTCGTTCAGAAAATTCCATCACTAGAATATTATATGCAAAAAAAATAAAAAATAAAAATGCAATACGGCATTTTATTAATCATCAAATTAACGCGCAACTTTGCCTCCATTTAACCGATTCTGTATCTCTTACGGTTTCCGAAATCCCAATGATGAACGTCGAATTCGACGCTCTTAAAGGGTGGAAATTCACCCTTTTTCTATAGGAGATAGACAAAACTAATATCGGTGTCTGGAGCTCAATTTTGTCAAAAACATGATCGTGAAAACCGCATATCAATATCTGTTACCGTTTCGGAGTTACGGGGTGTTTTTCAAAAATATGCATTTTTAACAAATCGCTATAACATTTTTGCTATGGAAAATTTTGTATTTTTATGAAAACATTTCCAAAGCACCTTTTTACGTAGAATTTAATGGTTTAAGTATATTTTTTTTAAATTAATAATTTAAGAATTATCAACTGAAAATTTGATTTTTTATATGGGACACCCTGTATATTTTTAATTTATTGAAAAGAATTTAAAATTACCTTTCAAAAAATATAACACACTTGATATTTTGCTCCATTCCTCTTCGAGATATAGAGTATATAAAAATTCGCCCGCTTTAAATAAGTAGGCTTGGAACGGCACCGGCTGCAATGCAAAAAAATTCTAGCTGTGAGCATCAATTAAAACAAAAATAATATTTGCTATGAGAGATGCAGCATTTTATTACAATTTAAAATATATTTAACCAACATCAACACATTTAAACTATATTTAATAACAATAAAAATAAATAGCAAACCAAGACATGAGATTTTGCTACAGGTGTTCGACATATCGACCGTCTTCTGTTATGGACAGACGGGGCAGTTTTTGAACATTTCTCGCGGAATTCATTAACTCTGTGGGGGTGAAATATACCCTGTCATAACTGCTAAGTATTTCTAATTCTTGTCTAGATTATACGGAAGAATAAGGAACCTTTATTCTTCCGCAAATATATCCATAGGATTAGATCCATGGGCACTAAGTCAGGTGGCCTCGATGGCAAACGGCTGGGATGTTGGTTAGCTATTCAATTATTCTTGAAATTGAAAAAAAACTCTGTGGGGGTGAAATATACCCTCTCATAACTGCTAAGTATTTCTAATTCTTGTGTAGATTATACGGAAGAATAAGGAACCTTTATTCTTCCGCAAATATATCCATAGGATTAGATCCATGGGCACTAAGTCAGGTGGCCTCGATGGCAAACGGCTGGGATATTGGTTAGCTATTCAATTATTCTTGAAATTGGCTGCAAAAATTTGCTGATAACTTCAGCGTTCAGAGGCGGTCCGTCGTCTTGCTGGAAAAATATGTTTTCGAGTTCCATTAAGGGCATATCATAAGGGGTCCATAAGGTCAATAAGGGGTCCAAAGCCTACTAGTTAAAAGTGGCGAACTTTTAAAAATTCTGTATTTCGAAGAGGATTATAACAAAATATCAAGTGTGCTATTTTTTTGGAAAGGTAATTTTAAATTCTTCTCAGTTAAATAAAAATATAGAGGGTGTCCCCAATAAAAAATCAATTTTTCTGTTGATAACTCTTAAATTATTAATTTAAAAAAAAATATACTTAAACCATTAAATTCTACGTAAAAAGGTGCTTTGGAAATGTTTACATAGAGATACAAAATTTTCCATAGTAAAAAAGTTACAGCGATTTGTTAAAAATGCACATTTTTGAAAAAACACCCCGTAACTCCGAAACGGTAACAGATACTGACGTGCGGTTTTTACCATAATGTTTTTGATGAAAATTGAGCTCAGACACCGATATTAGTTTTCATCTATCTCCTATAGAAAAGGGTGTTACCATTTAAAAGCGTCGAATTTGACCCACCCTGTACATACAGTAAGCAACGAGTCTATATTGTATCGCCGACGCCGATGACATGTTAACACTAAAACTTCCCTACTAAAGACCTGTTTGTACCATACTCGCGTTTGTTTTCCCGATTCTAACGCAATCTTCTAATTGAAACCGTGAAAAAAGAAGAAAAAAAACGCGCTTCGAAGCCTCCCGCGCCCATTTCTCATTAGTTTATTACCGTGTATTTTTTGTCTTTTCCGCCGAGGCAACAGAAGGCATATTTTTCCAAATTGCCTCCGTGCCCCATTGTTCCCACTCGTCAGATCGCAACAAAGCCCTTTTGACTGACGCCGATGCTTATTCATAAACTAGTCTGATTAAGCTGAAACCCCACCGCTTGTTTTGCTTTCCGCTTTTTTTTCCTCCCGCTGCCTTTCCATTATGGCGAATGTATTTCGAGGAAAAATTTCATCACAGCGCAATGGCTTGTTTTCGGATATTTGGACGGTTATAATGAATTATACAGGGCATATAATAAAAATATATCTAAAGAACCATAAGAAGAAATGTCCCACTTTATAGTCCCAAGATAATATACAGGGTGTGCCAATATTCCGTGGACATAGAACTACTACGTATTTTTGGGATCAAAATAAGTTCATTGGACACAATTTACCTCTATACAAAAGTGCTTCGTTTGTCCGCTGGAGGGCATCAAACCATTTAAAAAAAATAAACGCATTTTTTCAGATATTTCGAGAACCGTTATTCCGATTTGAATGGGATTTTTGATGTCTATGTCTTGCTAAGTGCTTTAACATTTGACTTTCACAAAAATAAAGAAAAAGTACGGGAACGGTGAAAACTACCCCTGTATAAATATTTTCCAGCTCCACCGTCGACAGATTTTCTTTCCGTAAAATGAACCCTCTAGTATTTGCTACATTTTTTGTCTCTTGTAAAAAAAAACTGCACGTCGCATACTTTTTGAGAAAATGGTTTTTTTTGGAGAATTAATTTTTCCGAAGCAGACCTACAAAATATACAGAGAATTTCAATGTTCATGTTTTTGGAAGCGATCAAAAACAATTATTGAGTACGTCCAATCAATCCTAATTTATGTCGTATACTTAACTGTTAATCTAAGATACTAACATAGCAAATCTCGTTTTTTTTATCTGAAAATATAAAAAAGTTATAGGGGGTACGCCACTTTCGAGACGCACCCGGTATTAATTGATTGGATTCTTGGAAAAAATAAAGGTGAGTTTCATTAAAGGATGATATTTATGCTTAAATCTCAAATAATTGAAGAGACATGAATTCACTATTGAATATCGGAATAATATACTGGGCATTTCATTTAAAATAAAGGAGTAACTTTCTTTTGCAGGTAACCAATGTTCAATATTAATTTTGCCTCACACTGCATAACTTTTTCGTTTCAGCTTTTTGATTTATTTCAAAGTACAATAGTTATTTTAACTATATATCGGGCTATACTGGGTAAATTCCAATTCAGGTTAGCACAATTCTTTTAAAAGTTCCTCAATATGGCCGACCTAGTTACGAAAATTGGTAATTTTTTTTAATGAAAAATAAGTTGGCGTTAGCGAATTCAGAAATTGATTTACTCTTTGGTTAACAAATAACATTTTTCAGGATTGTCAAATTGACGTTAAAGTTAGGTTATTAGGTGGTTGTCATAAATAAAAACATAGATTATTGAAATTATTTAATAAGAATAAAGGTATTTTACCGCAGATCCGAAGAGATTTTACTTAAAGGTATTTTATAAACTTTCTCAGTGAGAATATTAACTCCCCTGTTTCTTATATTTCAGTTAAAGAGACCGGATGTAAGAACTATAAGAAGTGAATTTTTGTTTTCATGTTTTGACGATATCTGAGAGTTCCTAGAATTATCAAGATTATTGAATAATTATAGTTGTTTAATAAGTGAAATTAATAGAAGACTAATAAGGAAATAGGATGATGCGTTTCATGTTGTAGATCACCCCATTTCTCTTAATTTGTTTTTATTTCAGTACAGTTAATCACAAATTGAATTGATGTGTGCAAAAACAGCTATATATTTTCAATCATCTATATACTGTTAAACTGTATCAACTACAAAGTCTTTAGCAAAAAGTTATAAGGTAATAAATTTTGTAGATATAATTTATGAAAATTTATATATAAAGATTAGAACACAATCCTCTGAGGGAAAAAGAAATACTCAAAAACTCATTAAATATACTTTATTAAAAAGAACAACATACAAAACCATCCATGCAAACTGTAATAATCAGAACATTATCCACATTTACCTTTATTAAATTTGTGTTCACACTCCTGTCAGGAAAGACAGAAATGTTTGTTTAAATAATTAACTTATTTTAAATTGCCAGAAACACATCAGAATATGTCACAACCACAATTATAAGTTTGGAATCAGTACTAAATTTTATACCGAGTAAGTGATGCGTCAACTAACAAGTATAGGATAAAAAAGAATTATTAATATAGAGTGTACTATACAATGTCCTTCTGCTTATTTATGAAATGACGTTCCTTTCAAATGTGAGGAATACCAGTAAAATAAAACATAATTTTTGGTTTGGTTTGGTGTTTGATATTCTAACTACATCTATTACAAACCTTAAGTGCTTTTAGTGAGTAACTGTATTTTTTATTATTCTTTGTGTATCCTGTAAAGTAAAAATATATACCTATATTTCAAGAAATATAAAAACAATGCAATAGATATCAAACATTCATAAAAACTACTTACAATTATTGTACATATTATATATTTCAAGTGGTATTTGATCTTTGGTCCCCCATTACCAACATTACCTTATTTAGGTCTTCTCTACTAACTCAACTTTTAAACCTATTTTAAACCTTCTTTATATTTTAAAACTGATTTAAAATAATCTGTAATGCCCGTGCTGTTTCCTGAAATTGAAATAAAAGTTTTAATCTATTTATTATCATATACATATTACAAACCTGAAAATTACTGATACGAAGAAACTTCTCAAAATAATTAGAAACCTTTTTACAAACATCTGGACTAATTTATTTTCACGAATTTGTGGACGAGTCAATGTTTTCTAATACGTTTTTAAGCGTTTTACACATTTTGAATATCTTCCAGCCTATTCCTCAGTTCTTGATCGGTGAAAAGATTATTTATAACTATATAATTAGTACTGCAGGCTGCAGGTTAAATAAAAGAACAAAATCAAGTAGAATTTGTGAATAAAAACTCAAAAAATAATGAAAATATTTAGAAAAAGGAACCGTAAACGTCAATGTCAGCCAAGTGTCAGAACTGTCAGAGTTCAATTGGATTTACCACAGATTATCAATTTGAACGATTTGAACTACAGTCGATTCCAGTCTAGAGATTTTCGTTTTTTAAGCCTCCCATACTGAAGTCCGCCATATTGGAAAGTTTTAAATGAATACAAGTATAGCTTTTATTGAAATTTAAAATTTGTTCTTTATTTTTACAAAATCTTAAATATGTCAAAAACCTTACATTTTTGTAATATACTTCTCTAATAAAACTCACTTTTATTTTTCTCCTTGAATCCAAAAATCAATTAATATATAGGGTGTTATTACAAAAATACACAACAACTTTGATCAAGATGATAAGAGACAGCTAGTTTTTAAGATGAAAAATATTATTATGCATTAAAATTAAATCAGCAAAAAAGAGATTTTCATTGTTTTTCCCGTGTGCTCTTCAATTGCGTATTGCTTTTACCCTATCCCCATTTCATAGCTCCATTGTACACTTCCTGTCGACTCCGTGTTCCCTATTCCCTTATATTCCTATTCAAGCGCCTGCTTGCCTAAATGGGGGTAATCGTATAATCGTTTGATGAGGATGCGGTGCCGTTGTTGCTGTTTGACAAATTTGTTACGGCCATTATATACGACAAATTCGCCAGTTTGATTGGTTTACGACATCAAATTGAAATGGGAAGGGGGGACTTTGACCGGTTGCTTGATACATAGAAAATTGAATTTGTAGGTTCTATTTTTGTGAATGGTGCGCCATTGTTTTATGAGATAACTTATTTTGTCACTTTTCAATGAAGATTAGTATTATTACAGGATGTTTTAAAAAACATGAAATTCTTCTTGTAAAAATAAGATTTACTTTTCATATTACCATGGTACGATTTAGCTTTGTTTCGAAGATACAGAGGGTTAGTTTTCATCTTTTTTCAATGCATTATAATTTTCTTCCAAGTGCTTTTAGCGACCCGAATGAAATTTTGAGGGTAAAAGTTACTATAAGTGCGCTACTGACTTTTTTTCTTGTTAAAAAATTAAGTAGACCTTTAAGAGTCTATTATGCTGTCTCAGCGATCGGGTAAAGCGGGTGTGTGGTAGTGATGTAAAAATTCTAAGTAATCGTTACAAAGTAACAGTTACTTTACGAGGACTCGAGGTAACGCTTACTATTTGAATTTAGGACTCGTTACTCGTTACTCGTTACTAAGCTAATTCGTTACTTTTGCGCCGGCAGTAATCGTAATCCATGGAAATGCACGAACCGAGGACTCGAAACAGTTGTTATCAATATGTTTATGTTTAAAGTGCTGACTTGATGCCGGCCGGTGTTTTGGATGGCAAATGTGTGATATTTTTATTAAAATTATTATTATTGGCTCATGCCGACCCGGAGGCAGTCTGTCCCTTTGCCGTTTGTTGTCGCTTTTTATTTATAGAATAGAATTGTTTATTTAGATTAACATGTCTTAGATATTAATTAAAAATTGATTCACGTTAGTCACAAAAAATGTTAACATCTGAAAAAGCAGAGCAAATACTTTTCTTCTGCAAATGAGAATAGATATTTCGCCACTTACACTGTAAGAAAATCTACAAAATAAAAATAGTAATTTTTAGTAAACCTGCTCTCCGCTTTTACTATAAGTTTTGCGACGCTATCCTCTTTCCTCTTCGCTACCCTCTTTCCTCGCCGCTCCACTATAATCTCAGCCTAATTGGGCTAAGTCTGCGATTATAGTGGAGCGGCGAGGATAGAGGATAGCGGAGAGTTAATCAAACCTATGTATTCATATGCAGGTGCGTATAGTAAAAGCGGCGAGGCGAGAGTAGAGGAAGGCGGTGCACATAGCGGTGCTAAGAGAAACAAAAATGTTTGTTTTTAATAGCCTCGAGGATCGCCGTCAGGAGGGATCGTCAACATTCATATAAGTTCGTAGCCACCTGAGGTATAGAAAGACCGAGGAAATAAATTTGTTTTTGTTATCTCCTAGACGTTCACCATGGCAGAAGTACTGATTTCTTTCTCTTAGATCTTTATTAGCGGGATGAACAGACTATCTCCTAATTCTTCTTTGCTGGGAATAATTATGCAAGATACAAAATTTAGCAGCCGTATTTTCGGTAAGTAAGAGCTTTCGCTTTTGATTACTTAATCGGACCATTGTCGAATTGCTACTGGAAAATACGTTGCACAATTTTTGCTCTATCCTCTCCGCTTTTACTATAAGTTTTTCGACGCTATCCTCGCCGTTTACCGCACCGCTATCCTCTTTCCTCGTCGCTACCCTCTTTCCTCGCCGCTCCACTGTAATCTCAGCCAAAGGCTACAATACGGATATAGTATAATCCTTTATCTTTAATTTCCTTCTTTATTTGTGTAAAAATACCTAGCCAGTTTTACATAAAACGTTAAATGCCGAACGCTTATTTTACTACTTTTTCGGACTAGTGAAATGGACTCTGATTAAAAGTTGTCTCTTGCTATTTTGTCGATTTCGGGCTCTTTGATGAGACAAACGCAAATGTCATTAACCAAAATATTAAAAAAATAAGCTGTTATTATTTTGTTGTTTGTCAAACTATTATATTAAACAGAAAGCCTTAACTGTAGTTATAATAAAAAAATATAAAAAAGATATACATTTCTACTTAAATGCTTAACCAATTCCTCTTGTCGAACTCCCTAACAATGTAACACAATCTGTCTCTGTGTATCGCATCAACTATTTTTCCTTGAGATCCGTGTGTAAGTTCTGGCTCGTTGTCCAAAACTGCGTAAAGCCTTGAGACGATCTTGAAGAACTCACTTTGCCTGCCAGCAATCCTTAGCTCTTCGTTAAACGACCATCTGGTAAAGTACCGCGTATCTAGTTGCAGCTTATGGAGTAGATAAATGACGTTGTGGTAATAGAAATCTATGAGATCGTCTAGGTTGTTCCTAAGAGTCTCCAACTCTACGCTGGTGAAGAGGAAGAATAGCAGGTCTCTCGCTGGTGATTGGTATTCGCTAATTCGAAAATCTATCAATTTTATTGAGATAGGTTCGTGCCGATTATTGTATCTGACCCTGATGTTATTTACCTAAAAATATTATTTAAAAATATAAGAAAATGCTTTGTATATTTGATACCAATTAAACTTTTAGTTACGTAATTGAGGGCGCGATTTTTAAATTCATTGTTGCCAACCATGGATATATGTATTCGGTGCCGCGCCGGGCTGATTAACTGGAATTTAAATTTCCCGCTGGGAATTGAGGTGGTAGCTCTGCTGTTAAAATGTCAAGGTGCCACAGTTATTTACTTATTTCCTGGCATTGTCATTCGTTTTGACACTTCAGTTTTGTATTACGTGTTTTTGGTTTAAATAAATAGTGTTGTGATACTTTAAGCCTAAAAATGTTTACTAGCAGATCTTGCAGTCGAACATTGTTCTTTATAGAAGCGAAGAGTACAAGATAGCTTAAAAATTATTAATAGCCGTAAAAATCTCATCACAACTTTATTACAATATTTAAACGGAACAGCGGTAGTAATATCTCTTTATGTCCCTTATAGTCTAAGAGTTGGCTACATAAAAAACCTTATCATCGTTACATGGCTAATTTTTTGTGTGAAGTATCCTTTTGTGTAGCCATTTTGAAATAGTCATGTCTGCCATCGCGATCCCGGGGCTTAAATCGGGGGCGGCCAATTGAAAGTGTGAAATTTGGACACTAAAAATATTATAAGGTATACGAGTTATAATTGCGAAAATAGCTTTTATTTATTATTAAGAAACGTGGAAAATTGTTGGCAGACATTTTTCTGGTCGCTAAAATGCCGACAGACAACGCGAAAGAGACATGAAATTTTAAAAATTATCTCGAAAATTATTATAAAATGAAATTTGAAGAATGAAAAAAAAATATGGCATACATGCATGTCGATTGGTGGAATGTCATATTTATTTATTTTAAAAGCAAAAGGGCAGAACACAAATATCGTGACTAAATCAGCTGCAGACAGTTATCAAAAGTGCGATATTACTCTAGCGCTTTCAGGGAACGCTCGCCGCCTCATCCATTTAAGTATAGATAAATCATATATACGATTAGGTATATTACAAATATATTTTTTTATTATTTCAAAACAGATATCATACATTTACTATTCTGTCTCACTATTGGTATCTGACTCATCGTACTGCAGATCCCCGCTCTCACAAACGAGTCTTCCTCTGCGTCCTGAGTCGATATCTGCACCGTAAAATTTTTATAGACTTACAGGTATTATGTTTCAATTGATAACGCGGCCAGCGTTTCCTGAAAACGCTTATACAGGGTGAGTTTTAAATAAGTGAAAATACTTTTAAGGGTGATATTTTCGAGCCCAGTCTATGAGTATTTTTTCGCAAAAAAAGATGTAGAAAATCGTGCATTATTTTTAAATTTTCCTGTATATTTTAAAAAACTATTTAGCTCAACTGCCTGTTCACCGCAAATTTACCAACGGTATAATTATTTCTTAACCTATCATGCTTATGGCTTTACTCTATGGCTACGGCACTAAAATAATGGATGCAAGTACAGAAAAAAACAGGTGTCCCACAAAATTATTTAAAAATTTATTAAAAATAAATAAATTATTTATTAGACTTATTTTGAAAAAGGTAAAAAGAAAATAATATGTTTCTTTTATCGAGATCTACCAGCTCTGAAAATATTTGCACTTATTCAAGATTCACCCTGTACAGTAATATCGCGAATTTTATAACTGTCTACCGCTAATTGAGCCACGATTTTTTTGTTTGATCTTTTGCATACAGCTTTTTAAATAAATAAACATAACATTCCACCAATCGACATGCATATATGCGATGCTTTTTTTGTCAAATTCCATGCCTCTTTCGGGTGGTCTGCCGGCATTTTAGCCACTAGATAAATGTCTGTCAACAGTTTTACACGTTTCTTAATAATAAATAAAAGCTATTTTCGCAATTATAAGACGTGTACCTTATAATATTTTTAGTGTCAAAATTTCACCCTTTCGATTGGCCGCCCCCGCTTTAAGCCCCGGGATCGCGCTGGCAGACACGACTATTTCATAATGGCTATACAAAAGGATACTTCACACAAAAAATTAGCCATGTACCGATGATAAGGTTTTTTATGTAGCCAGCTCCGTCTATTAAGTGCTGTTAAGAAGGTGAGTTTTGTTGATGTAAATTAATAACTGTTTATATATTTATAATCAATTTATTTTTGTTTTCTAAAATATTTTGATTAAAAGAAAATATGTAAAAGTGGGCAACGCTGTGCCGGTTAAGCTTAATCACGTGACTAAAAATTTAATTGGTATGAACTATATACCTAGTACTTACCCATATATTATTGTGAGTAATGGTGGCCCATGGTTCTCTTATGTTTTTAATACTTCTCCTGTCAAATGTCATTGTAGCTCTTTTAATTATATCGGAAGAAAAGTTTTCTTCTTTTAAAACTTCAATCATTTGGTCTCTAAAATATAAACCAATAAATAAACTTTTGATGATGTAACAAATCTTAGATTTAACATTTATTGTAACTTTTCTTGGAATTTGGTAGACAATGATTCAGTATTATTGAGAGGGAGAGGCATAGCAAAAGATATATTAAAGAGCCAGCTTTCTTAAAATTCTATCTCCAAAACGTTGCTAGCTCTTAACATGTTTATCGCTTCCACAATTCTTCCACATTCTTCTTCGTTTTCTTTTCTCTAAAATCGAGTGGGAGTAGCGAAAGACACAGATTAACAATCGTTTAAAGCATTGAGGCGATAGCCGAATATTTTTTAGATATTGAGTTTGGTGTTTAAAAAAGGGGACATTTTCAATACGCGAGAGAAAAGAGGCCAGTGAGATCAAAAAAGAGGACTGTCCTCTGGAATAGAGGACGGTTGGCAACCCTAGTTTTCAGTTTCAGAAATTTTAATAGATCCCCCATTTCTATTGACAAGGACAACTAGAAATGGCATCGCTTTTCTCTTCTCAATGTGTTGTGTCGAATTAGTATTTTATTTTGCTAGATAAACTTCTAAACTTGTATTAGGTAATTCTCCAAATAAACCTAAAGAAGTATTTCACTTGAAAGATATTTATTTATGAAATGCAATGTAAATATTGCGATTATAAAAATATTTAATACGTATAGAAAGTTAAGAATAATTATTGGAACGAAATATAACTTTCAGCAGTGCATACTTAACTCAATTGATCAAAGCTTAATGATGTTGCTCAACATATTAATTTGTGATAAAGGTTACTATACATATAGATAACAAGTACATATTTTAAGATTGATTAAATAAGTAAATAATAGGCAGAAGCGGATATCTATGACAGCAAGAATATAAATAAATGTATTAGAGTATTATGACCGGAAATATGAGTCTTAATTGATTAGGCAGTTTTTTGCTATTCAATATTTTAGTGGTCTAATTACTACTGTATATAGTATCTCTTATTAACGTATATATAAAAATCGACAGGAGAAATAATAATTATTAATATATAGGTACCTTGTTATTTTATGAAAACTTCTTGAACTATAGCAATCAGAAAGATAAGGCATAACTTTTTGTTCGAAAGCTTCCGGTTCTAGCAATTTCATGCCCAACGCGCTACCGTGAAGATGCGCAAGCGCCTTAAGCACAATTTTTGCGCATTCCAAATCCAAACCGATTCTTTGGTCCAACCTTCTGAAACCTAAGATGGTTAATTTAATGATATCATTATATTTTTAGTTAATTTCTAGTTTTTTAATGCCTTTACCGTATTTTTTCAAGTTTGACAAGATGAGAACTGCGTCCTCGTCCACGGAATTGCAGAAACCATTTAGATTGAATCTTCCTCCAAAAGGTGTTGAAATACATTCGATAGCATCCTCTCCTAAAATAAAACAAAAATATAAAGTTTTCTCGACAGAGAGATATACAGGGTGACGCCTCTCACGCCTCGGAGGCTCCAAGGAGAACGACAGTTTGTATTGAAATTAAATTTTGTGAGCATATGTTGGTTAATTCAGACCACTTTTTAAAAATATAGAGAATTCTACAGGGTGTCCCCAAAAAAATTACATATCAGAGTTGTGTTTTTTGTAATGGAACACTCTATATATTAATTGATTTTCGGATTCTGGGAGAAAAATAAAGGTGAGTTTTATAAGAAAAGGATATGACTAAACTGTAAGGTTTTTAATATATTTAACATTTTCTAAAGACAAAGAACAATTTTTAAATTACAATAAAAGCTACCTATATTGGAATTTACTCGGTATAGCCTAATATGCAGTTAAATTAACTATTTTGATCCAAAAAATGATACAGGGTGAGACAAAATTAATATTGAACATTGCATGGTTACCTTTAAAAGCATGTTACTCTTTTATTTTAAATGGAACTCCCAGTATATTATTCCGATATTCAATGGAGAATGTCTCTTCAAAATACTATTAAGGTTGCCTACCTCTCAAACAAAGATTTTTCTAGATCTTTTCATTTACATGATTTGATCTGAGTAGATCTTTATTATTTTATAAAATCTAGATGGCTGTGATATGTCCGACGTTACTTCAAAATAGCTGTCTAATTAGTCCAAATTTAACAACTAGTTATCATTTAGTGTCAGTTAAAACAAAAAAAAATTCTCAGAAATTTGCCGAAAATGCAAACTTAGCCTAGATCAGAGAGAATTGATATGATTCTATTGGTGAATGCAGTGTGCATTCACCAATTAATAGAACACTTAAATTCTCTTGTTTTTATCTAATCTGTTTTTTATGGGGATATATTAAAGACAGTGTTTACAAAACTCGACCAACTATTGTCGACGACATGAGAAAAGTTATTGTAGTTGCTTTTATAGGTAGAACTCCACATATGCCTTTTAAAATGGATCTTTTGAAAAGATAATCATTTTATGCAGTTAACATGAAAGGAAGAATTTTGAGCATTTGATTTCACCTAGCTAATTTTTGTCTACTGACTAATAAATCTACTGACGCAAAATGATAAAAATTAAAATATCTAGGAAAATCTTTGTCTGAGGTGTAAGCAACCTTAATAATATTTTGAAGATATATAAATTCCCCATTGAACACCGGAATTATATACTAGGTGTTCAATTTAAAATAAAGGAGTAACTTGCTTTTATAAGTGACTGATGTTCCGTATTAATTTTGTTTAACTTTTTAGGTCAAATTTCTATTTGGTTTAATATACAATAGTTACTGTAATTAAATATCAGGCTATACAAGATCAACTAAAATTTAGGTATAGCTATTATCAAAATGCAAAATTTACTCTTCATTTACACAAAATGTGAAATATGTCAAAATCCTTATATTTTAGATATATATATGATTCTTTAATAAAACTCATCTTTATTTTTTTCAAAATTTCATTTCGATATAACCTTGGAGCTTCCGCGGCGTATGAGAGGCGCCACCCCGCCACCCTGTACATACGTTAAATCTTTATTTTTTGTTGGTTTATGTATTTGATGGTGTTTAGTTAATTAGAAAACTAGTTTATAAGAAAAGAACCATTTAAAAGCTGGCTCTCGTTGTATTCTAAAACGAGACGTATTTTTAAAAAATAAATATTTTTTAGTGCTTAGTTGTAGTGGATATACCCACTTAATTCAGTATACTTAACTTTTGTTCTTCAAATACCAATTAACAATCATAATAAATAGTATTTTGATAAGTTCTTGAGCATAACTTGAGAATAACAGTTGATTTAAAAATATATTGTTCTGTTTAAAATATAATCTTATGACTACCATTACAAACCTTTTGATTTTAAAAATTTATTAAGAGCATTTCTGGCTATCATGTACAGTCCTATTTCTTTTTTGAACGTTGTTTTGACATTGAACATGTCTTTAACGTCGTTTTTTTCGGATATCTTCTTTGCTATAGTATGCAATGTCCATTCTTCACCAGTGGTAGTATTGATTAATACAAACTCTAATCTAGAATAAAATTAAATTCAGTTAGATCTGGCTTTCTTATTTTGGAACAACTAATACACAACTTGGGATCTCTACTACTGGAATCAACAAGAGAAGAATTAAGTTAGCATGGAATACTTTTATGGAAGAAATTCAATCATATTCAAATCTAGAATTTCACTCTATCTAAAGAAGAAACCATTCGACCAGTATGTACTACCAGTCATGATATATGCATGCCAAACCTGTACACTTAAGACGGACATTATAAAGAAACTGCAGGTCGCACAACATTCAATGGAACGACATATACTAGGAATAACCAAGAGGGGTCGTAAAAGAATAGAGAGGATACGACAAAAGACTCATAATGGATGTCATCCGCAGAGTCAAATCCCTCAAATGGCAATGTGCAGGACACCTGGCAAGAAGAATGTATAACAGATGGACCGCAAAAATTACTGCATGGTACCCACCAGGAATTAAAAGACCTAGAAGAAGACCAAACCTGAGATGGGACGATGAAATTACAACAAAGGGAGTATGTATAAGGGAGACTACACCATAATAATACAAGAGCTAGCAACGTCGCAAAAACAAGTATTTTAAGACGTCTGGCTCTTTGATATATCTTTTACTATGCTCTCTAGAACAGCATGCGGCCCGTCTGGCTGCCGGTAAACGTTGCGTTCCCTACTGCGCATTGAAAGAAGATCCTATATTTTTATAAGTCCTTCAAATTCTAGTATTGGATATAAATCGAACATGTCTCCATAGCGCAGTGCGTAGAGTTTCCGACTAATAAAAAAAGTATTATCCGTTAAAGTATTAAATATTTGTTTTTTTTAATCACCAAAATTATTTAATAACTGTAAATACCTATCAGAATATAAACGAAAATAAAATAAAAAAAGTCTTTGCCCTGACCCGGATTTGAACTCTGAATCATCGGTTCGTGGTCGAAAACTCTACGCACTGCGCTATGGAGACATGTTCGATTTATATTCAATACTAGAATTTATAAGACTGAATTAATAAAAATATAAGATCTTCCCATGCGTAGTAGTAAACGCAACGGGTATCGGCAGCCAGACGGGCCGCATATTGTTCCAGAGAGCATAGTAAAAGATATATAAAAGAGCCAGACGTCTTAAAATACTTTCTCGAAAACGTTGGTCTTAGACTATAACTGGAAATGGTTGAGTAGGCTGAAAATTATGAATGTTTCTAATGACATTTAATATAACTATGTTTTTAATGACAATTAACAATTATGTCTTGTTACGTATTGATGAGGAATAATTTTAACACTATTCTTGATACATATTCGTTTATTCCTTGTTGTTTATGCTTTTGTGAATAATAATTTATATCTTAGGTTTTTAGAGTTTCTTATTTATTTGTAGAGACACACAAAGATTCGGTTTTCAGATCATTGCGTTACTTTTTTATGAGAATAAAGATGCAGATCCTTTGGTTTCTGAAATACAGGGCAAATTTGGAAATGTTGCATTTTTCAACATACTTCGTATCTCAGTTAACTTAAAACTTTCGAACTGTACATTGCTTTTCAGAATTAATTCTTGTGCTGACTTGTAAGCCAGAGAAATAAACTTTACTAAAAAATTTAATTGCTTTGCTTAATGTATACAGGGGTATCAAAAATTGCTGGTCTATTTTAAATATTTATTTTACATAAAAACTTCGTTATTTCAAATACAACACCCTGTATTTTTTTAAATAAATCGAAGCAGATTTAAACGCTCTTTCAAACTATATAAGGGTTTCCTATACGTATCTAGCTTAGATTTTGAATAAAGAGCCATTTTTCAATAAAATGGGAACCAAGATGGCTGATGTCAAGTTTCTAGTGACATTATTATTCTTTCAAGAAAAATGAAGAAGTAGTTCTCTCATTTATTTTATGATCACTCGTAGATATATGGATTTTCTATAAAAGAGCCAATTACGGCAAATTCATTTTCTTTACTTCCAACGATAGGTTTCTGCCTAATAGTTTTTTTATAAACCACACTACCATAGCTCTGCGAAATAGAAAAGTATTTTTTCAAGGAACGCTTATCAGGAAGATTCCTATTTGGATATCTTTGAGCATAGGCTCTTGAGGCGAAGAAACAATTTTCCTCGCAAAATATAATCACTAGTAACATACCCATTCGTTCCGCCAGCAGATACTGCTTTATTTTTCTTGATAAAATAATGAATAATGAAGTTTAATAAGTATTAAACTAATGTAGCAAAATTTAAGTAAACTGTTATAAATCTAAATAATAATGTCCACAAACTAATGTCGATTTTGAAAAAAGTTACTAGCTTTCACCAGAAAATTGCCATAGCGACACCAGCCATCTTGATTGCCATTTTATTGAAAAATCGCTTTTTATTCAAAATCTGAGCTAGATAGGTATAGGAAACCCTAATATAGTTTGAAAGAGCATTTGAATCTGCTTCGATTTATTTGAAAAAATACAGGGTGTTGTATTTGAAATAACGAAGTTTTTATGTAAAATATATATTTAAAATAGACCAGCAATTTGTGATACCCCTGTATACATTAAACGAAGGAATTAAATTTTTCAGTAAAGTTTATTTCTCTGGCTTAAAAGTCAGCACAGGAATTAGTTCTGAAAAGCAATGTACAGGGTGTTAATAATATATTCTAATGTAGCATGTATTTTTAAATATTCTTAAATATCTCAAAAACTAAAGATTTTAAACATATTTAACCCTTATAATAAATACCTTTTTTTGGGCCCAAGAATCCAAAAATGAAGTAAAATACAGGGTGTTCCATAAGAAAAAATATAACTTTGGTATGGATATTAGTTCTGAAACACCCTGTACATTTCAAAATAATTTTAAATTGTGCACATTCCCTCCCCGCATATACCCATACAATATTTTGTTTCTACATCTCTCCGTTTTCGTATAATCAACCGAGGCGAATGAGGTGCGCCACCCTGTATAATTTTGTAATAAAATTGCATTTTTTTTTCTTTTCATCTTTACTAAACATAATGCTATAATTGACAAAATCGCAGGTAAAACTGGTTTTTAATACGACATACCTCACATATAAAACGTTATGTCGAGATGGGACTTAAGATAATTTATAAAATTTTCAAACTTAAATCTAACCTATCGCCAAACAAACATATTTTCAATTATTTAAAAACTGTTTTGTATAACCTGTTTTAAAATTTTCGGAAAACACAATTAGGTTGGAATGACACAAGTTTCAAGAGACTAATAAATGACGCCCAAATCCCAAATCCATCGCAATATACCAAAAGCTGTACGAGTATTTAAATATGTACTAGAATCAGCTTTTGCTAACCAAGGTAGAACATTTAACTTGTAATTAAAATTTATCAATATATTAAAAACTAGTTAGTTATAAAGGGTGTCAAAAAAATAGTGTATGTAACATCGGTGGGTGATTCTACAGATAAAAATAAAAAAAGTTCCTATGAACATATTCCCTAAAATGCTTCCCGAAGAAATTACAGCCCTAGAAAAGTTAAATAAAAATTTTATACACTCAAATGCAAAAAAACACAACGGAGAAATTTTTGGTCAAATTTAAAGTGTTATATTTTTGTTATTTTCAGCACTATTTTCATTAATTTTTTAGCAAACTGTGTATATATTATATCAACTTTAATTCATAAGCTAAGTTTTTTACCAACTTTTGTATTTGGCATATTATACAGGGTTAATCGAGGGGTTGTTTTTTTACCCGAACTTTAAAACACCCTGTGCAATAATTTCGTTTGTAAATTTTTCGAAAATATAATTTTACTGTCAGAATCATGACTCCTGAGCATTTTGTTTTTTGATTCATGTCAATACATCCTTTGGCTAATTTTTAAGAGCGAAATGAACTGATCACGATCAATTTGCAATTTTTTCAATTATCATTACTTTTTGATGTAATTTTTTAATATGACTAGATAGTTTTGGTGACTATTGCCGTAATGTATGTCATATTACGCTGCCATTGTATACTTTATACTAAATAAAAAAAAACGTTAAAGACTAACGATACAGTTCTGGTTTTAATAAACATTAATAACGATAACAGAACTAACGATATTAAAGACAGCATCTGTAATAGTGGAGTACACAAACAGAAAAAAAAAATTGTAAAAAGTACCCTAATAATTTGCATTGCTTCTCTTGGCTGCTATAACTGCCTGTATACGTCCGTTTATACTGTCATTGAGGCTGCATATATCATATTGCGTTATGCTTTCCCATTCTTCTTTAAGAACCAAGCGAAGCTCATTTAATGAAGCTGGTACCGCTTCGCGACCTCTAACTCTCCTGCCAAGCATTTCCCAAACTTCGAACATGATGGGCAGGTCATAGTAGTATATAGTTCACAATAATCACCAAAGCCGGCTTCCGGCTTGTCATATTGAAAAATAACTTCAAAAAGAAATGATAATTGAAAAAATTGCAAATTGTTGGTGTCAAGTTCATTTTGCTCTTAAAAATTAACGAAAGGATATTTAGACATGATCCAAAAAACAAAATGCTTAGGAGACATGGTTCTGACCATAAAATTATATTTCAGGAAAATTTACACACAAAATTATTGCACAGGGTGTTTTAAAGTTAGGGTAAAAAAACAACCCCTCGATTAACCCTGTATAATATGCCAAATACTAAAGTTTATAAGAAACTGAGTTTACGAATTAAAGTTGATATAATTATAAACAGGTTGCTAAAAAAATCATGGAAATAGGAATAAAAATAACAAAAATATATCACTTTAAATTTGACAAAAAAAATTTCCGTTGCTTTTTTTGCATCTGCGTGTATATTATTTATTTTTAAGAACTTTGGTAAACCCTTGTTCTTGAAATTTGATATTACACTTATACTTAATGCCAAAGCGAATGGCGATAGTGCAAAATTCCGTAACAGCCCTAAAAGGGTACTTTCCATTAGGGTAGAGTGTACAACTGGTGGTACTTCTTTTATCCTTATAGATACAGTAATTTTAATAAATGAAAATTAAAGCTAGGACTTTTTTATGTAAGAAAGGTGCTCTTCGTTTAGTTCGAAATAGTGAACGGTTTTCAAGATATTTGCGTTTAAAGGTTCCGATGCATTGATTTTAGCATTAGCGAAATCAGGGGATTCATTTTATTTAAAATGTCTTTACATTTTATCATTTTACTAATACTAAAACCGATGCATCGTAATCTTTAAACGCGAATATCTTGAAAACCGTTCACCCTTACGAACTAAATGAATAGCACCTTCTTCTTCTTCTTCGGGTTCCATCTCCTAATGGAGGTTGGAAGTCATCATGGCAATTCTTACTTTGTTAACGGCTGCTCTGAATAACTGGTTTGAAGTCATTCCAAACCATTCTCTCAAATTCTTGAGCCATGATGTTCTTCTTCTTCCTTGGCTCCTTCTGCCCTTTATCTTTCCTTCTATTATGTTCTGCAGCATGGCATATTTAGGTCCTCTCATTATGTGTCCAAAGTACTCAAGTTTTCTCTTTTTAAGGATGTTAATCACCTCTTCATCCTTCTGAATTCTGCATCGCAGTTCTACATTTGTAAGCTTGTCAGTCCATGCAATCCTCAGCATACGCCGATAACACCATCTTTCGAATGCCTCAAGCTTCTCCATTTCGGCCTTTTTAAGTGTTCAAGTCTCTGAACCATAGAGTAGAGTTGCAAATATGTAACCCCTTAGCATTCTTAATCTAAGCTTTAAGTTGATGTCTCCAATGCAGAGACATTTTTTGAGTTTTAAAAAGGATGCTCTGGCTATTTCTATTCTAGCTTTTATTTCTGCTGATTGATCCATGTTTTCGGTCAACCAACTGCCTAGATATTTATATTTTTGTACTCTCTCCATAGGTTGATCATCATCTATTAGAACATTGGCTTGGACATCTTCTCTCTTAGTGATTATCATAAATTTAGTTTTCTTAAGGTTCATTTTCAGGCCATAGACTCTACACGACCAAGGGGGACACTACCTAGAGCACCTACTTTATGTAAAAAGTTCTAGCTTTTTATATCATTGCTTGAAATTACTGTATCTATCAGGATAAAGGAAGTAGGTACCACGAGTAGTACTCTGTATCCCAATGGAAAGTACCCTTTCAGAGCTGTTACGAAATTTTGCACTACGCCATTCGTTTTGAGATTAAAATGTGAGTACGAGTACCAAATTTCAAGAAAAACGGTTTACCACTGTTTTTAAAAATAAACCAAATATTTTTAGTTACCTTTTCGAGGGCTGTAACTTCTTCGGAAAGTATTTTAGAGCGTATGTTCATAGGGACATTTTTTTTATTTTTATCTGTAGAATAACCCACCAAATACACTATTTTTTGACACCCTGTATATTTTATAATTAAAATTTATAATTTAAAATAAAATATGTAAATGAAAAAAATTGTGTCAAATACATTTAAATTTTAATTTCAAGATTAAAAAATATACGAGCTTTATACCTTGTACGTGTCATTTATGTAGAATAAGCTTATAAAGGCAATATCAAAACTTACGTCATTCCCATGCATCCATAATCATCCAGAGCTATAAAATTCGAATATTCTGTAGACACTATACGTGACTGATCACAGGGCAAATGCTTGTCGATCAATTGGTCCAAGTCTCTTATAAGAAACTTCTTACTTTGATCATCCATGATCAATACGACAGAACGAATATCAGTAAATGGTAAAAGTCGAATCAATTAAAATGCATAAGATACCGCTATGCGTGTAACATCGAAAAATGAGGAACGCTAGTACACAAAACGCGTAGATCGACTGAACTGTCTGCAATCTGCAACAGGCAGAGATAATTTCGCTTGGATTTGAAGGACTTCTATCGATAGTACGAGCACTTGTCGAATGTCAAAAGGAAGTTCTAATTATATCGTGTAATAAATAAACATCTGGTTTTTTATTTTTGGGAAAATTGGTGGATTAAATGATTTTTGTAATCGAATCACACTACGTTACTTACTACTTTCAGGATAATGTTTCGGTGTAATCGTTTTCTCAAATCTGTTATCTATATTTATTTTATTTAGTAACACTTATCTCACTAATAAAATTATTAGGTAAACATGTAGTGCTTTTAAGTAGTATTGCTACAGCCTAATCATTAGACAGGTGGTCAACTTACGGTGAATTTTAGAAGAAGAATGCAGAATAAGTAACATGGGAGGGAATTAATCACTTAGTCCTTAAAGATGTCCATTGTGTTTCCCTTCCTTGAGTTATAACTCATCATACAGCCTATAACCCATCATATTTCCTGTTGTAGAAAGGACAGGGCGTTTCTCATCGTCCTCTACCAATAGATGTTCTTCCTCCGATGGTATACACCCTCCCACTGTTGCCCCCCGTGCCCTTCACCCTCAAAGAGCTTGTCTCCGGCTGAAGTACCCTTGCACCAGGAAGCTGGAGGATCTGTCTCCATTTTCTCCACCTCTTTAACTTGGTCTCTCCTTAGACCTGAAACCGGTGTGGTCCAGTATCTATAATAGAGGATATATCCCTCTTTCTTTATTGCCTCTCTGGATTTGAGGTCAGTTCCCATTATGAGGTAAACCCATGAGACCCTCCTCCCTCGACTGGATGGCTCGTCAACTCGATGTCCTTACATTGGAGTTCTGAGCCTGGATAATGGCTTAACATGTAGGTGGTGTTTTTCTCTTTTACTGCTAATATGGGACTTACGATTTGCGACAACGTGGAACTCACGTAGTCTCAAACAGTCCCCATGTTTCGCTAGTAGTCCTCTATTTTGATTGTATATTTTAGTGTTTACCAAACAAGACCGGGTGGCGCATCGTCGTTGGAAACATAAGAAATCCCATGCAAGTTTTGAACTGTCCAAATTGTTGCTCCCCTGTTGATCTTACAGCGAAGTTATAAAGAGGTTTACTAAAGGTCTGCGTATGATGCCTTGATTTTGCCGGTGTATGTACAAGCGCTCTTAGGGACTTATACCACTTTAAAATAACAAATCATTGGATTAGGCAATTCTCTTCTGTCAGTTTTTTGGTGATTGTCTGCATAGATAATTGAAACAAGTTTAGATTGGAAAGTACCCATAAAGACAATGTAAATACTATTTGGCGCTATTCTTGTAATTTCGGAATTATGTCTCAAATATTATTTATTCAAATTTATTATTATTTTCTTTTAATTTTATAAATAAAATACAGTGTGTAGCATACAAGAAACTTTATTTTATATTAGGACATGTATGAAATACCTACGAAACATTGGAAACCGACGTTATGCCACGATCCACGATGGTTTTTGCTGTTCACAGTTCACAACACAGGTTTTTGAAGTTTTTAATGCCACTTTTTCACAATTATCACGGGTTTGATTAAATAACATTTAAATTGAACTCACAAGATAGCATTAATCGCTTTGAGAATAAACGCTTTAAACACTTCTCGGTATTTTTTCTATGAGGGCGGTTAAAATTTTGAAAGATTTTATAATTTTTGAAGATTCTGACTTTGTCAAGAGAAAATTATTTCTGTTATTGTGTGTGGTTGTTCTTAGCAACCGCTTTATATATATATTATATTTATATATTTTGACGGGCACTCCAATCTAAATTTACTTAATTTATCTATGGTTGTCTGTCGAGATCGATTGATATGTTGTCTGTCCAGATAGGTCCAGATCGATTGAGATAAAATTCAAGATTCATTTCTAATTGAGCAAGCGCTGTCAATCTGTTAAATGCAATTTAAAATTAGATATTTGGCCTCTTTGTAATATTATGACACACAAATTTCAACTGGCTAGTTACATAGTATGTCCTATATGAGTAATTATCAGAATATATCAATATGCGCAGCTGCCTATTGAATTATTATATCTGTTAGACATTATTTAATTAAATAGCTACTTCACAATCTTCACATGATTTTCTCTTAATACTGTATCTTTTATACTCAACAAATGAGTAGTATATGCTCTCGTACTATAATATCGTACTTATTAACGTTGAATGGTAAATTAAGTATTAATCATTCCATCGAAGCTCGTGAAAGCAAACAAAAGGAATCGTGACGTTATCGTTGGGATTTTCTGGACAAAACCGCAATACCCACGACTTACATCTGATTCAATAATTGTTTTGTCGATATTTTTTTCTCAATAAAAATTTCGTACTTTAGTAAATATAAGTACTTACTCTGAATTTGTATTATTGTATTATGTATAGAATATTCAACAAAAGAAGGTCAAGAGAATAGCATGTATTAATAATAATTGCAAATTGGAAAACTGTAAAATTATAGTAATACCACAGTTAATAATAGGTAGAGTGTTTGACAATAAATGTATTATCCAAAATATATTATATAGTGTGGTAGATAATTACGCATCATAAATTGTTCGAAATAGGAATGCCGCTCGAGCAGCGCCGCTAGGCTGTGGGTTGAATTGATAGTGTTCACACTGCTGAAAAAGAGTGTTGCTGTGCTGCGCAGTTCGGTGCACCACATCGCGCCGCTTGGGCTTTGGACTTGCTTGAATTTGGAATGGCGACGTTGCTACCGTTCGGACCTTTTATTCTATTTTAATGGTTGTAGACGTGTCAAAGAAAAAGTAGCGTACAATCCTCCTCCTCCTAGATGCCTTCTCGGTTGGCGATTATGACATATGACTCTCTGTCCAGAACTTGGTAAATAAGGGTGTGTCCGTCAGTGTTGGTCCAATCTCTTAAATTACGTAGCCATGATTTCTTTTTCCTTCCAATGCTACGTTTTCCGTCGATTTTTCCTTATATTATGAGCTGTATTTCTTCATATTCTGAATGCCGCATTATGTATCTAAGGTAGGAAATCTTTTTGATTTAAATTTGCCTGTTAGGTGTGCACGAGTTTTCATTCTGTTTAAAACTTCACAGTTTGTTGTTCTAGAAGTCCAACTTATCCTCAGCACCCGACGATACATCCACATTTCAAAAGCATTAAGGCGTTTGATGTCGTCTTGTGTTAGCGTCTACCTTCTTTAGCATCTACTCTTCTTGTTATGGCGTACAATACCTGCAGAGAATAATGACATCTCCTATGGCAAATAATGAAGGTTACAAGTTCAGGGTATACGTAAGTTCTAGGTTAATGAATGTAAAGAAGGAACACGTTTTCATGTAACTGATTTCAGTTATTCTAGAATCGGAAAAAAAGAGAATGATGCATTTCGGCAGAGAAAATTTTATGATTTTGTGTTTGGGGAGGCTTTTATATATACTGAATGTTTTGTTGTTTTTCTTATAAGTGATTACAAAAAAAAATCACCCAAATTCTCCATAAAGATTTTTATTCATTTCTTGAATATCTTGTCTCAATCTCTTTTTTGTATAGGCAGGCGGTGTTAATTTGAACGTGCACTAATTTAGGTAAGAACTGTTAGTATTAAGTAATTATAGGTTTTGGAAACTGAATATTGGGAAAAGATCGGAAAAAAATTGCGAGACTCGATTCCTGAACTATTTATTACGTTGCAGGCGGGTCCAACTCGCATTTGTTAGTTTTTTAGCCGATCATACCAACAGGTATGGTAGATCGGCAAAAAAAGTTTTTTTAATTTCACTCAAAATGAGTTATTTGGGTCATAAATGACTAATACTAAATAACTGAATACAAAATATTTTCATGGTGTCTGTCCGTCTGTCTGTCACACGATAACTCAAAAACCGCTAAACCGATTTTAACCAAATTTGGCACAAAAATACTGTAGCACCCGAGAATCTGGCCATTAGTTTTTGGTGGAGGTGGGGTGTTGGTAAGGGGGTATGGGAGGGGGTTAAAAATTAAAAAAAATCGTAACTCCAAAATTACAGTAGCTATCAAAATGCGGTTTTCAATTTAAGATTAGGAATAATATTTGCAACAAAATTTGTAATAACATCAAAATCAGTCAAAGTCGCAGTTTTTCAGATATTCCGTGTTTCCGTAGTCCGTTTTTGAGAAAATCCGTGTGGAGAACTCCAAACTCCCATCGGACGCGATCTTAGATTCACAATAAAAAGACGCGATCCCAGGTGGCGGATAGGGGAAATAACCGCGGAAAACAAAAATAGGAAAAAATCCTTTACTTTGAAACTAAAAGAACTGCCTACCAACTTTTTATTAACATATTTTAGTATGGGCGGTTACACGTGCCTCCCGGCGCCAATTTTTTTTAAAATGGATATCCTTGGAATCGACATTTTCAAACATGTCCCATTCATTATACGAAGTATTTTAGTAATATTATGTCATCTGAAGATTTGATATAAAGCAGAGAAACCATGCGTGTCTGTACTCAAATAATACCCGACCATTATATTTTTAGATAATAGTGCAAACATTTTATTTGATACGCTATGTATTACGTAATTATATATCACGTGTCTTACTATTTTGTAGGCACGATAGTGCTACCATAGTATTACCAAGTACTACGTAATTATTTATTTAGTTTGAATTCCTATCTATGGTCTTGACTAAAGTCTATTATTTAAATAAAAACAATGAAAATCCGGAAAATCGCGTATTCTATTTATTTTACTATCTTGGAAATATAAATTTCCTAATATTTGAAATTGATTTTATGTTTAATGACTTTTTATTTGTGATGATATTTACAAAGATAAGAATATACAGGGTGTCCTAGAAATAAGTGCAAGTATTTTAAGGGGTGGTAGATCTCGATAAAAGAAACATATTTTCTCTTTACCGTTTTTCAAAAAAGTCCAAAATAGCGGAGTTATTTCACTTTGAAAATTAAAAAAAAATATATTTTTTGCTAAAATTTTGAGAACCACTGGATCTTTTCTGGATTTTCTCTCTTGTAAATTTAATCTAATACCTATGTTGCCATATTATCAAGAAATTATGTATTTTTAACTAAAAAAAGATCCAAAAAATATTTCAAATTTTTTTTTTCGCGAAAAATACCTTATAGGCGTGTTTCTGGGGTAGAACTATACTGCCAGTTAAAATACTTGCCCT